ACCGGCAGTTGATAAATGAATTCGTGGCGAAAGAAGGGATCTTGATGGATGGGGTCAGTCAGGCAGAAGTGCTTTTGGGTAGAGACACTAGGCCAAGTGGAAGTGCATTGCTTGAAGCAGCTAGACAGGTATGAACAAGGTTTTAAATTGCAGTTTCATGGTATTCATTGGTATTCTGTGGGGCAGGTGCGGCCGATGCAGCCAAAATTGCAGATGCATTGTGGTCATGGACATCCTAAAATTCTTTTGGGTATTTTTCATGGTGGCAGATTATTTTTCAAAACCCTTGTGGGTATTTAAGAAACTGTCTGCAACTAACGTCAAGATTTTTAAAGTACCTGCAACTGCAATTGTGGCTGGATTTATTCGCAATTTCCCACAATATCTATAACACAATTGGTGTATAAGAGTCATAAATGTTGGGATTCTCAACTATGTTTTATTCTATTTAGCTGATTTTAATTGCATATACTTGAATAAAAATGAAGGGGGTTACTTCAATTGTTGGAGCTGTTGTGAAGGACATGGGGATCTTGACAACTCCACAATTGCATTGGATGGTTCGTGCTCGAAATAAGGGCATAAAAGCTTCAGAGCAGGATTACTTTGAACAGCTTTCGAGCTCATTGAGGTTAGACCAATCCAGACATTGTTATGATAGTAGATGGGCATTGCTTCACGTTCTTCCATTATTTTGTTGATGTTTAAGTATAGCTGAACACATCCTTCTAGGATCGTTGTGTGATTGGATCAGGTGCTTGGAGGATTTGATCCCAACTGAAAAAAGTAAGTTTGATGAGTTGATCGATAAAGTGGTTGTGGATGGATCTAATGGAGTTGGTGGAGTAAAACTTAAAGGTTTAGGGAGATTGTTGAATGCTTTGGTTATTGAGGTCCGAAACAGCAGTGAAGATGGAGGTGTACTGAATGATGGAGTGGGTGCTGATTATGTGCAGAAAGAGAAGCTTGTTCCACACGGCTTTGGTTCTGAAGATGCTGGGATGAGGTTAGTCAGCTGATCATCTTGTGCTAGAAGTGAATTCATGCAAGCATACTGCTTGAAATTTCTAGTCTGCGTCCGAGAATTTTCCAATAGTTTGAGATTATCATTTTTTGCAAAAAGGTTTAAATGTTTAATCAGTCAGCAGAGTTAATCCTAGTAATTCCAATCATAATAGTAGAAATGGAAGGTTTATTATCCGTTCAAACTTGCAAATTTGTAACCATGAAATTCTTGAAATAATTTCACTTTTAAAAAACAATGAACAAAAACCATTCAACGTAAAAAGATTTTGTTTATGTCCTGCGTGTCATCTTTCTTTCATGTAATTGGTGGAGGATGTCTCTGATGTGAATGTGTTAGGGGAAGTTGAAGAGAGGTCTTATTGAAATCTGGATAACTTACACTTACCATTTAATTTAATAGATGCATTCTTCTGGTGCAGCTATGTTGGTGTTATTTATTATGGTCTTTACTAATGGAGGTAGTTCTAGTTTGTAGGTGTGCTAGTTTGGATGGAGATGCTGATCGGCTTGTTTATTTTATTGTACAACCTGAAAGCAGTGGTAGGATTGACCTTGTAGATGGGGATAAGATACTATCCCTGTTTGCCTTATTTATTAGGGAGCAACTAAGCTTTCTTAATGAGAATGAAGGCCTCAAAAATTGCTACCCATGCCGTCTGGGTGTTGTACAGACTGCCTATGCAAATGGGGCATCTACTAATTATCTTAAACAGTTGGGGCTTGAAGTCAATTTTACTCCAACTGGAGTAAAATACCTGCATGAAAAAGCTGCTGAATTTGATATTGGTATCTACTTCGAGGCAAATGGCCATGGAACCGTCTTATTTTCAGAATCTTTAATAGAGTGGTTGGAGGCCAGAACTAAGGAGATTTCTTCAGGATCAAAAGGTTTGTTCAATTTTTTCTGACTAGTCTTACTTGCAAGATTCAAGTGCTGAAAACCACGGAAATCTTTTGATTGTTTGTTTCAGCTTCAGAAGCTGAAAAGGCTGCGTTGAGGTTATTGGCTGTCAGTAAGTTGATCAACCAAGCTGTTGGAGATGCTTTGAGTGGGTTGCTTTTGGTTGAAGTCATATTACAGCATATGGGATGGTCAATACATAGATGGAATGAACTTTATCACGATTTACCCAGCAGGCAGCTCAAGGTCAATCCTTATCATAGTTAATATACTTGAATGTTGATCATAATTTCAATAATGTTAATTTAACTGTTCAAACATGGTTAGCAAAGTCTTTGTTTTAACATGGATTAGGTTCAATTCACACTGTCTTATTATTTTGTATCTCAATTGCTTATATTTGCAATCCAGTGACTATGCTTTAAACTCAAAACTTTACATTTCACCTGTTACCATTTAACTTAAGGTTCATGGTTATCATTCAATTTAAATACTTTAATCTTCCATCTCTTCTTAGCATGTGACAACTTTTGTTTTATATGTGATTATCATTCTAGTGTCACTTTATTTATACAAAGTTTTTGGCAATTCTGAACTTAATGCTTGCTTTGGCATTTCATCAACTGTCAGGTTAAAGTTGCCGACAGAAATGCTGTGATTACAGCAAATGCAGAAACTGTGGTTGTTAGCCCCCCTGGTTTACAAGAAGCCATCAATGCAGAAACTGGTATCTTTTTTGCTATTTGTCTTTTCTCTTTTCTATTTGTTGCCATGACATGTTTGTTTGAATTACGTATGTATTTTATCAACTTTGACATTGATGTCAACGAGTTTTTAAGAATGATAAAAAGGAAGGTGTAGAAATATGTATCATAACATATTTGTTTGAAATATGGCTCCACTACACCTCACATTGAGGCCAGTTGCACTTTTCCCCGCCGAACGAAGGAGGGACGTTTGTGACATTTCTCAACATCAATTTTGCAAGATTTGTTTGAGGCCTGTTTTCATATATGGATATATTTTACATTTGCTTTGCTCGAAGCCCTAGGACATTACTTTTGGTTTCATTATTGGGTGCTTGCTCTTATCTGTCGCCAACCAATTAGTTTTAGTGAATAAAGTATACAAAGAAGAATGGACAGAGTGAGGGAGGCAAGGAGTCCTGAAAAATACAAAAGATGAATGTTACCATAGATAATTCCTGTATAGTTAGTGTGTAATTGTTATGGCATTATATCAAATGATGTTATGGAAAAATTGCATGAGGATAAAAATATTAGTCATTATCATCATCCATCCATTAGAGCCTTTCAGGGAGACATTAAAATGCAGAATTTCAGTATACTAATGTTGCAGCTTGGTACTTTTCTTGTCTGGGTTTACAGGCAAGTATCCCCAAGGTCGATGCTTTGTGCGACCATCTGGTACTGAGGATGTAGTTCGTGTATATGCTGAGGCATCCACACAAGAAGCAGCTGGTACACTAGCCAACTCTGTGACTAAGCTTGTGGACCAATTCTTAGGGCTCAACAGCTCCTGACATCATGTCTCGATTTTCATTTTCATTTGATATTACAGCATAATCTACTCTCTGAGCTTTTAAGGTTATCTAATCATCGATGTTTACCAATAAAATTTCCCCTACATTTTACTTTTAGGGTTTATGTATTCTATTCTTGTTCCAATGTACATCTGTGTATTAACATCTTAAAATTATGCTGTCAATTAGAAGATTCTATTCGCTCAATCACCAATTTTTGGATTGTTTAATTTCGAATGGGTCTGTTAGTCTCAACTCATGGTCATACTGGTTGGGCAAGAATTATCTTGATAAATATTACTCCCCTCCCTCCTTTTACAACATTATTCTAAAGGAAAGTGAAGAGAAAAGATAGGATGTACGTCTTGATATTTATGAATATAGCATCTCCAGAAATATGCATTTTGACTCAGTGTTAGTCTAATTTTATATTTTAGATTTGTTATTTATTTCATTTTCTGAAAAAGAAAAAACCATATACATATATACTTACAAAACAGAAGTTTTATTAAATAATAAAAACTTAGTCACAAATATTAAGTTTTATTTTAATAATAATTTACTTAAATTAATTTTAATTATATAAAAAATTTAACAAAAAATTATTAAATTAAAAAATTAACATGACATGATAATTAGAAATAATTATTTAATCATTTAATTTATTTAGCTTACATTTAATAAATATATAAAAAAATAAATTATTGCATAAATTTATTTACAAATACTAAATATCATTTTAATATCAATTAGGAGTTGTTTCAATTAATTATAATTTATTAAAATAGATAATAAAATATGTTTAAAAAATTAAAATAAGTGAGAAATCGATTAATCATTCACCAATTTCACTTCCAAAATTAAAAATTTAGTTGAGAAATCCGGTTCTGGATAATTTGTTTTCTCACCAATTCCAACTGTCCATGTATGTAACTTGAAATAATATTGTTGCTGTAGGTTATTTAAATAAATACTTTTTAGCAGTGATTAATTTAAGCAAAAAAAAGTCGTAATTTGTAAACATACGTTTTTGGTAAATACTGTATTTTTTTTATTAGAGTCTATTAACTATTATGAATGATAAAATCGTATTTTTTTAATATAGTTATATATTTAAGTTTTAAAATAATTGATTGTTAAAACAAATTTTGTACCGGTTGATGAAGTAGTGATAATGCTTAAGCTTACATGACACGTGTTATTTTTTTATTTTTTTCCTATCTTTATATTTTGTAATATGTTTTAGTTAAGCTAACTGATAATTTTGAAAATCGTGATTGGATGTGTATACGTTCGTTCCCTGACTTGCGAAGATTGTCAAGGCAGAAGATAAGGGTCGTTTGCATCTGTATTTATTCTCTGTGTTCTTCCTTAATTTATAAAAGTAATATTGATTTTAATATTTTTTTTTTCCGTGAAGATTTGTACAGAAAACAGAGAAAAAAAGAGATGTTTTTACTGTTCTGCTTAAGAAGTGAAAAAATTATAGTGGAATAGAATGGAAAACAAACACCGAATGGTCCCTGGGTCATGCTTCGTAACTATTCATCAATCTTCCTGCGGATTTTGACATCTTCATTTCGCAGTGTGCGTCATGTTTATGGCACCAACCATATCCAATGCGAATGCGACGAGCTTCTGCTCCTTCACTACCTATCCAATGGCTTCCATGACGAGGCGCGAAACCTCCTCCAAAATGCCTCCGGAGGTGACCTTCACGCGCGCGTCATTCGCTGGACCTCGCTACTCTCCAACTTCTCCCGCCACGGTTACGTGGCCGAAGCTCGCACACTGTTCGACATAATGCCTAACAGAAACCTCGTCACTTGGAATGCCATGTTGTCCGCGTACCTCCGCTCCGGCATGCTCGACGAGGCTTCCCGGTTCTTCGAGACCATGCCGGAGAAGAACGTTGTTTCTTGGACCGCCATGCTCGGTGGGTTTTCGGACGCGGGGAGGATAGAAGATGCGAGGAAGGTGTTCGATGTAATGCCTGAGAGGAATGTTGTTTCGTGGAATACGATGGTGGTGGCGTTGGTTAGGAGTGGGGATTTGGAGGAAGCCAGGATGGTTTTTGAGGAGACTCCTTGTAAGAACGTGGTTTCGTGGAATGCTATGATTGCGGGGTATGTTGAGAGTGGGAGAATGAATGAGGCTATAGAACTGTTTGAGAAGATGGAGTTTAGGAATGTGATTACTTGGACTAGCATGATATCTGGTTATTGTCGTGAGGGAGATGTGGAAGGTGCTTATTGCTTGTTCCGGGCTATGCCGCAGAAAAATGTTGTTTCCTGGACTGCTATGATTGGTGGATTTGCTTGGAATGGCTTGTATGATAGGGCATTGCTGCTTTTTCTTGAGATGTTGAAAGTTTCTGATGCCGAACCGAATAGAGAGACCTTTGTTTCCCTTGCTTACGCTTGTGGCGGTTTGGGTTTTTCTTGCCTTGGCAAGCAGGTACATGCTCAGCTGATTGTTAACAGCCGGGGGATTGATGATTATGATGGTAGGTTGCGTAGAGGTCTTGTTAGGATGTACTCTGGGTTTGGTATTATGGATTCTGCTCGCAATTTGTATGAAGGTAATCTGAAAGACTGTGATGAGCAGTGTTTCAATTCCATGATAAATGGTTATGTTCGGGCTGGGCAGCTGTCAAGAGCTCAAGAGTTGTTTGACATGTTACCCATTCGGAACAAGGTTGCCGCGACTTGCATGATTGCTGGCTATCTTAGTGCTGGTCAAGTACTGGAGGCTTGGAATTTGTTTAATGACATGCCTGATAGGGATTCCATTGCGTGGACTCAGATGATACATGGGTACGTGCAGAATGAGCTCATTGCCGAAGCCTTCTGCTTATTTGTTGAGATGATCGATCATGGTGTTTCTCCTTTGTGTTCTACGTATGCTGTTCTATTCGGAGCTATGGGTTCAGTTGCGTATCTTGATCAAGGGCGGCAATTACATGGTATGCAGTTCAAGACGGTGTGTGAAGATGATTTGATTCTTGAGAACTCTCTAATTGCAATGTATGCAAAATGTGGGGAGATAGATGATGCAATTAGGATATTCTCTAACATGACTTGCCGGGACAAAATTTCGTGGAACTCCATGATCATGGGTCTTTCAGATCATGGGAGGGCCAGTGAAGCTTTAGAAGTGTATAAAACTATGCTTGAATTTGGGATTTACCCAAATGACCTTACATTCTTGGGTGTCCTGACAGCATGTGCTCATGCGGGTCTTGTTGATAAAGGGTGGGAGTTTTTTATTGCCATGGTTAATGCTTATAGTATTCAACCTGGCATGGAGCACTGCATTAGTATTATCAATCTTCTGGGTCGGGCAGGAAAGGTGAAGGATGCAGAGGAGTTTGTTTTTAAGCTTCCTGTTGAACCAAATCATGCCGTTTGGGGGGCTCTGATTGGAGTATGTGGATTGAGTAAAACTGATATAGATGTTGCTAGGCGGGCAGCCAAACGACTGTTTGAGTTGGATCCTTTAAATGCACCAGGCCACGTGGCCCTTTGTAACATTTTTGCCGCAAATGATAGGCATATTGAGGAGACGAGATTAAGAGAAGAAATGAGGTTGAAAGGTGTGAGGAAGGCACCCGGATGTAGTTGGGTATTGGTGAAGGGGACAGTGCATACTTTCTTCTCAGACTATCAATTGCATACGCGTTTTTAAGAGATGTTATTTGGTATGATTTGGATACTGCACTTGGCTTCCACTATTTTTGAGATTGGAGGATGTGAAATATTTGTACCTATTCTCGTCAAGGATAATAGGATTCTGCTATAGGATAGTGTTTAACGTAAAAAGTTAGGCATTCAAGATTTTGTTATTTAATTCTGCTATGGTTGGTAAAACGCCATCACAGCCTCTTTCAAAGCCCCCAATTTCTAATATTTTCTCTCACCATCATCACTAGCTGTATCCTTGGGGGGGACTGATATAATTTAAGGATCAAATAGAAAATACGTGCAGTTTCACGTTGGTGATCAGATGAGTGGAGTGAATATGAAGAAATTTTCGGAAGCCAACAACAATTATGTTGAAAAGAGTTTAGATAGCTGGGAATTAGATAATTTTCTTCCCACATTGTACATTACATTACATTTTAGGCCGAGAGATGCTTAAATATTTGTGAATAAAATGTACCTTATAAGAGGACCTTTTTTTCTTACAATGATAATTACTAGTATTATTTTATGGGATGGAATAAATTGAAAAAATTATAATAGAATAATTATAATGAGATATAATGATTATTATACCAGTGTGAGAAAAAATATATATAACGAATAAAACTAATGCGTTTGTCCTATGTATAACCAATCAAATGTTTTCTTGTCCTTTCAAGGGAGTCTGCTGCTTCTTCTGCATTGCGTTCCCCTGTAATACACCTTGAAACAAATTATCTAAAATTTGATTGATATCATTCATGCTCTCTGTACAAAGTTCGATGTACTCTCATCATGTGATGGCTTCATGGCAAAGCCAAGTGGGAACACCAGAAGATGCCTACATGTAGGGTTATTCTATCAAAGTGCAGAGGAGCCTAACTTTTCACCTATTACTACATATAGCCTCACATTCAGAACAATTCAGTCTTTGGATATACCCAACTGTTCGGTGTTCAAAGGTCAACCAGTTCTCGCAGTCAAACGTCTCTATCTTTGGCTAAGGCCATTTGAACATAGCATCAGAGTTGGGTAAGCATTTTCCTGTCAAATTTAAAATAAGCCACCTGAACATAGTGTCAATACCAGGATTTCACCTTAAACTATATATGAGGAAATGACATTTCTATTTGTCAACTGAAAAAAAAATATTAATTTATATAAATGCAGTTTTGACAGGCCAAAAAGTGTGTTTTCAACATCGTATACTGGCGTGTGTATCTCGTAGTCTAATCAAGCGGGTAGCTGAGAAACAATTCCATTCCTCATCCAGATTTCAGAATGTGAATTCTTTTCCTTATGGTTCTGTAGTGTCAAAGTTGGTAAGTTGATTCTCTATAAATGGTAGGCAAGTGGTATGTTCGAAGCATCACCTAAGCGTTGATTACTTGCTTCTTCCCCTTCCACATATGGCGCTTTATCTTTTCTGTGCTTTTCTTGTTAGCACCTTAGTTTTCATGCAAACTCTGGCTGATACTTCATGCACCGATTGTTTCATTCATTCTCGAGCAGCATATTATCCAAATTCTGACGAACACGGAACAGATGGTGAGAAGTTAAACTGATGTGACAATATTGAAAAATAAAACTTAAGTGGTATCTTACATGTTCTTGAATTCATTGCAGTAGGTGCATGCGGGTTTGGTTCCTTTGGTGCTACGGTCAATGGCGGAGATGTATCAGCTGCATCTTCTCTTTACCGAAATGGTGTTGGTTGTGGCGCCTGTTACCAGGTGAGTTACCTTAATGCATAAAATTTAGAAAACTTGTACATATACGTCCAAACGATTGATGACATACAGAAATAGAAAAATATAGAAGAAAGGAGAGAAGGCTGGCACAGGAGGGGAACAGCTTTTGGGCTTTCCTGTACACATCGTGTTAAGGCTTTCCACGTGGTTCTCTAACGCAATTTTTTTTTCCATACGCACTATGTTTTTTGACACGTTAGCATCTGTAGGGGTTATTTATTTCTGCCATTTGGTTAAGAGGCACACTTGTAAACGTAATTATTTGGTAAATGAAAAGTGAAACTGATGTTATCTGACTATTCTTCGGTTAACAATGAGCAGGTGAGGTGTACCAACAGTGCCTATTGCTCAAACAATGGTGTGACTGCAGTTATAACTGACCAAGGTTCAAGTCACAACACAGATTTCATTCTTAGCAAACATGCCTTTATTCGGATGGCTCAAACCACTGACGCAGCTGCTTCTCTATTAGCCCTTGGCGTAGTTGATATTGAATATAGACGGTAACATAAACTCTCCTCCACATATTACCCATTGCTTCTTTACCTTTTTTACTTAACTGGGTCCTTTATATCTTTCTATGTCTCTCTAGTGTTTCATGCAGCTACCCAGATAAAAACATAACAATTAAGATAGATGAGAGCAGCAACAACCCTTATTATCTGGCTTTTGTCATTTGGTACCAACAAGGAAGGAGAGATATAACTGCTGTGCAGCTCTGTGAGGTACTATCTATCTGCCAATTAACTCCTATTGTGAATTACGATAACTAAGTTACAATGTGAATACTCAATTTTTTATATAAACAAATTTAGTAAGTGGGTAAAAAAATGTGAATACTAAATCACAGTTTCTTATGATAAGTAAATAACAATCATACTTCGTACAGACTCAAAATTTTGTGTGCAAGTTACTGGATCGGAGCCATGGAGCGGTGTGGACTACTGCCTCTCCACCAAGTGGACCTTTGTCTTTAAGGATGTTGTTTAGTGGTGAAGAAGAGGGAGATGAAACTTGGGTTGTTCCAGTTAATAACATACCCGGAGACTGGAAGGCTGGAGAAACTTACGATTCAGGGGTACAAGTGAACCAATAGAGAATCTGCAAAAAGAGAAACATCAAATCAAGTCCAGTTGATTTATTATCCCCTCCTTTATGGATTATGATATTGTTTTTCTCCCAATAAGTAGTTATGGCATACTATGTGCAACACATACTATGCATGTCACCATATTCCGTTGTATTAAAATAATGATTACCTTTCATATCTCTAATCATAAAACTTAATAACAGTGTTGAAACGTCTCTATAAATCACTTTGTTCATCATGTTACTTACAGACACTCAGAAGGTAGATCAGAGGGAAATGTGGTCATTTCTTGAATTCATGTCAGTATGATAACTAACACTGTGTTTGCTTTAAGGCGAGGAAATACGTCTTCTTAAACTGCATGTTGTTAAAAGTGCAAAACACAAATGAACCGTTACATACATGAGAAACGAAATCGACATCTCCAAACAAATATGACAACAAAAAAATACGGAACTTCAAGATGAGGCTAATTCAGCATGCACCCTCCCCTCCTGATGTTGAGATTCATGACAACCAAGTTTTCTTGTTTATAGGAAGATAGTTTTCAATTGCAGGTACAAAATAACCACACTCTTCTCACACAAAATAATAATTGGAACATGTAGAAATAACTGTTTATTGTCACATACAAAGCATAACTGTCTCGTACATGAATTGTAATTGCCTTTTATATTTTTCTGAGGCCTATCAAACTCCTTGCTACATGTTTTTATCCAGAATTTCCTACTTATCCGCATCAGCTTTGTCAAGGTCTTCTAAAGCTTCCCACAATTTTGGATCCTCATAATCCTTAATCAGAAAAGCAGGCTTTGCTTCCATCAATAAATGCTCTGGGTTTCGTGTAGCTAAACCTATAACAGGCATTCCAGCTGCCACTCCAGCTGTAATCCCTGAAAAAGAATCCTGTGACAGAAAAACAGAAAGTGTGTCAAAAGCAGATCTAGAACAAGTTCTTCTTTAGTCGGACATCACAAAAATGCAGACCTCAAATACAAATGCATGATCCTTCGATGCCTTCAGAACTTCAAGAGCTTTCAAGTAGGGGTCTGGATGAGGTTTTCCACGTTCACATTCATCACCAATAATAAGAGCATCAAAGAAGTCTGAGAGACCAAGTTTTGAGATCATGAGTTCTGCATTTACTCTTGGAGCATTGGTAACTGCAGCTCTCTTCAGACCATGGTTTTCAACCCATGTCCTAACTTTATCAAGGCCTTTCATAGGCTTCAGTTGCTCTGCCGCCAATCTGGATAGTCCATCATCAGGGAATTATCTTCAAATGGTAGAGAGACAGAGAGAGAGAGAAGGGGGGCGGGGGTTTACCTCCGGAACATGGCTTCCTTATCTTCTACAAACTTCAAACCTTGTTCCAGATCACCAGGAAAGGCAACTAAGGCAGTATCAACGCTGTGCTTGCCAGAAAATTTCTCAAAGAAAAATTCCTCCGTTATAGGAACACCTCCATTAAAACCAATCTGCCAGTCACCAAGGTTCTGTTAGTTTACTAATAGCTAATGATCATGTGCTTAGTGATGGTGATTTGCAAATACCACAAAAGGAATATTGCAACAAAGTAACTAAAATTATTTTCTAAATGTTTTCCATTAAAACTTTTCTACTAAGAAAAGAAACAGTACCTTTTGGAGCATTTCACGCAAAGCATAGTAGTGGAGTGGATCAGAATCACCGAGAGTTCCATCTACATCAAAGAGAACAGCCTCAAGTGGAGCAAGTCCGGCGAGAGAACTCATGCTGTTGACACAACATGAAGGTAATGAGAGACAAGTTCATCAAATGATCAGGAATTGGCCATACGCTAAATTTTCTCTCACAAAGCATGCCAGAAACTAACTATTCCAAAGCTTAAATCGTTGCATTCAGCCACCTTAATGGTTTATATATGTGACATGCCCCCTCGTACTTGATCTCTTTTGAGTTAAAAATCATAGACGTATATTGCAGACCCACCTTACGCTGAAATTTAGCTTCTATTTGGAAGAATCAGGATAGCAAGTATCCAACTTCAAACCAAATAGTCATAATAGCTCTAATATTCAAAGCTTAAACTAATGGGTGAAGGCACATAATAGATTTTATATCTTACAACGCAAAGCACATCTCATGTAGAAGTATGCCGGTCCCTATGCAGAGCTGGCCACTTAAATGAGAAGACAGGAATGTGAAAATGAGGACAAAGAATTTAACATATCATAAACCTTGAGGGTGGGGTATTGGTGCATCCATACAATATGAAAGGAGCATAACCAATGAAGGTTTCTGAATAATGGGTGGTAGCAACATGCATGAAAACAAACATACATGATATAATAGGCCGAAGAAAACAGAAATGTCTTGAAATTCGAAAAGGAAGGCTAGCTACTAGAACAACATCAACTACGTTGCAAGTGGTGAAAGGAAGCACCTTGTGACGCAGTGCGGAGAAGAAGCCTTGGTGAGTGTTTGTGTGAGATTTGTTTTCACGCAGCCAAGGTGAATGTTTGTAGAAGGACAAAATTTTACCAGCCAAGGTGAAACATCGTTAGAGATGCAAGGGATTCTTGAGAACAAACAGGTCATGGATAACGAAATCCAAGGGTGCGGTATGGAGAAAAATAAAAAGAAAAAATTGTTACTTCACGATAAGAATCATAATACATGTCGAATCTCCCAAAAACCATCACTGGTGTATTATCATGTTGTTTCACGTTTATCAAAAGGCAGTGGTCACTTAATTTATTTTTCTCTTGGAACAAGTCTTGAAATTGTGTCGGTGAAACTATTATCTGAAATCAATTAAATATCAATATAATTTTTGAGATTATATATCTTCAATAAATTTAATCTTTCAAACAAATATGAGCAATCAAATCCATTTCTAACATAAATAAAAAAAAAATTCTTAAGATTATAAATTGTCAATCCCTTTAATTCTAAAATGACAATAATAAAACAAAGTAATCTCTAATTATAAATGTTGATTGTATTTTTCATCCCTATATGTGTGTTTATATATAGCTAATGAACCGGAAAGGTTTAACTTTAATAATTACTTATCAACAACAAACAAAAATGAATAAAAAAAATAAAATTGATTTGATTAATTAAAAAAAAATAATTAATGATGATTAAAATATTTTTATTATAAAATTTAATAAAAATATATAAATTAAATTTGATATATAATTTAATATGAAATAGTTATTTTAAAAAATAGATAAAAATTATATAAAATAAAATTAATTATAACAAAATTGTGATATTTGGTAGATATATTTAAACTTTATTTTATTTTTATAATAATTTATAAGTAATATTAAAATTGAAAAAAAAATACTGTGTAAGTGTAATTATATATTATATATTTTTATAAAAATGAATTATTAAACATATTAATTTTTATTTTTCAATTTAATAATTTTGTACTAAACAAAAATGTTGTTGAATACAAATTTAGAAGATTAAAATTGTTTATCTGATTTATTTTTTAAAAATGAAATTAATTAAGTTTAAAATTGTGTAAATTATGTTAATTTTTTATGTAATTAATATTCAATATATTATTATAGACATATAAATATCACACAATAATATATTTTCTGTTATCTTATATTGTGTTTCAAAGTTATATAAAACTTTCATGTAGTTAGCCCAATAAAATTTTTTTTGCAATGGAACTTCAAAAAATTTATATACAAGTGAAATCAAATAATAAATAATCACTCACCATATTCAATTATATATATATATATATATATATATATATATATATATATATATATATATATATATATATATATTCGATTATGATATGACACGTAATCAATTATATATTTTAATGTAATCATCCCTCATTATTGTGTTAGACGATCAACCTTTTTCTTCTGCAACTTTTCCAACTATGATTTCTCAGGGATAAAAAGGATTTTACATTCGTTACAACGTACTTTCCATCGCCATTTAAGAGGTAATATAAAATGTGTGAGTTTCATGTCTATTAATACACATAAACAAACACAAAACATCATTATCAACATACATTTGTATTTTTTATAAACAGTGAAACCCTCAAAACAAACAAGGGTTTAATATAAAATAAAAACCATATTATCAGCGTGGTAAACATTTCTTGGACAATTTGTGAAAAATATTTAGTCTTGGTCAGCTCTTGTGGAATGACTTTTGAAAAATATATATTATCAATTATTTGAGGGATTTGATTATGTAAAGTCTAAAACTACACTACAATTGCGCACTGCAATTTCCTTGGCTTGACCAACGGGTTCATAGCTAACAATGAAATTATTAAAAACACGAATAAAATATAACTGTTTTCTGTTGCAAAACAACAGTAATTATGGACTGGCATTGTAATATGGCCACCTACAACAAAATTATGCAGGCGGACCTGTGAATTTAATATGAATCCCGCTACTGTTTCTTATCAAGAAATTCTGCCAGTTGCACTAGTAATTCAAACTGAGGGAGCACTGCTAGCCTTGTCAAGTTCTTCCAAAGCAGCCCACAATTTTGGATCCTCATAGTCCTTGATCAGAAATGTAGGTTTTGCTTCCATCAATAAATTTTCTGGGTTTCGAGTAGCCAAACCAATAACAGGCATCCCAGCTGCAACTCCAGCTTTGATCCCTGAAAAAGAATCCTATGGCAAAAAATAAAATAAAATAATGTGTCACGAGCATATCCAGAAAAATTATTCTTCAATATGGCATTAAAAAGAATGCAGACCTCAAATACAAATGTGTGATCCTTTGATGCCTTCAGAGCTTCAAGACCTTTCAGGTAGGGGTCTGGATGAGGCTTGGCATGTTCACATTCACCACCAATAATGACAGCATCAAAAAAATCTGAGAGACCGAGTAAGGAGATCATGAGTTCTGCATTTGCTCTTGGAGCATTGGTAACTGCAGCTCTCTTCAACCCATGACTTTCAATCCATTTCCTCACTTTATCAAGGCCATTCAAAGGCTTCAGTTGCTCTTTTGCCATTCTGGACAATCCATCAGGGAATTAGAAATTATCTACTAAAACTTCAATTGGACCACAAGGGGGAAGGGTGGAGAGAGGGAAGAAAGTAAGCATTTCTTACCTCCGGAACAAGGCTTCCTTATCATCTACAAACTTTAAACCTCGTTGCAGATCATCAGGAAAGAGAGCCTTGGCTATATCATCATTGTGTTTGCCGGCAACAGTTTGAATAAAGAATTCCTCCGTTATAGGGGCACCTCCATTGAAACCAATCTGACAACCACAGAAGCTTCTGTTAGTTATTTAGTTATGGTAATTTGTGAAGACTGTGAAACGAATATTGCAAAAAAAATATCATTTTTCAATATTTTGCCTTAAAACTTTTCGACTAAGAAAAGACACAACCTCTAGAAGCATTTCACGGAAGGCAAGGTAGTGAAGAGGATCAGAATCACATAGTGTTCCATCTACGTCAAAGAGCACTGCTTCAAGTGGAGCAAGTCTGGCGAGAGAACTCTGGCTGCTAGCACGACAAGAAGGGAATGATGAGTGACAAGTACAGCTAATGATAAAATAGGATATACCCATTTACTAAAATTTCTATCATGAAGTATAGCAAGTACTAATTAACCGGCTAAAATATAGATAATACATAGTTGTACCTACCGTTGTGCAGAAATTTAACTTCTATTTAGAAGAATGAAGATAACAAATATCGAGTTTTGGACGAGGACATAGTTATTGAGGCTTTAATGCCATGCTACTAACTGTTTCAAAATCCATACTGTTGGGTGAAGGCATGTAAAGGTATTTTATGTCTAACAACACTAACCATATCTCATTTATAAGTATGTCAGCCCCTCTGCAGCTGATCAATTAAAGAAAGTAATAATTATGACACAGAAATCAACATATCACACACGATCATTCACTGGTTTGGGCATGGAGTGTTGATTCACATAGCTGTAGCAGTAAAGGCATGTTGTAATCCAATGCAATAGATAATCCAGCAACTGATTATGGGATATTTCCTTGACATCAAAACTTAAGATACAATGGGATAGGCATCAAAGGTGCCATCAAAAGTGGTTACTGGTATTCTTCTGACAAACCACTATTCTGTGTTATCTGCTGCTGTGGCTGGCTCTGACCATATCACCCCATTGCAAACAACTTGGATTTGTCAACGTAAGGACTTGTGACCTCGTCAACTCAGACGGGTATCCAACATCCACACAGCCACATGCTGAGTAACTCAGAAGGTCCATTGATTGGATTTTGTTGAATAAATTAAATAATTAGTTTTAGAGTTTACTGGAATAAAAAATAATAAAAGGATAATTAGGAGTTTTTTTGTAACATTTTGATGTTAATCATATCTTATATAGTTATTATTTGATTTTGTGAAAGACGCAGGACTATATATAAATAAAGCGTTGTATTCGTCTGTCGAGGAAAACAGAGGTGCGCGCAATGTATTCTTCGCACCTACCACGCAGGGGCTTGGGGCATGAAGGGATCTAAGCACCACTTATATTGGAACAGTACTTCGCACCTAACACGTACATGATAAATCCAACATTCACGTTCCGTACTCGAGGCTCAAAATTAATAGCTAAAAAGGCTCTTGTTTTAACTTTCGAGTTGAGAAAGGTAAATCAAACAGGAAATCTAATATGGGTGCAAAATTCAGTCTCCTCCTCTCCTCTTTGCTCTACACGATCTTGATCTTTATCTCAACCATAAAAAATGACAAATCTATCCATCCATTCATCAAATATTTATTATTTGAAAGAAATAATTGATCCATGTGAAACACCATGGAAGTATGAATAACAGCTTCTTATAACAGAACGATGAGTGGTCCAAAAAACAAATTCGTACGATTGACATAGAGACAGAAAATGGGAAACTTTTCATTACAGATACCTGTAAGAAGAGGCACAAATCACCGTTCTTTAAAAATTGAAATTGCTCAGTATGATAAAAGAAAATGGATACCTACCTTGAGATGCCATTCTGTGAAGTAGCCGTCATTGTTACAGAATGCAGAGAAAAGATGAGCAAGAGAACTGTGAGAGCGAGGAAGCGGAAAAGAGTCCCAAACAAATTTCAATTGCAATAGCATATTAATGGAATCCAATATGCACCAAAAAGCATATAAAATAGCAAAGGGTGGATATGCCATATGTTGTACCTTAACCAAAAACTTTTGTTTAAAAAATAAAATAAAATCCACTTGAACAAACCACTCGTTAGTTAATGAATGTAAATTTATAAAAATTAAAACATAATGTAACAAAAAAAATATATATCAATACATAGCTGTATGATTGGAATAATGTTTCAAATAGAAAAACATATAAAACTAATCTAAAAAAATAATCCATATATTTTCCCAAGAGTTATACATAGTACTAGTAAAAAAATTAACATGATAAGAAGAATAATTTGCATAAATATTTTTTTAAAATTTATTTATTATAATGTTTAATTAATTAACATGTAAAAAAAGTGCGCAAAAAACTAAACTCTTATAAAACTAAAACCCAAAGAATTAAAAATTGAAAGACTAAAATATCACTTAAAACTTACTTTTAAATATCTCTGTGTTGAGAAGTTGTATGAAAGGTAATTAAATTTGACAGTTTACAATATGAATTTAGTTCTAATATATTTAAAGCATTTGTTACTTAATCAAACACGTAAAATATTTATAAATATAGTTAATTAATTACTTTCGATATATATATATATATGTGTGTGTGTGTGTGTGTGGTCACCCAAAAAGAAGGAATTTGCTTCTTCTTCTTCCGTCAAAAGTGAATGGTCATTTTTTTTTAAGCCAAAAACCTAATTTTATGCTGTCAATGTCACCATGTCAATTTCATGTGCACATTTCATTTTTATGTTTTATATTTTATTATTTATAAGTTTTTTTCTAATATGTTTATGCTTAACTAATAAATATTTTTTGTCTGTATAATTTTTTTTTCTGAAAAAAATAATTATTTTTGTCTTGAGCTTTAGTTCTGTAAGGAAAAATAAACACCATAAAAAGCATGGCACGCTTTTTTATATGTTTTAAAATATTCAGAAAATTTTATATTTATTCTTACAAAAATTATAATAATTAATAATTATATACATTCAAGAAATTAAATGAAAAAAATATCTTTATTTAATATTACATAATTAATGTAAAAATTAGAATATATATATATATATATATATATATATATTAAAATGAATTTTTAGTTATTTTAAATAATTTATTTCACAACATATTATTATCAAATTTATATTATTAAATATACTTTCTCTGTCTTTAATATCATTGAATATAAGTAATATAAGAATGGGTTATACAAATTAAAATAAATATTATTTTTTATAATTTTTAATAAATTTATTAATTTATTAATATTTTTATTATTTTAATATTTTTATCCAAAATTAATTTTGATAATTTATTATTTTTTCTATAATAGTAAGAATATAATTGATAAAAAATAATTAATACAATTTTAAATTCTGAAATATATCTATATACAAATTTTTCTAAACGTTAAATATGTTGAAACACATAAGGTATTTTCTAAAATATTTTTAAACATGTTTTCAAAAAAATCCATTTAAAATTTTCAAAAATTAATAGAATTTTAAAAGATTAAGAAATAATTATTAAACTTATAATCTCAAAAATAGGCGTACACTATATATAAGATATCCAAATAAGTTTATCGTATCATTCAAAATAATCGAAACATTTTATAAATAGAAATAAAATATTCCTTAATTCTAATATAATTATGATAATGCTAATTTATAAAAGTTATATATTCATCTTAGACATTCTTTCTCCCATTTATTCATATACTGATCTAAGTATTATTGAGTTTATTTGTAAATGTTCCTATTCACTCTTTATCTATTTGAAAAGAATTCAATAAAACTCATTTGTCTTTCTCAATCCAAGTAACAACATTTGAATCACCTGGATCAAGGTAAATTTTTTCTCACATCTTCACCTCGAGTTTAGACACAAAGCAATCCACATCTTTCGAATACCATAGTTTCAACCACACTCATTGAGAAAAGCTCATATGGTTGAATTATAACAATAAAGTAATACAGAAATACAAAATACCATCGTAGCATTTCGGGAAAAGATCAATCAAGACCTAAAACAGTACCAAGAAGAATTGAAGGCATTGTGCGATCAACTCAATGAGATTGTCAAAATGCCAACCGGTCAAAAGAAGTTACGAAGGTGGATATGAAGTTATTCCTCACTTCAAGATGCTTGCACATGTCATAGTGATTTCACCTCCATGTTCTCAATTGAAACATGATCTACTCGGCTAATAATCCCTTCACCTCGAAATATGAGGCTAGCAGGGGAGTCCCTTTCACCATTTCAGCATGATCACCCACCATCTCTGACTCCTAAAAATGGTCACCACCTCGAGCGATGAAGGTTTAATAGGCATCTCAGGAGTTATTTGCTTTATCTTCTTGGAAGGCTTCTCGACCGGAGTCATTAGGTTAGGCCTGACTGTTTTAAGAGGAGAGGTCAAGGCTCAGATGACATGGGGTACACCCAGCTTAGCAAAAATTTTCTTGTAGTTCAGCAAGCTCGCCATAATTTTTACAAAAGAAAAACACAAACGATTAGAAACAACACAATAAGTTCAAGAGTCAAGTCTATCTCAACAAATCCTTACTATTAAACCAAACTACTTTATCCTTGGCATAGAGGATGGACAGTAAGTCCTTACAACTAATGGAATGAAGTAGGTCCTTTAATACAATTATTGTCAACTTGTCCTCAGGTGACAATAGATGATTGGCCCATGACTTAAATTTCAGAAGGGTAGACAAATAAAGGGAAAAATGTTAGAAATTGAGTTTTTTCTAATATATTTTAATAATTTTGGATTGTTTTTTATTCGATGATAATTCTTATTTTATGAAAAAAAAGGTTATATGGTCAAAGATTAGATAAAAGAGTGGTAGTCTTTATTTTGTAGAAATTTACATATCTCTTTTTGCATTAAAAAAGAAAACTTTTATTAATGAACAACTGGGTTTTCTCCCTTTGTTTGCTGTTGAACTCTGTATCACGCTCTATTCATCTTTGTGCGTTTTTTTTTTCTGATTTTATATTACTTTGTTGTTTTTGCTGATTTTACAACATGGTATTAAGAGCTCATTGATTTTAAGAGCTCATTGATTTTAAGAGCCTATGAGGAAGTGAAAATCAGTAAGAAAGTTATATACAAAACTAGAAAAAAAATACCAATAACAGAGAATAATATCTAGTAGCAGTTCTTTACCTCCACCTCCAGTTTTTGTGGGAGAAAATTATGATTTGTGGGTTGCGAAAATGAGAACTTATTTGATAGCACAAACTTTGTGGGATATGGTGAAAAATGGAAGTAATCCAACCCCTTCATCCAATGACCCAACTGTGGCTCAAATACGACTCCATAATGAAGAAGTGGTAAAAGATGGCAAGGCATTTGCCATCATACATGCAGCAGTGCACGATGATGTTTTTATCAGATGTTGAATCTTGAGATAACAAAAGAGGCTTGAGAAAAGTTAAAGGAGGAATTCCAAGGCAGCGAAAGAACAAAGATGATGAAGGTGTTGAATCTGGGAAGAGAATTTGAAGCAATCAAAATGAAGGAGTCTGAAACAATGAAGGAGTTTTCTGACAGACTTTCTCAAGTTGTTACTCAGATTAGATTGCTAGGTGAAGAGCTTAAAGATTAAAAAGTTGTGGAAAAAATATTGGTGTGTCTTCTGGAGAGGTTTGAGTAAAAAATCTCCTCTCTTGAAGAGAATAAAGAGTTTTCTCAGATTTCAGTTGTAGAACTGGTTAATGCTTTACTAACTACTGAGCAGAGAAGATCTCTAAGAATGGAAGAAAATATTGAAGGTTCTTTTGTGGTCAACAACAAAGGAAAATCTCAAGGTAGAAGTAGCTATGAAAAAAAGCATTTTGGTGGGAAGAAAGGCAAAGAAAAAAAAGAAGATGACGACAACAAAAGAGGAGGTAGAAAAGATAAGTTTCCACCTTGCCCTCACTGTAAAAAGACAAACCATACAAAAAACTATTGTTGGTTTAGGTTTGGAGTCAAGTGTAAGGCCTGTAACCAGCTTGGTCATGTAGAAAAAGTTTGCAAAAACAAGACAAAATAGCAAGGATAGCAAGCTCAAGTTGCTAAGTACCAAGAACAGAGTGAGAAGCAGTTGTTTATTGCTTCTTGTTATTCTGCAAGTAGCAACAAAGAAGTTTGGCTTATAGATAGTAGGTGTACTAATCATATGACTCATGATACTAGTTTTTTTAAGGAACTTGATCAGTCCTACTTGTCCAAAGTCATTATTGGCAATGGAGAAAATGTTGATGTCATAGGAAAAAGAGTGGTTATTGTTGAAACTCTTACAGGTACCACATATATTTCAGATGTTTTATTTGTGCCTGAGTTGAGTCAAAATCTTTTGAGTGTGGGGCAAATGCTTGAAAAGAATTATGCTTTGCATTTTGAAAATATGAGATGTAACTTATTTGATCTTTATGGATGTGAGCTAATGTCTATCAAAATGAGAGAAAAAAGTTTTCCTTTAGAATGAAAACAAACTACTAAACAAGTTTTTCCTAGCATAGTAGATGAATATTCCTTATGACATAAGAAGTTTGGTCACTTTAGTTACTCAACCTTAAGGCTAATGAAGTCTAATAATTTAGATAGAATACGCCTTCTATTCAAGAACATGATGATGTGTGTAATGTATATCAATATGGAAAGCAAAGCAAACTACCATTTCCTAATGAAGCAAGTTGGAGAGCTACTGAAAAACTGCAACTTATACACATTGATGTATGTGGCCCAATGAGCTCAACATCCTTAAATGATAGTAAATATTTTCTGCTGTTTGTAGATGACTTTACAAGGATGAGCTAGGCGTTTTTTCTAAAACAGAAATTAGAAGTGCTTGTTGTTTTTCAAAAGTTCAAGTTGGTAGTTGAAAATGAGGCTGGAAGCAAAATAAAAAAACTCATATCTGATAATGGAACTGAGTATACAGCAGGGGAGTTTCAAAAATTTTGTGCACAAGCAGGAATTCAACAGCAATTGATTGTTCCTTACACCCCTCACCAAAATTGGGGTGAGTGAAAGAAAAAATAGGCCCATTGTGGAGATGACAAGGTGTTTTCTCTTTGAAAAAAATCTTCCCAAAACCTTTTGAGCATAGGCGGTTAACACCTCTACAAACTTGCTTAATATGTTGCCTACCAAAGTCTTGAAAGGCAAAACACCTTTTGAAGCATGGTATGGAAGGAAATCCTCAGTGGAATATCTCAAAATATTTGGCTGCATATGTTATACTTATATTCCAAAGGTAAAGAGAGATAAACTAGATCACAAGTCAAAAGTTGGTGTTTTCTTGAGGTACTCCAGTAACTCTAAAGGTTATAGGATATACAATTCTTTGACAAAGAAAATTCTCATTTGTAGAAATGTAAAGTTTGATGAATTTTCTAGATGAAATTGGGAGAAATACAAGGTAGAAACCTTAAGTAAAAAATAACTTGGAGTAGATACTCTTCAAAAACAATATTCAGAGATTGAAGAAGAAGATTTAGATGATGATGATTTTTCAATTAGAAACACTAAAATTCTTGCTGAAATTGATAAAAGGTGTAACGTTGCTACATTAGAACTTAAATAATATGATGAATCAGCTGAAATTTATAAAAGGTGTAACATTAGAACCTAAATAATACGATGAAACAGCTAAAATTTATAAAAGGTGTAACATTGATACATTTGGTGGAAACTGCAAAAGACGAGCAAATTTTGTTTTTCTCTTAACGCTGAAATGTAAGAAACAAGAGAAAACCAACGTATAATATGAAGAGTCAGAGAGGAAAAGCGACAACGCTTCATACACTCTAAATAAAGACACAAATGATTACAAATTTCCCCACATTTAATATATTGTCAGTGTTGGCAAAATTTGGCCATGTATATATATGATACATATTTAAATGTGTTAGGGTAATTATTTATTAAGCCAAATAATAAAGTGATCTGACTAAATTAAAATGGTTTGACTAAAGACATATGTCATGAAAATAAAATTGTGTAGAGACCATAGAGCAATTTCTAATTTGATAAGGGGCCAAGTTAGAAATACTAAAATTTAAGTAATTAACCTAATTTTGGTTATTTTAAGGGGTCATGGTCCCCTTCTGGGAGCATGTAGACAGAACGTAGTTACAGTCCCGTTCTTTTCTTTCTATCCCCATCAAGAGAGAAAATCAAGAGGGAAATACAGGTACTCTTCAGGTGGAAGACCATAAGATCAATAGTGTTCTAAAAGGGACATCATCATTATGGCTAATTCAGGTACGCTTTCGCATTTAGTTTACAACATGTTTACGATATGGGATTACTTTATATTTGATCGTTAGATTGAAGATCATATTTAATTATCAACTTACCTAACAATTGGTATCAGAGCCTCTCATACTTGATTCATGTTTGTCTTAGGAAATATTTAAGAATTGAGATTAATTTACGTAACCCAAAATCCCTAATTGAAAACCCCAAAATTGAGAATCCGGGTTTCTTAAAACCCAATTCTCTGTTCCACGTGTGGCATTATCCGGAGACGGCACAACTGTTGGCTCATCACGAAGAATTAGAGAAGGTCGCACGACGCGCCTCCGGTGTGGCTGGGGAAGGGAGTAGCTGGGTTTTAAAGGCACGATTAGGGTTTGCTGACTGATCATCTTTCAAATTCTCGATCTCATTCATATTCTACCTTCAACACTTTTGTCGCTTACCTGGGGCACAGAGGTGGCATGGATCCTTTCTTTAACTTTGGTGGCTCTTTTGCCGGTTTCGGAGGCTTTGACACCTTCAGACCTCCGAGGACATTGCGAAGGGATCCCTTTAATGATCCTTTTTTTTTCACTCGTCCTCCTGGAAGCATCTTCCAATCTACTCCCTTTGGTCTAAATGGAGATCTTTTCCCGCTGCATATGCATCCACTTGGATTTCTTGAGCAGCAGGCTCTAGAACCAAGAAAATCAAGAGGGGTAATCATTAAGGAATTAAACTCTGATGAGGAAAACGAGGATGCAGAGGAGGAGAAGAAGCATGCTAGGGCAGACAATGAACCCTTTGTTGAACTACCAAATGAAGAAGTTGAAGGGAAGGGGAGAAAATATTTGCAGCATGAAAATAAGTACTGCAGAATTAACAATATTCGTCCAATTCCTCAACCAAGTGACTTCTATGACACTCTTAGAGAAGTGAGGTACTACAACAATCTATTCGTATTTGACCTTGATCGATTTAAGTGACAATAAATAAAGCCTAAGCCTGGAGCAATGTGGCCAACTGCACGAAATGGTTTTCAATTATTTGTTTACCAAGATGACGTGAGTAAAATACTTATATCTCCCTTACATGAAGCTATGGTGGAATTATGGCAGGAGTTCTTTGCTAACCCAGAGGAGTATATATATTTGATTTTATTATATAAATAAAATATTAATTTTTTGGTAGTTTAATATTTTTGTGAGCAAATTGAGTCAAGAAGTTACCAAAGTAACCTCTCTTGAATTGGGTAGTTCGTGAAAAATATTGAATGTTAGTGTTTGTGTATATTATGCGAGTATTAGTCGACCCAAAGGAAGATTAATATTTGGCCGAATTACATACACACCTGTAATGATAAACATGTGATAATTATAAGAATTTACTTTGTCGATGATAAATCAATCCAAAGACTGGTTTGTTGTTGGACGTGTTTTATTGTCAATGTTTGATTATTACAACAAGATACCTCTAGCAGTTAATATTATTGTCCAAAGACTTGATATTGATGGTGCATTGGGTGTCTTGAGATGAGTTAAACCATTATTTGAATATATATTTTATTTATAATTATTTATTTTTTATAATGTGAGCATAATTAATTTATTTCTCTTGTTTTTAATTTAGCTACAATTGTTTCTGTATCTGCCAATTTAAATTATGTTCCGATCCTCAAAAGTATGTTTCCTACTTTGGTCTGTTCTGAAGTCAATTTAGCGTCAGTACCTAGTAACACTTGGTGGTTAGACTCAGGTGCAACTACTAACATCAGTGTTTCTATAAAGGGTTGCCTAAGCTACCGGAAGTCAATTGATTCTGAAAGATGGATATATGTTGGAGATGACAAATCGGTAGAGGTGGAAGTTATAGGGCATTTTAAATTGTTATTGAGTACTGGTTTTTATTTGGATTTGAAAGACACTTTTGTTGTGCCGTCATTTAGACGAAATTTGGTTTCAGTTTCTTATTTGGACAAATTAAGTTATTTGTGTTCATTTGGAAACAATAAGTTCAGTTTGTCTTTTAATTCAGATATTATTGGAACTGGTTCACTTTTGCCTTATGATAATCTGTATTTACTTGATATTGTGACCACCTATAATGAAACCCTTAATACAGAATTACAGGGTACTAAACGTAAAATTAGTGATACTCACTCAGGAGCATTATGGCAGAGGCGATTAGGTCACATCTCTAAAAATAGAATTGAACGACTTGTGTCAACTGGAATCTTAGAGTCCATTGACTTCACAAACTTTGATGTTTGTGTTGAATGCATTAAGAGCAAACAGACCAAAGCGAAGAGATTATGTGCATATAGAGCTACAGACGTCTTAGAGTTGATACATACGGACATTTGTGGGTCATTTCCTACACCTTCGTGGAATGGTCAACAATACTTTATATCATTCATAGACGATTACTCACGATATGCATACTTATTCCTTATACATGAAAAGTCACAATCTCTAGACGTGTTCAAAACATTTAAAGCTGAAGTTGAAAATCAACTCAATAAAAGAATTAAGTCTGTCAGATCTGATCGTGGTGGTGAGTACTATGGCAGATTTGACGGGTCAGGTGAACAGCGTCCAGGACCTTTTGCCAGGTACCTAGAGGAGTGTGGAATTGTCCCACAATATACCATGCTGGGATCACCTAGCATGAATGGTGTAGCTGAAAGATGAAACCAGACTCTTAAAGATATGGTCAGGAGTATGATTTGTCATTCCACCTTACCAGAGTCACTCTGGGGAGAGGCATTAAAGACGACAACTTATATTTTGAACAGAGTACCAACTAAAGCAGCGACCAAAACACCTTATGAGCTTTGGACTGGGCAACAGCCTAGTTTGAAGCATTTCCATGTGTGGGGTTGTCCAGCTGAGGTAAGGTCTTATAAGCCAAATGAAAAGAAATTGGACTCACGAACAGTAAGTAGTTATTTTATTGGTTATGCTGAAAGATCCAGGGGATATAAATTTTATGATCTCACATTAAAGACAATTTTTGAGACGGGAACTGCTACGTTTTTTGAGGATATTGGGTTTGGGAGGAAGAATAAAATCAGAAACTTTGTCTTGGAGGAAGAATCGGTAACAATTCCAGAACCGATTCAAACAGTTACTTTTGATAAAGTAAGTTCGGAACCTCCACAAGACATTGTTAATGAACCCCTTACTTAAGATGATTTGTACATCATGAGCCAATAACTTATACATCATGAGCCAATAACTTTTCAGAGATCCACTAGAGAAAGAAGAAGTGCTATTTCGGATGATTACATGGTATTTCTTCAGGAACATGAGGAAAACAATGGTATGATGGAAGATGACCCAGTTAACTTCTGTCAAGCCATGCAAGGTTCTAACTCTGAAAAATGGATTGAAGCAATGAAGGAGGAGTATAAGTCCATGCAAGACAACAAGGTTTGGGAACTTGTCCCATTACCAGAAGGTATGAGACCCATTGGTTGCAAGTGGATATTTAAGACCAAACGGGATTCTAAAGGTAATGTGGAAAGGTATAAGGTTCGTCTGATAGCTAAGGGCTATACCCAAAAGGAAGGGATTGACTTTAAAGAGACTTTCTCTCCAGTTTCATCGAAAGACTTTTTTAGGACAATCATGGCTCTTGTAGCACATTATGATTTGAAGCTTCATCAAATGGATGTCAAGACGGCGTTTCTCAATGGCAACATTGATGAGACGATTTATATGGTACAACCAGAAAATTTTGTGCAGGGAGATTCAAAGAATACGGTTTACAAACTGACAAAATCTATTTATGGACTAAAGTAAGCATCTCGTCAATGGTACTATAAATTTCATCAAGTAATTCTCTCATTTGGCTTCGAGATGAATATTGTTGATGATTGTGTATATCACAAGTTTATATGGTACAACCAGAAAATTTTGTGCAGGGAGATTCAAAGAATACGGTTTACAAACTGACAAAATCTATTTATGGACTAAAGCAAGCATCTCGTCAATGGTACTATAAATTTCATCAAGTAATTCTCTCATTTGGCTTCGAGATGAATATTGTTGATGATTGTGTATATCACAAGTTTAAGGGAAGTAAGTATATTTTTCTGATCTTATATGTTGATGACATTCTACTTGTCACTAATGATATAGGCATATTGCACGAAACCAAGAAATTTTTATCAAAGAATTTCGAAATGAAAGATCTTGGTGATGCGTCTTTTGTATTAGGAATTCAGATACACCGAGATCAATGTCGGGGTATTTTAGGATTATCACAAAGGAGCTATATTGAAAAAAATTTTAAAAGGTTTGGCATGCATGAATGTAAATCCGGGGATACTCTAGTTGCTAAGGGAGACAAGTTTAGTCTCAATCAGTGCCCAAAGGGAAATTTGGAAATTGAGGAAATGCAAAAGATTCCCTATGCATCAGCTGTAGGGAGTTTGATGTATGCCCAAGTATGTACGCGTCCAGACATAGCATACATAGTTGGGGTTCTAGGCAGATATTTAAGCAATCCAGGAATGGACCATTGGAAAGCAGCAAAAAGGGTCATGAGATATTTAAAAAGAACAAAAGATTACATGCTCACATACAGGAGGTCAGACCAGTTGGAGATCGCTGGGTTTTCTGACTCGGACTTTGCAGGATGTCAAGATAGTTTGAAATCCACTTCAGGTTACATTTTCATGTTAGCAGGTGGTGCGGTTTCTTGGCGTAGTGTCAAGCAAACCCTTACAGCTTCATCCACTATGGCAGCAGAATTTGTAGCATGCTATGAGGTGTCGAATCATGGAATATGGCTGAAAAATTTTGTCACAGGGCTGCAAATTGTGAAAGGCATTGAAAGACCACTTAAGTTATATTGTGACAACAAGTCAGCTGTATTGTATTCTAACAACAACAGAAGTTCGACTAAGTCAAAACACATCGACATTAAGTTCCTAGTTATTAAGGAAAGAGTACAGAGTGGACAGATTTCCATAGAACATTTAGTGACAAACTCCATAATAGCAGATCCTCTAACTAAAGGACTTCCGCCTAAGGTCTTTCATGAGCATGTTGCTCACATGGGTGTTTTACAGTTTGAGGAATTTGTGGTTTAGTGGGAGTTAGTCATTTTCATATATTTTATGTTCTATATTTAATTTTATATATGTATACATTGATTTTTTGGACATATTTGGTTATCTATAGATATGTGGTTTTTGTTCATTCATTACACTTTGTACATTAAGGTTATTATATCGATCTCGATAAGTTAAAGTTTGGACCAGTTGAAAATAGACGTGTACAGATCACATTCACGTAATGTTTCATGCTACACATTTCATGATGAATCCATGTCATTTGGTTATGTCGGGATGAGTAATCATTATTGGTTTTAGTTGCGATGATGCAATGAAAAACTGGTTTGGTTCTATATCCTGATATGATTAATGGACATGACTTTTGGAATATGCTAAAGGAATATAATGACAATTTTGAGCTCATAAAGTCTAACACATTTGTAAGATTGTAAGGACATATATATTTGTGACCAGTGGGAGATTATTGGCAAAATTTGGGTCATGTATATATATGATACATATTTAAATGTGTTAGGGTCATTATTTATTAAGTCAAATAATAAAGTGATCTGACTAAATTAAAAAGGTTTGGTTAAAGGCATATGTCATGAAAATAAAATTGTGTAAAGACCATAGAGCAATTTCTAATTTGATGAGGGGCCAAATTGGAAATACTAAAACTTAAGTAATTAACCTAATTTTGGTTATTTTAAGGGGTCATGGTCCCCTTCTGGGAACACGTAGACAGAACGTAGTTACAATCCTGTTCTTTTCTTTTTATCCCCATCAAGAGAGAAAATCAAGAAGGAAATACATGTGCTCTTCAGGTGGAAGACCATAAGATCAATAGTGCTCTAAAAAGGACATCATCATTATGACTAATTTAGATATACTTTCACACTAAAAAGGACATCATCATTATGACTAATTTAGATATACTTTCACATTTAATTTACAACATATTTACGGTGTAGATTGAATATCATATTTAATTATAAAATTACCTAACACTCAAAAGCTTGAAAGCATATATGAAGATTTCCATCTCATCTCTTTTGCTAACATAATATACCTGTAATATATTTGAACTTTTAGAGACTTATGTATCTATCTAATCTCGGAAAATAAAGACACAACATCATTATATGAGATATTCGGTGTATTTAAAACATCCAATAAATAAAATAATCCCTATTATCTATAAACATTTCTATTTACTCAAAAAAATTTGGTCGGGCCGTCCTTTTAAATACATATCAACAATTATAGAGGTGCTAAAAGTTATCTATTCACTCTTTACTATTCATGCCGATATATTTTACTGTACATAACGAGTGACTTGTTACATTATATGCATTATAGATAAATTTTTCTACAAAGATATATAACAGAAAAATAAAATAATTTTTTTCATAAATCAAAGTCAACACATTCACATTTATTTTTAGAGAATTTATTTTAATTAATATTACCCACTCAATTTTTTTCTATAAATATTAATCAGAAATTCGATTTAATATAGTCCAACATATCATCTAATTTTGAGTACACAATATAATTTAATAAACAACACCAAAATTTGAACCCTAAACTATTGAATTAAAAGACATAAATTGCAATATACCAAAATGTTTTAGAAAATAAAAGTATATCCATAAACTTCAGACTGTGAACATGTTCTGTTCTCAAGGATGTAGGAGTCTTTTTATATACTTTCTTTGTCAAATTCTCAGATAAAGAAACCATAAGAGGAATTCTGTTTCTGGAACGTGGAAAATGAGTATTTTGCTTTTGTCTAGAACAATGTTAATTAATGGGATTTACCCGTCCTCTTACCCGAGTTTGACACATAAAAATCGAGTAAATCTAGAGCGGGAAGCGAATTCGAATCTTTTCCGTTTTAAAAGTCGAGGACGAGAGATGTATAATACAATCCCTACCCCGTTTCTATCCCGACTTTATATTTAAATTTTAAAATATTAATACTGTAAAAATATTTTTTTCTTTTTCTATTATATATAATATCATTTTTTTTATATATTTTACCATTTTTACTTTTCTTCTACCCACTTTTTATTTTTTTTATTTTTTTAATCTTTTATATCAATTAGTTTATTATATTATTATTTCTCTTACCTTTCAGTTTTTCACATTTTTTTAATCTCTCCAATCAATTTGTTTTTTTTATTCAATCTTTTTAACCAATTTGATGAACATAAAATTAGTTTTTTTTCTTCTTTATCTTTTTCTAAATATTTTACATAAATTTTAGTAGTAACTAATATTATTTTATTTATAATCTATATTTATTAGGTTTTATTATGTCATAACTTTTTATCTTTTTATTCTTATTTGTCATATATCAAATTTTATCTTAATAAAATAATTGTATTTTAAAGAATTAAAAATTTGATAATTTAAACTTTTATTACTTTAAACTAATTAAATAAGAATTAATTTATTAAATATTTTCTTATAAACTATATATTTCATATTTTTAAATAATAATTTAAAAATAAATTCATATGTAATCAAATGTTTAAATACAATAATATAATAATAATAATAATATTAAAATATTTGAATATAATAATAATAATAATATTATTATTATTATTATAATAAGTATTCAAGTATTTAAATATAGTGTTATAATAATATTATTATTATTATAAATATTCTATATATATAAATAAAAAAATAATTAAATATTTTTTTTATATACATATTTTAATATAAATATAATAAATTAAAAAATATATTTAATTAATAATTATTATAAATTATAAAAATATAAATATTTATTTATATATAAAAAATACATAGTAAAATTAGAGATGGTAAAATGGGTCAACCCATCCTGTTTTAGACTATTACGTCTTTGGTCCGCCAAAAGCAAGACGGACGAGCCGACCTCTATAATCATGACGGTCGTAAACCTTGGTCCGCCTCGCCAAGGAACAAGTTGGCAGGCTCGGCCACGCCATAATTTAAAAAAAAATATTTTTTAAAATATAAATTTTTAATATATTTAATAATAAGATTATTATTTATTTGTCAATAATTCAATATATATATAATTTTAATTTAATAATATAAATCAACACATTATTTTAAGAAATTATAATTTAGAACAATAATAAAATTTACATTTTAATTTAATAATATAAATCAATACATTATTTTAAGAAATTAAAATTTAGAACAATAATAAAATTTAAATAATGATAAATAATAACAAATATATATATATATATATAACGTTAAAACTTATAAAATTTATATTTTTTATATTGAAAAAATTAAATACCTATATCTTTTTTATTTGATAAAACTTCACATTGTTCTCCCTTAAATAATTCATTCACCTTTAATTCAAGTCATAAGGATAAAAATAATCAGTGTTTAGGATGAACAAGGAAAACACGAGAGAGAAATTTATGTTTCATTAAGAAGAATATTTGTTGCGAGAGTGAAATATTTTAATTTTATTTTTAAAATTTTTAACTTTATATATTATTTTTATAATTAACTTTATTATAATAAAAAAATATTTTTATTAATTAGGCATATCACAACTACTTCGCCGGGTTGACTCGATAGATTGGCGGGACGAGCCAAAGCTGGCTGGCGACTAAAAACATCAAGCTGCCTCGTCGGATCTGATCCGTTTTGTCATCCTTAAACAAAATTAATTTATTATAAATATAATTATATTTTTAAAAATAATATAGATCCGAAAAAATTTGAAATCTAACGTAAGGAATAAAAGAAACTTAATTTCTACCTTAGAATAGAAGGAGGTGAGAAGAATGGGAGGCACCCCATCCTGTTGTATGATGCCTGTACATATAAATTTGTCTTTTGTGTGTGTACATTTAAAATATGAATGACATTACTTCTTGTCAATTTAATAATATATTTTATTATAATTATATTTAATTATATACATCAATTAGATATATAGTATATATGCAATACAAATTTTAATTATCGGTTTTATATAATTAAATAACGAATTTTTTTTCATTTTTAACATGATATAATATAAGAAAAAAATTTCTCAAAAAAAATATTAAAAAAAAAAAACGTGTGATGAATTTCATGTATGTATTAGGCATGTAACGTTATATACGTAAAATCATGCGCGTGTCACAATTTTTTTTAGTTACGTATAGTGCTGCTCGTCAGTCTCGTTTTTTTCTAAGCAAATCAGGAGGAAAAACAATGAACAGTGATTTTCCGATTTTATTTTTTTTTGTACACCATAGAGACAATTAAATTGGAGGCACTCAAGTAGAATATTAGGGATAATTAATAAATATTTGTTTATGATTATGGATTGAATTAATTGGAAGATTCTAATATGAGTTAATCCACTTGACATGTTCAAAGGTTCCTTTGGTAGTTTAACCAAAGAGCCGGAATCCCTGTGACAACTCCGGTGGAGCCATTAACGGCCACCGGCACCCCAGTTACCGCCGAAAACGACACAGAATTGGAGGTACAAGAAGAACGTTCGGGTACTTTCACCCTCACCGAAATGTTAATAACCCCATTTCTCCTAACGTTACAGTCCCACAACCTATAGCTCAAGAAATGCAACTGATTTTCTGGAACGTATCCTCCAATGAAATCAGAAACCGGTATTCGAGCCACGCCAACACTGTTAGACCCCGTCGATGACGACGACGTTTTGCACTTCACCTCAACGGTTATGAACCTTGCATGCAACGGCACGTTCACCACAACCTTCTCATTCCACGAAGGGTAACTTCCACCCTCTGAATCCACTTTCGTGACAGGACTTGCGTCGCTGCTAGCGTCGGAGTGAACAGCCACAAATGTATTTCCTTTGACGGGTTTTCTGTTCACTTGAAGATTCTCTGCGGATAAAATTGTGATTTCCACTGTTCTTGACATCGCGATATGTGATTAGTTTTTCAAACAAAAAAAGAATGTATGTACAAGATTTATGATGCGTTGAAATGTTGAATTGAGGGGGGAGAAGGAAGTAGAGTTAAATATGATTAGGTTTAGGAAAGGTGAGAGAAAGAAGAGAGAAAGAAAGAGGTTGCTTCTTTTTAATGTTGAAGCACTTTCCTGTGGCTTGAACATGGGTGCTAATACAACATACGTGGTTTTGAAAGTTGACGTAGTAAGGTTACGAGGAAGTTTCAGTCCTGTTGGAAGGAATTTTCAATCTTTTTATATTACACGTTCAAGACTGCTTTAGTCTTAATTTATTTAGTATATTTAGATTAAAAATAAACAAAACGGCCAAGACTTTCTTCAAATTTAGTAATTGACATTTTCAATTTAAACAACTGGGTGTATGATTATGCAACTTCCATGTTTTTTGTTTTTTATTAGTTATGGTACTCTGTGATTTAAACAAAACAAAAAAAAAAGTATTTTTTTATGTAACGTTAAAGAAGATTTTGATTTTTGTTTCTATTGACTATGCTTTTTTTTTTTCTTTCTTTTTTTTTAAGTTGGAATAGTTTTAAAGGAAAAGTTGAAAACACCTTTGAGAATGAAATGATTGGATTTGATCGGGGACTTGGTTTTAATTGGTTGGAGGTAGTTGTGTTCCAAAATCTGTCCCCTTGCTGAGTAAATTCCAAGGGAGAAAGTTCCATGTGTTAATCGGAAGTTTATACTTGTATTGAATTAGGGTTTTTGCATACCAAGTCAACCATTGCCCCTGTTTCTTTGTGGTAGAGAGAGAAATACCCGGAAGGTTACCAGTGTATACTTTGGAGATTGTAACCTCACGAATTCTTATTAAATTTATGGAAAAAAATATATTTTTTATTATTACACTTTTATCTTCAAACTTTATTTTATTTCCTTTTTTTTAAATGGATAAATTAATTTAAAAATAAAATACGTGAATTTATTTTCTTCTTCAATATTATATTAGTGAAAAATTGTAAAGCATAAAAAGATTAAACTTACGCATTTTAGAAAAAATAAAACTCTAACTCACATATTTGGAATTGCAGAAATTAAAAACATATTTTTCCTTAAATTTATTGTTGTGGGTTTGGGCCATGGTCAATGGCAGAGGCTCCACATTTTCCTTTATCCAAACGGTGTTCGTCGGAGCCTGTTACCAGTTGAGTATCCCACTGCTTATTAAACTTGCTACCAATTACTATGCTGGAACGACGAGAATTAACGCCATAAAATCTATGTAAATGCGTAACTACACATCATGATTCTAGGCCTTGAACTTTATATGCATGTTAGTCTTCAAAAGAAAAAAATTTGTCAACCACGCTATCATGAAGTCCCACATTGAATAGTTACACAAAAATATTTTGCTTTATAACTAAGGTTTGTGCCTTCACAGTTGTGTTCGTGAAAAGGAGAGATGGTTGGCATCTCCCCTGACAGGGACGGGAACAGCCTTCGGGCTTTCCTATACACATCCGGTTAAGGCTACCCACCCTTCGGTGGATCTCTAACCCAATTTTTTTCGCCATAACTGCCGCTATGCGTTAACCTTGAAATGTTATATATGTCCTTTTGTTATGAAACACGATTCTTTGAAACGGACAAATATGTTTGGATTAAAACTTGTAAATTTAATTTTATAGTAATTTTCGTATGACAAACTGACTTTGGTTGGTCAATATAGTCAACAGCTCAGGTGTACCAACTATCTATTGCTCAAACAACGATGTCACGCATGTACTTCAAGATCAAGTGTTAAACACTGATTTTATTCTTAGCAAACGTGCCTTTTGTCAGATGGCCCAAACCACTGATGCAGCTGCCATAATATAACTCTCAACATATAACCAGTTGCTGATTATATGTCGAGAGTTCTCGACATAGAGACCATCATCAATATTTGTTTTCTTGACTTAACCGGGGCTATGTCTGTCCAGTGTTGCATGCAGCTACCCACATAAAAACATAATCAAGATAGATGAGAGCAACAACCACCCTTACTGCTGGCTTTTGTCATTTATATCATCAAGGAAGAAGAGACATAACTGCTGTGCAGCTCTGTGAGGTATTATTATCCATCTTCCAATTAACTCCTACCGTGATATGTGATAATTAAGTTAATTTGAACACTAATTCTTTTAATCAGACAATTTTAAGTACGTTAAATGTGAATACTAAAGATAACTACTCATCAGTAATGGGATATTCATATTTTCAACCAAATCACAATTGCTTGAGAAAACTCAGAAATAATTATACTTCGTGCAGACTCTGTGTTCAAGATCCTGGATCGGATCCATGGAGCAATATGTTGACCATTACCTATCCACCTAGTGGACCTTTCTCTATAAGGATGTTGTTCAGTGATGAAAAAGTGGGAGAAGAAACGTGGTTATGGCAAGAAATACATCTAGTATTCATTTGATACTGAGCGGTATACTCAAGTTATAATTAATAGCTGGGGTTTGACCAGAGGAAAATGTGGTAGTCACTAGAATAGTCTCAACATCATTACTAAGGTTAATAAGGCGAGACAACTATTTTGTTAATAAGGTTAAAAATATATATCATAATGTCCTGATGAATTCCAAACATTGGAGGGTCAGATATCGTATAAGAATAATGCTTTAATTTCTTCCAAACAAGATCAAATGATTATGGAATAAATATCTAATGTGTCCACTGTTAAAGGGTAGACGACGCTTGTTTGCTGGGACGAAGAGCTGTCTTGGGTGTTTCTTAGGCAGCACTTGTTTGCTAAAGTCTTAGGCCCCATCAAATATATCTATATATATATATATATAACAGAAATGGACATTACATCAAGCATAAATCAAATTGGGAACACAATATTTTGGAGGAGATAAAACCAAAAAGGGTAAAGGGTCCGATTAATGGGACTGAGGGACATCACATCATCCATGAATCACATTTTCCATTCTATATTGCCTCGGGTTTGGACATAGTCTTACAATTACAAGATTTCTTGATATATATATATATATAAAAGACTTTCTGTTACAAGAGTAGTTCTTAATAATAATCTAAGCGAGCAAAATTTGATCTAGACAAAGTTTATATGACATTTCGGCATTGACAAGCATTTTAAGGCCATCTTTCAGATCTGCTATGCCTTCACCCAAAACAGCACATACAGGATATACGGGAACACCTTGTACCCTTCTCTTTAATTCTTTATACACTTCATCTGCACCTTCCTCATCAATCTTATTTGCAACTATCAGAGATGGCCGATTGGACAAACCATCCTGATGGTACTCTAGCTCTAGAATTAAGTCTCTCAGCTGTTCCCATGGTGGAATTCCCTTTCTTCCATTTAAAGCAGCAGCCAAGTCTACCACATAAGCAAGAACCTTTGTGCGTTCTATGTGGCGTAGAAATGCATGCCCGAGTCCACGATTTTGATGTGCACCTTTTATAAGTCCAGGAATATCAGCCACGGTTATTGAGAAATCATCATAGTTTAGATTCCCCAAATTTGGCCTAAGAGTAGTAAACGCATAGTCACCAATAGCAGGCTTAGCCCTTGATATAGCCCCAAGTAAAGTACTTTTACCAGCATTAGGCATTCCCACAAAGCTCACATCAGCAATACTCTTGAGTTCTAATATTAGAACGGTCTCAGAACCAGGTGAACCTGCATTCAGAGAGGAGTGGACACTGTCAGAGTCCTGAAGATTAGGTATGTGTTGACATGCCCCTGCCTTCATAGTCACATATTTCCTGGAATCTTTGGAACAAGACACATTGCCCAGACCACCCTCTCCTCCACGAGCAATGACAATTTGTTGACCTTCTTCTGTTAACTCAGCAACATTGTATAGTATCTCTTGGTTCCCTTCTATATCCTCTCTACAAAATTCGGGAGCTCCATTAGAAGTAGAGAGTTGAGAGAATACATCTGTTGATGCAACTTGTCTTGATTTTTCAGATTTCTTAGCATTTGTTTCTTCAGTTTGTGCTGAGGAGCAGCCAATAGAATGTATTGCTTCGACTTTCCCACTTGTGACACTAGAGGCATGACCATAGCCAGGGTCACGAAGATCATCAACAAGTGCCCCAGGAATCTCCCAAGGGTCTACATCAGTCGAGGATTGAGTTTTGACAATGGAAGGACGATCACCATTAACAAGATGAAGTACAGTTCCGATGGGCACGCGGGCAACCTATTAAATAAAGCACACGATTTTGGAATGAACTTGCTGTTCTGTATTTGGAACACGGCTAAATAAGAGAAGAAAAATATGAATTGTTTTAAAAGCAGAAGGAACAGGTAAAACATCAATTACCTTATCAGCACCCCTGCTACCTATCAGCTTTTTTGATGATCCAGGTCCTCCTTTCTCGGCTATCTATGAGAAAACATTAAGTGTCACCAAACCAATCTTTAAGACGTGAAAATTTTCATCATTCAGAAAATATTTTGGCAGAAGATACAAGCACATACAAGGTGACGCTGTAAGCCACTGAAGTCCCAAACTCTGGGAGAGCATTCCAGAATCACGTCACCACCCCTCCCCCCATTACCACCTACATTAAACACAGACATCAAAGTAGCATTGTCATTAGCTCCATTGCACGCCATTCACATTTCTAAAATTGTGGTCTGCAACTACACTACAGCTACAATATTACAGTTTTGTTGAATGTCTCTACTACCTAATCGCATCCACAATGGCAGTAGCATTGGACCGCAATATCCGTAATCACAATGCAACTACATTGCGATTCAAAACATTGGCTATACATCATAATAAAGAGACATACACACCATCAGGCTTTCCCTTGCGCAAGCTGGAGCAACCATTACCTCCATCACCTGCTTTTGCAAATATCTTACACTGGTCTATCATTCGTCTCTCCTACAAAACCACCCATAACCCCATTGCAGTGGTCAAAAACATAAAATAAATGACAGCATGTCCTTTTCTGTGCATTAAGCGGGGGAGGTACAAAAAAGAGTTGAGGATCAACCTGCAATGGAGCAAGCTTAGACTTCTTCTGAGGAGTATCGGAGTAACGAGCATTAAGTGTAATGGACCATCTAGATACACACCTTTGCGCAAAAGCTTCCATGTCTTTGATGCATTTCGGTTTAAAGAGTAACATTTGTGTATGTTGAGTTATATTTGCATAAACTAGTAACTTGTAAGAGCGGAACCAGGTTGTTCCTCTATTTTTTTTTTTAAGGTTCACGCCTTAAAAAATTGTTCAAAGCAAATGCAAGATTAATGTTAGACCGACACCACTACCTTCAGTGAAGAAAGTTAGTTCGATTTATTAATTTTGATGGAATTTTGGTTGCGGAGTTTTCTCAAACAGGTTTCGCGCATGCAGTGAGTTATATCGTTATATTCTCGTCCAGTTACTAACGTCATGTCGAGTTATTTTTAATAAAAGTAAAATGTGAGAGTGAGAGTCACCAAACCTTAATTACTACAGCATGATGAAGTGCATGATGAAGTGCATGAGATATTTGAGACTCTGCGAGTGATATATACGTTGGCATGCAATGAAAGGGTGAATGAAATGAAAAATGAATTTGAGAGAAAATTAGTGGGCGCGTGCGGATCCTTTCAGGGCCTTAGCAAAATGTACATTTCTAGTCACTTTCATCTCAGACTGACACGTGGAGATCCAGTAATCAACGGCTTAGATTTAAATGTAAAGGCTTAACTGCATTTTTGCGATTGTAGTTTATGAAGGGTGATCTTAAACCTAATTTGAAACCAAAATAACATGCTTTAATATTAAGTACATGATCATCAAGACACTATATATAAATATATATATATATTATACATAATTTAACAGTATGAAAAAATAAAAATTACACATATATTTATTAGTAGTAAAGAAATAGTATAACAATCTATATTAACTTAGACTTAAACTTTTAAAAATAATATTAAAAATAAACAATATTGACTTAGACTTTTAAAATTATTTTTCTTAGTATAATTTACTCATTATATTAAATAACTTTTTTCTTTTGTAAAGTTGTGTTTTTTATTTATCATTTTTTTCTTTTGATATTTTAGGTATTATTTTTATTTCTTTTATATAATAGTGTTTTCTTCATATGTCACTAAAAAATTGATCTTAGCCCTACTAATATTAGTATCATATATTATTTAACACTTAGAAGTTTAACGCTAAATTAAGTATTGGATTAAATCTTATTAATTTTAAAAGTTTAAAATCGTAATTCAACCATTGAAACCGAAGATATTAAAACAACATTTTTTTTAATAAATTATAACGCTAAAAGCACATTTAACTCAAATCTAAAAGATGTGCAACTTACTAAACAGAAAACAAGACTCGGGGAAAGGTATATTCAAAATGTAAAAGGTCGTTTTTTGATCTATAAGGAGTTTTTGTAAAATTATAAATTTGTTTAGATCAGTTTTTCATAAATCTTTTAAAGAAGGAAATAAATAAAAAATTAAAACTAAAATTATTTCTTCGAAAAAAAAATCTTAAAAATTAGAAGTATTTATGAAAAAGTTTATTTATTTATGGTTAACAAACTTAAAATTGCTCGTAAGACTGACCATACTTTTGCATGTTCAGATTTTTTTAATTATTTTTCTGTTCCACCATTTTTTTCTCATTTTTAGTTAATCTTACTATTTTCAAAACTAAGTCGATATAAATAGCCTATCAAATAAGTAATAAATGATTAGGATGAGGTAGTTAACAATGCACAGACAACACATGTTTTGTCGATTGTGCATGTCACCAAATTTCATTTTAAATTAATAACTATTGATTGCGTTGTGTTTCATTTTCACATATGTGTGTATGGGCATCTCTAGAAAGTGAATCATGAAGTAGAAAGTGAATTTGTGAATGTTTGTATTTCAGATTTCAAAATTAATAAAATAATGATGAATAGCCAACGACTAAACAACCAACGAACTGTAACAATATCAGTTGTCTATCTGTTATATGTAGTTTCTCTTGTAAAATGCTGTAAAAAGTCTAAAGCACAAATGAACCTTTACATTTCAAATCAAGTAGAACGAAGCAAAAAGATACAGAACTTCAAGATAAGGCACATTCAGCAAGCACATCCTCCTCCATCAGGTTGAGAGTCATGGCCAGCAGAAGATCTTAGGTTCACGTCAACCATGTCTTCTTGTTTTGTGGAAGATAGTGTTTCCATTCCAGGTAATGCAGCAGCAATTTTTCGAAAGAGCGCCTAAATATAGGTTTTACATGTCAAGGTCAAAACCAGGAAAAAGGTAAAATCATGCAAGCAAATGAAGGTAATCATGTGACTCAAACAGTTGGCCTTTTGAAAGCCATCACAACTGCAACAAGTAAATCTCTGTTGGGATGACCCCGGCCTAACTCTACCCACAATGTGAAAATGTGGTTTATTTTTTCTTACTGTCAAGAGTATATATGCAATTACCAACATGGGGTTAAAAGTATCAAGAATTATTGAATGGGCATATTATATAGAATCATGTTCTAAATTTTATGTGTGAATGGGCATATTATTGCTCTAAATTTTACATGAGGACAGTAGACAGGCAAGTTATTAGACAAATATAGCAGAAGTAGGGGAGGCTTACCTTTATATTAAAGCCAGCTTTGGCACTAGCTTCAATAAACATGACGTTTAGTTCACGAGACTTAGCTTCCCCTTCCTCTGTAGAGACTTGCCTATCCGTGCAAATTATATTGCTCATAAGTAAAAGGTGACATCAAAAATTATCAGAAGGATGGAAACTTCAAAGAAAACTTCTACAAGACATCAAAACAAATCAAACATGCAACATTTCACGTGCCAAACAATTCAAGCAACCAAAACCTAGGAGTAAAAGTCACCCACTGCTGCACTTTAAAATTTAAGCAACATTCTTACAGCACTAGTTAGGACTTGGGAGATCGAAGCATTTTCCAAGTTCACCAAGCCAGGAAACAACATTTATTTTATAACTTGTGTTCAGCTAGAATTAAGAACACATACACGCTCACATTTTAACAAATTTTCCAGGCAATTGAAGCAACCACACTGAAAGGAAAGAAGGTCATTTTGGATAAAATATGTTCATAATTTTTACAGACCCTCTTCCACATTCCCCCAGCTCCATCTCTCTCATATGCATACTATAAAAAAGAAGATACTAAAATGCTCAAAAAATTATGTATTAGTAATTGATCAAAATCAAAGAGCTACTGACTAATAGGAAACAAAAGAAGCATGTCGTGAAACAGGCCAGAATAAACCATCTAATGAAATCATTCTACTATTATTACCTCTTATCCACAAGGTCAGTTTTGTTCCCAACAAGTACAATAATAACATCACTGCCTCTCTCACTGCGCACCTCTTCAATCCACTTTGATGTGTTTAGGAAAGTTTGACGACCTATTTCATAAGAGAATTGAATAAGAATGCATCTGCTTTTTTGCTGCTTTTGGACACACATTCCCTTGAGGAACTTGAGTATTATTGTTGCGAAAAAGCAGTAAAAAGAAAGGAATAGATGAAGGAAAACACCCTAAATAGCATACTTGCAACATCATAAGCAATGACAGCAACTGATGAGTCCCTAATGTAGCTTGGAATAAGACTTCTAAATCTTTCCTGTCCGGCAGTATCCCTGTTGCCACACGTCACAGAGATGAACAAAAAAATGAAGGCTTTGTGGGGAAGAAGATTAAAAACAACATATTAGATGATGAAGGAACCTGTAATACTAATATAGGTGGCCCAAAAATAGCAATTAAACACACCAAATGACCTCACTCTGATTAACCAATAAGCAGCAATTTTTTAAACTCAAGTAACGAAGCTAAACAAGATACAAATAGTAATATTAGAATCTTTAGAATACAAATAACTGTCTGAGAATTTCTCTCATCCCCCCGACAAATTACATTTAAATCTGATTGCAAGACTACCTATCTTTAGTCAGTGTCCAAAAGTGGCTTCGAGATATTAAGGATCTAAGACCAAAACAACTTCAAAACATTCCTTTTTATGCTTTAAATCAGAGTACAAATGAACACAAAAGAGAAGAATAATTAAGAATGGATAAAAGCCACTGCAAATGGACATTGTAAAGAGTTTAAAAGGTATTAGATAATGTCAAAGGATCTCAATACTAAGTTGAAAGAATTTTCAAAAGGTGATCGAGAGAACTTCGATGCTAGCATTCATAAAATATCACATTCTCAAAGGCACTCCCATACAAGATCACACTGCAAGACAATGTTAGGATTGTTAGCATTCATAAAATATTACATTACATCCTTCACGTACGTATTGCTAAAGTGGGAATAAATTTTATTCTCCAAAAGCCTTCCTTTACTTCCTTAATACCACTATTTTCCCTTCCCTTCCAAAATTAGATTGTTAAACCGTTTTTCCCTTCCCACTACTTTCCTAATACCATTATTTTCCTTCCTAATAGAACTTCCATCATGCCACATCTTACCACAGCTGCAGCCGAACAGTTCGATCTTCAAGGTACATAGTTTTTGATAAAAAATCAATACCAATCGTGGCCTGTTTGAAAAAAATAATATTAAGTACAAGCAAAAGAAAATGACAAAATATATATGATCGCATTATGCTTATGAGACAACTTAATAAGAAGACAAATTTTTTATTCAATTACAGAGCAGTTCATGGGCTTCTATAGTTCTACCTAACAAATTAAGCTTTTAAGATAGCTATTTGACATGGTGTAGAATCGCTCAGGAGTTATAAAGTAGAGTTGGACACATTATAGATAGAAAGCCAGCTATTCATTTCAGGGGCTTCGTTTTGTTCCTTAACAAAAAGGTCACATTTTCCAACCACTTAGATACCATAATTGAAATTACTCCCTCCCTAAACTTTCAATTCCTTCACCTTTCTGTCCTGTTTCACCACACAAACTCCCTTGCATTGTCCTATATATTAACAGTTTTTATAGGTAAAAGAATATCATCAACCATGATCCCACATAGGAAACTTGTGATCTGCTAAACCTACGTTTCAATACAACAAATACATTTGATAGATTCAGATCAATCATCATCAAAATAGTAATTCCGTGAGGTGCAATGCAGAATTTGTTGTCATTTCCTTTCCCTGATGAAAGCAAAGACATTGAAAATTAAAAGTGGCTGAGAAAGTGGATCTGATGACCTGATAAGTGTTGTCAAATTTGTCGTACATGAAACGAGTGATGATGCTGGTTTTTCCCACAGACTGATCACCCAAGAACACAAGTTTGTACTTTGCAAGAGCTGACACTGGCGCCATTTTCACAGCCCCAACACAGCACAAAGAACACAACACGCCTTAACACAACAAAATGTCTCTTCTCATTCAGATTTCCTCCTTTCTCTCTCAGCCATGGTCGACGTATTTTTGTTACTGCAATTTAAATAGAAATCTGACGTTTTTGGTGCACTACAAATAAATTTATTTTTTCTATGCCTAGATAATAATAACTATAATTAATTTAAATGCACTCTGAAATCAACATCAAATAAATACCACTTTAAATGTTTTTTTTTGTTTGAGAACTTTAAATAGTTAGTACAATAAAAAGTTAATAAACTTCATAGATAATATATATTGAATTTCTTTATTAATGGTATAAAAAAATATTTACACTATCAATAGTATTCTATTTATTTACTTTTATCCTTAAATGAATCGAATTTACATCATTTACTTTTATCCTTTCTCAATTTAAACACCTAATCCATGTAACCCTACAACTTTCTTTCATCTTTTTTTTTTCATTATATAATTATGATTTTATTATTGAAAATTATATTTTATGTTACAAAAAATTAAGCATCTTTTTTGCACAGAACATCTGATGTTTGAAAAGTTTTTAATAATATTCTCAAAAGAGAAAGGTCTATAAGCACCATGTGTTACAGACGTTCTTAAGATGTCTAAACTCACATAGACCCAAAAATTAACTGTATCAAAACTCTCCTCTCTTTTTTCGGGTAGCCAGGTATTTTTTTGTTTTTTTATTAACCTGTCTTTCTTCGAAATATAAACACATTAATAAACGAGGAACGATTAATTGACAACCATATATCTAAATAACAACTAAAATTATTAATATATTATATGAATATATTAATTATTTGGTTTATATAAAAAAAATTATCAAACCAACATTTTTCATAATAAATTTCACCAAAAACAAATCCATAAAAGTAGCCTCATGATGAGAGGACTTAAAATAGTATATATAAATAAGTTCATATGCTCTTTTCTCGCTCCATTCATTATAAAAAAAACCACCAAAAACAAATACGGTACTAAATTCAATTAAACTGAATTGTTGTCAGTCTTTTAGGCTCCATCTGGTGGTCATAGTGTCTAATAATAAAACAATCACTTTTATCCTATATAAAATATCTAATATAAAAACTTTGCAATACAAAGGATTCCGTTAGAATTACAAGCTAAACATTTTGAGACGGGTCAATCAATAAGGTACAAAGAAAGTAATCATAACAATAATAATATCAAAAAAACCATTTAATGCCCAACAGGAGAGTAACAGAGGAAGGATTCTCATTGTTTGTCCCTGACGAATAATAACTTTCTACGCTATTTTTTTCTACATATTAGTATAATTTTTTGTCAGAAATTGACTTTCTAACTTCTTTTTTTCATATTTATTCATCTTTCAATTTTAGTCCTCTCTATCGAATGCGATGTTTATTTTTTCTAAAAAAAGTCATTAATACCAAAAATCGTAGTAAATAAATTATAAAGCTAAAAGACGGTGTAGCACAACCAACAAAAAGGAAAACCCAAATTGGCGTATTGTTAGTAGTGCTTAACTCAAACGCGAGGTGTGATGGTAATCTAATGTTTCCAACATGTAATGTTACCATGTTAGACAAATATGCAGTCAGTCAAATATGCAACAGTTTGACGCTGATCAAGGTTGAATCCATTACCTTGAAATAGCCGTCTTCGTCAATGAAAACTGGTTTGATCTTACATTGTCCAAAGCACATAATAGACTCGGTCTTCGCCGGCCATTGATTTGAAACATCATCATCATTATTACTAGGCACTGACTAGAAAGCGCTAGCAAGATGGAAAATAGTGGTACATGAACAATGAACAAGTTTATCCAAATGAACAAGTTAAATACAAACATATGTCGATCCAAATGAACAAGTTAAATTTTAAACTTATCACACATTATATAGGGTACAATGAACACAATCCAATTTTGGGTTGGGGAGTTTCACTACTTCAGTACATTATGGCGGGCATAACCAACTAACAACAGTAATTTCCTAGACGAAACTTGTATCCAACCCCTACCCTGCACCGCTTCTATACTCTTTCATCTTTTCATATAATGCTGCAGAAGACTATAGCAAAACCTGCATAAAACAAAAGGCATGGCACAAAAAGTTGGACCGCACATGATAAACTATAATTAACATGCACATCCACTGGACTGAGGTTGAGACTGAGCGCTTCCAGTTGTAGTCTTTAGGTTTACATCTACCATGTCTTCTTGTTTTGCAGAAGAGAGCGTTTCCATTCCAGGTAATGCTGCAGCAATTTTTCGAAATAAGGCCTATACAGATGCCCCATAACAAAACACATGGTAAGTTAGAAGCGAGAAAAACCACAATTTAAAACAAAAAATTACAAATGCAAGCAATTTGAAGAAATTAATTAGAATTTAGAACGGTAATAAGTAATAGATCAGGTAAATATCAAAAGGAAATAGGTAAAGTAGATCATATACATATAGAGGTTTCACCTACATTTAGAGTCCAATCATCACAATTTAGCATGATTCATTTCACTCTGGTCAGAAACAGAGAATTCAATACGAATGTATGGAAAGAGGAAAGGTAAGTAATCAGGTTACCTTTATATTAAACCCAGCCTTTGCGCTAGTTTCAATGAACATGACATTGAGCTCACGTGCTTTGGCTTCCCCTTCCTCTATAGAGACTTGTCTACATACTCACAAAAAAGATATTTGGTAAAACAAAACAGAGTAAATTTTAGATTGTAACACTAGAAGTCTCTAGAATTATATAGCAAGAACATACAATGCCCATGATACATCTTTCAGGTCATATTAACCCCTGCAGCTAAAGCCTGAAATATTGAACTCTTATGTCCCACCAAAACTAGACAAAGGTGATCGCTAAAGCAAAGAGTCATCTTCTAGCGGTAGGTTTAACTTCCACGCAGTACGCATTTAAGACTTTTAACTAATAAGTAACATCTTAAGTTCTAGCTGTGCTCTCAAATATAGGCTAACGTCGCATAACAGCTATAAGTGTTTTAACCAAGATCAGAGCAAGACCCAGTTAAATGGAATATACAGCAAAGGATAGACTGTCTGCACATTGGGACATACACTGTCAAATCTCCAAGAAACTACTAGATAAAGCAAAAGGCCTAATTGTAAGCATTCCTACATCTAATTCCCACGTTATGTCATCTTCCTGCTCCGGACCAGTAATTTATTTCTTCTCTACAACGTCATGTTTGCAGTGGTAAGCACGTAATCCATATATCAAATGGGTAGAGGGGTAATATTTTGGAGAAAAAGGGAATACGGGAAACAAATGGGATATTATAGTGGACAAAAATGGAGAATAAAAGGAAAGAACCAAGAAAAATACACAACCAGTTTGATAATATCCAGAGACTCTGATTACGAATGTACAATTTACAATTCTCAGTAAAAAAAATTTGGTCTAAGAAAAGATGGTAAACATATGGTTGGTTTTAGTCAATATATATGGTTTGGTTAATTGTTCCTAATTGAATTAGATTTGTCAATGGTTTATAACCTAAAAATCACTCCAACATTCTTCTCTTTGTAACTCTACCTTTTTTCAACAAGATCAGTTTTGTTCCCAACAATAACAATAATGACATCACTGCCTCTCTCAGTTCGCACCTCTTCAATCCACTTTGCTGTATTTAGGAAAGTCTGCCGGCCTGCACAACAAAAGTATCAAATTCATCAAGAAGTGTTCTTGACAGAGCTCTTAACAGACATTTAAGTCAACTCGTTATTGAAATCATGTAAAGATATAAAGAATGGAATTTGGATGCCATGGTTTTCTATAGAAGGTTATAAGCCAAGAGTATAATCACTGTATCATTCTGCTACTTCACTACTGTCCCAAAAAAAAAAACGCCAAGCTGCTACCACAACAGAGTATTTGAAATAATGTGAAGTTAATAAGTTTACAATCAAACTCAAAGTGCTTCATTATGTTAACAATTAGAAGCAACTTCAATGAGACTAACTATTATTAAGAGGCAAAAGCTGGGTACTATGGCATAAAATAGTCGGCAAAAGTAAAAGGTGAAAAGAAAGCAAATCTCAAATGACATACTTGCAACATCATATACAATAACAGCTACGGATGAGTCCCTAATGTAGCTTGGAATAAGACTTCTAAACCTTTCCTGACCAGCTGTATCCCTGCCAGAACACATGAAAAGATGAACATTAGGAATACCAGGAAAAAAAAAGCTTCACCAGAAATCAAAACCAAACCATGCACATTCAATACCATTACAAATATATTTTCAACATATGAATACCGAGGAAACACTCAAAAAAATATAGAGGGTAAATACCAACGCATGAAGTATGCATTGAAATTTCAGGTTTAGATATAGAATTTATCCAGCTAAAAAAAATTATATTTCCGTGAATATAAATATAGTAAAAGCTTGAAAACAATAATGGTTAATAACAAAATAAAATACAAATACAGAAGGATACACGATATGAAGGAAAAAACTCAGCACAGGATGTGAATCATTGAAGTTGAGATATCAAGATTTCATGTGTATTTATCATTTGTAAATACCAGGGAAACCCTGCTATCCCATGGTCGTATTTATCATTTATAAATAAATAGCAGGGAAAGAAGAAACTGACTACTTAATCCCTCACTATATACCCACAAATTTGAAACACAAACCCTTTTTCTCCTATTTGGGAACCAAAGTAAACTTGGTTCACATTAGCAGAAGCAACTATAATGTCATTAGGCACTTTCTCTCATCCTGTCATCGCCTGTACTCAGAACAAAATGGGAGGAAACTATCCCACACCACCCATGCTTTCCTACCTCTTCCAATACTCTCCTAACACCCTTTCATTTCCTGGCCATTTTATATTATGAGATGCTGCTCCCAAATCTTACCACAACTGCAGTCGAACAGTTCGATCTTCAAGATACATAGTTTTCGATAGAAAATCAATACCAATTGTAGCCTGCATGAGGGGAAAAAAAAATCAAAAAAATGTTAGTGAGATCAAGCTATGAAAATATACACAAGGAAGCTGCATGCCTATTATGCTTAGAAAGAAATTTCAACCTGAACTAAACGGATTTTAAGCTGTCAAGCACACATCTGAAACACAAGCACGCATACACAGTATGAAAAATGAAAAATCATAATTCCCAAGAATAGACTGGCCACAACAAGTTCGTACTATAGTCAATAATTATCAAATTAAATAACAAATCAAAGATATAATAATATAGCAGCCATAGTTCTCGATAGTAAGTCAAGGCCTGTTTGGATACAAGTTAGAAATGTTTTTAATAGTTTCTCGACAGGAAATATAGAGCTTTTTCCGTTAGAGAAGATCTCAAAAGTTGTAGTAGTTTTGTATTCTCATTACGTTTAAACAATTTCTCGGTGTAAGTTCTAGCTCGTGTTTATGAAAAAGTAGTCGAAACTCTAAAAGGTAAAGGGGAACATACTAAAAGTCAAAGTGCATAAGCTGAATCGAAAGTAGAATTTATAATCAAATCTAGATCATATAGTTGAGTCCTACATCGTTCTTTTAAATAAATAAAAAATAGTAATAATAATATAGTAATCTTCACCGTAACAGTTTGCTGGATGATAAACTAAACTGCAAGGAACAGCAAATCAAATTCAAAAGCAGGGATAAATCTGAACCGAACCAAGCACGGAGCCTATAATTAATTTTACTAATATGCACAGAAAACAATAAATCAAATGAAACAGCGAAGAGGGAAGGTTTAGAAGTGGTTTTAGCCTTGAGGAACTAAGTAAGGAGTATTTCATGCAGTTTTGGATTGGATCTGAGGGTTTAGGGACAAACCTGGTAGGTGTTATCAAATTTATCATACATGAAGCGAGTGATGATGCTGGTTTTGCCCACGGATTGGTCACCCAAGAACACCAACTTGTACTTTGCTAAAGCTGAAACAGGCGCCATTTCAAAATCGAAGACGAAAGCGAAAGAGAATCGGAAGAAGCCGAGAAAAACCCCGGGGTTCGTCGGGGTTGATCTCGGATTCTGAGCGAAAGGAACGAACAAGAAGACGCGGAGAGAGGTGGCTATTGCTGTGAATGTATTATTTTAATGGAATCTCATGAGATGAGCGGAACTGACCCCGAAAATGAAAAAAAAAATTCAACCCCAGCTTGACAATTTTTTAAATAAAAGGAAATTGCATTTAGATCTTTGTGATATTCGCCTATTTCTAGATTAAAAACGATAACTTATGTATATGTTTTCAAAAATCAACGTTGAATCACCTTCGTTCAAAATTAAAAACAAGTTACAGAATTTTAAAAATAATATTTTTTCAAAATTAAGATAATTCGATAGAAAGGAAGGTTAGGTTTAAATTTAAATTCACTTTTATCCTAAATATACTATTTTGTTCTTTATAAAAAAAAAGTCATATGCTTAATTTTTTTTAGTTTTTCGAAATTTAAATGTTTGGATGATTTTTTAATTATTTCTAAAAATTAAATTTACTTAAATTTTTATTTAAAATTACTTGATTTTTTAAATAATTTATTTTGATAAAATAATTCAAATTTATTAAATTTTAATTTGTTATTTAAATAAAATATTTTATAGATCTATCTCATACGTTTTAATACTAAGTTGCATCAAAATAAACTATAGAGTTTAATCAAAATAAATTATATTAATTTGAAAAGACAATGTCAAGTAATTTATATGTTAAAATGAATAAGGTCATAACAAACTACAAGAATTAAGTTAAATTAAGAAAAACAAAACTATATCTGATTTAATTAAATTAAGATATATAATTATAATTAAATTAAATTAATTAAGACGAGATAAATTAAATTATAATAAGGAAAATTAAATTAGATTATCTTAAGATAAATTAAATTAAAATAATTGATATTTATTTCAGGTAACTAATTAATTTGAATTTTTTGATATTAAATTTCAATCAGCGTATCGTATGTTAAAAAAAAATCACCTTTTTTCACTTTTCTTTTAATATTTCTCTTTTTCATCTTTATTCTCCGCTACTTTCTTTTCCACATTATCTAATCTTTTCTATCACGTTCTATGAATAAAATAATAACAAAATATACATAAACACAATTAAAAATATACCACTCTTATTAATAGTTATCACTTATTAATAATTATATACTATTAATGATGTTATATTCTCACATCATAAACACACTTTTTTAACTAAATTTTAATAAGAAATGTTTTTTAAATTTTAAACTATTTTGTAATATGAAAGAGGCTTTAAAACTAATTTATATTGAATTTAAAATATAAGCCAAAAACATAAGGGGCCTAAGTTTGACATGTTTTCTAACTGAAAAGTTGTCGTATCCTGTGGATGATAAACAGATTCTTTTAGCAGATTTTAATGTTTCTCAAGATATTCTATCAAGAAACATTCTTAAAATGATACTTTTGTTATCTAAACATACAAAATTTATTTTACACTAATTAAAAAAGTCAACTAACATTATTTATATTTACAAACTCTACTAAAAATAAGTTTCCTAAAGTATTTTTCATTGGAACATATATCATAAGTAAAAAAGAGTTATTAAAAATTAAAGTACAATTAAATAAAATATATATTTTAAAAACTATATCATATTAATCGTGAATATAAAAATTCAATAAAGATTTTGCATTAGAGAAAATATCACCATTTCAAAAATTTAATTATTGCATAAGATTTTTTAGGATCTCTTAAAAATGTAATATTTTGAAAAGTTTATAATAAAAGATATTTAAGGTGTTACAATGAAATTTTTTATTAAAATAAAAATAAAATAATTTTTTTTATTGAGTAATCCAAAAATAAAATACTACAAGACGAAATATACCATCACTCTTAAATTTACTTATATTTAAGCATAGGTCAAATTTACTTAGTTTTGAAGTATTTTTATCAAACAAGCTATAACAAAGTTGGAAAGCTCAACCTAGAAAACTTTTAAGCTACAATTATCATTGAATTGTGACCCTCTTAAATTTGTCGCTAATTTTTTTTATTTTTTTTAATCTTCAATTTATACTTAAATTCTACCATATAGCACTTACGTAACAATAGAAGCTACTGTATCAAGCTTAGTGCGACAATCTCTCTCAAATATCTTGGCACCCATTATGAAGGAAAAATGGAAACGTGAGAGAATACACGTACATATAGAAAATGATCAAAACAGTTTTTTTTCATTTTATATTATTGAATTAGAAATGTATATATACAACGGAAATGAAAACAGAAAAGTTAAAATAACCTAATGGGGTGGACTCCATGTATAACAAACTACGTAACAGACTATGTAAGGGTGAACCTCATGCATAACAAACTACGTAACAAATTATGGATAAGAGTCCCCTCAAGCTGGGAATGGATATTTATCATTCCCATCTTGGAATACAGACGAGTGAAAGACGAAGGAGGAAGAGCTTTGGTTAGAATATCAGCAATTTGCATGGATGAGGAAATCGGTAGAAGCTTCAGAGTACCATTATTGAGTCTCTCACGCACAATATGATAGTCAATGTCAATATGCTTGATGCGTTTGTAAAAAACCTGATTGGAGGCAATCTGAATAGCAAAATTGTTATCACAATAGAGCAAAGCTGATTGAACAAAGGGGATCCGAGTGTCTTGAAGAACATAAGTAAGCCATTGAAGTTCGCTGGTAATGGAAGCAAGAGCACGATATTCAGCTTCGGAAGAGCTGCAAGATATATAGTGGTTTGCTTATTGGAACGCCACGAAACAAGAGAGTTGCCAAGATATATGGAAAAACCAGTTATGGAGCGACGAGAATCACGACATGCAGCCCAATCAAAATCACTGAATGCCTTAAGCTGCAAATCACCATGAGCATGGAGAAAAATACCAGAACCAGGAGAACCTTTGAGGTAGCGAAGAACACGATAAGCAGCCTGAGAGTGAGCAGTTGTTGGATGGCCCATGAACTAACTAAGTTGTTGGACAACATGTGTGATATCCGGCCGCGTATTGGTAAGGTAAATAAGACGACCAAAAAGGCAACGATAGGAAGAAGCAGAAGCATCAGATAGAGGAGAACCAGAAGAAGCCTGTAAATGAGTGGAGTAATCCATGGGTGTAGAAACAGGTCGTGAACCAAGCATTCCAGCATCCGAAAGAATATCCAATGTATACTTGTGTTGACAAAGATGAATATACCTGTTGTAGAACGAGCCACCTCGAGACCAAGAAAGAACTTGAGATCACCAAGATCTTTTATTTTGAAAGTCTGATCGAGCAGAATAGTAATGTGGTGGAGTTCATCAATATTATTGCCTGTTAAAATGATATCGTCTACATAGAAAAGAAGAAAAGTAGTTGTGTTTTCGATGAAATGCATGAAGAGGGAATGATCAGAACTGGATTAAAGATAACCATGAGAAGCCAGAAAAGTTGAAAGACGATGAAACCACTGTCTACCCGCTTGCTTGAGACCGTAAAGAGAATGGTGAAGACGACAAACAAGATTGGGATTATCGGTGGAAAGACCAGGAGGAAGCTGCATATAAACCTCCTCATCAAGATTACCATGTAGAAAATCATTGTTAACATCAAGTTGTTTGAGATGCCAATTTTGAAGAGAATCTAAGGCAAGTAACAAACGGACAGTGGTAAGCTTAGCCACAGGTGAGAAAGTGTCAAGAAAATCCAAACCTTCCACATGCGTGTAACCTTTGGCGACCAGGCGAGCTTTATAACGTTCAACGGAGCCATCGGCATGAAATTTGACTGTATAGACCCAATGACATCCGATGGCCTTCTTATGAGATGGAAGAGTAGTAAAAGACCAGATTTTATTCATTTCCAAAGCATGTAACTCAGCTTGCATAGCCTTGATCCAACAATCATGGCAAGATGCCTCATCATAGGAAAAGGGTTCAATATTAGTGGAGATGGAGAAAATAAAGTGACGAAAGTTGGATGAAAGACGGGAATAAGATAAAACAGAGCTTAGAGGATACATGTCACCCGATGAGGAATCAATACCAGTTGTAGCAAGAGCACGGTGGTAATCTTGAAGGTAAGCGGGTGGGTGTCTAGGACAAGTAGACCGGCGTAAGGTTGAGGGAGGTGAAGGTGAGGATGGAGGTATAATAGGGTCTTCATTTGTGAAAGGAATGGGGAAGGATGGGTACATGAAGAAGGTGACTGTGAAAGAGAAAGGGATGAGAAGTGGTCTTCATAGAAAGTAATATTACGGGAAGTGGTGATGGCATTAGAATGAAGATCATATACGAGATATCCCTTAGTGTTTTGTTTAAAGCCAAGAAAAATGCATGGATGAGCCCGGGGATCTAATTTTTGGCGATGAGCTTTGAGAGTGTTTATGTAACAAAGACAGTCAAAAACACGTAAATTTGAGATATCATTCGGTTGACCATAAAGAATTTCATATGGGAAAATATTGTTTAAAAAAGGGGTTGGAATGCAGTTGATTAAGTGAGTGGCATGAGGAAGTGCGAAACACCAAAAACTAGGTGGTAAGTTTGCTTGAAAAAGAAGAGCACGAGTGACATTTAAGAGATGTTGATGTTTGCGTTCAGCTATACCGTTTTGTTCAGGTGTTTCAACACATGTGGTTTGATCAACTATGCCTTTAGATGTGAAGAATTCATGCATGAGAAATTCAGAGCCATTGTCAGTTTGGATAGTTTTAATCTTACTGTTAAAATGATTTTCAATGTGTGTAGTGAAATTCATGATGATGTTACGTGCTTCTGCCTTAGTGTGCATGAGATGAACCCACGTAAAACAAGAATCATCGTCAACCATGGTAAGAAAATAACGATGCCCGTGCATTGAAAGTTTAGAACATGGACCCCATATGTCCATATGTAAAAGATCAAAGCATTGAGTAGTATGTGAAGTACTGGAATTAAACAGAAGCTTTTTAAATTTTACATAATGACAGATGTTACATGTAAAAGACTTGTCATTAGTTCGTAAAAAAGGATAGGAAGATTGCATGACGCGTAAAGGTTCATGGGATAGATGACCCATTCTAAAATGCTAGAGATCAATGGGTATGATATTACATTTTGGATGAAAAATTCTTGAATGAACAGTGGAGCTGTTTGGAGGGGTAGAGATAAGGTTGTAGAGACCATGTCTTGCTTCAACTGTACCAATCCTCGCTTGGGTGATCGTGTCCTGTAAAATGCAAGAGTTAGTGGAGAAAATGAGTTTACAGACATTGGTTGAAGTAAGTTTAGAAATAGAGATGAGATTGAAGTGAAAATATGGAACATAGAGTCAGAAATAAAGAAGGAGAAATTTGTACTGTGTCAGAATGGGTAGCATGAACATGATTTACATTTGGTAAATTAACTAATACAAGAATAATGTGCATATGCGAATGGAAATGGCTTAAGAATGAAGCAATATGATTGGTTGCTCCTGAGTCAAGGATCCAGGAAGTTGTGGGGGGGAGGATGTACCTGAGGGTGAAGGTTGAGAAGAGCATGAGGAAACTGAAGCATTTTGGCTTACATGGTAGGAAGAAGAATTTGGAGCCTCTCGAGGTGATTGTTGAATCAAGGCAAGCAAAGCCTTGTATTGTTGCGATGAAAAACGAAATTCTTGTGGCTCATGGTGTTGTTTTTTATCATTGGTGTCTTTACTATCCACTATCACCATGCTGTTTGCATTGTTTTTCACATTATGGAATTTATGACCTGGAGGGAATCCATGCTTCTTATAACATATAGCAATAGTATGCCCAGATCTTCCACAATGGATACACATTTTTCCACTCTTGACATTGTTTCCTTTACTCCTAGTATCATAGCTTGATGGGAAACCATGCTTCCTGTAACAAACGCTTTCCGTGTGTCCAATCCTTCCACAAAATCCACACGTGAGAGAAGTTCAGGTGACAACATTAATCAAACTCTCTTTAGGATCTAATCCAATATTATCAACGTTGGTTCTCATTAATTAGCGTTTAATCCATGAGAAGAACATGTGAACGAACATTGTTGTATTACTCGTTTAATCCATGAAGGAATTGCATTGCACGATCCTCAGTCTTTCGCTGAGATATGGTGCCAAGAACAGAACAAGAACATTTGATGATGCAGGTGCAAACAGGATCGGGCCTCAAGTTTTCAATCTCATCCCATATCACACGCAGTTTGGTAAAGAACTCTGTTACAGAAAGGTTATCTTGCTTCAATAATGACGCTTCGTGTTGTAAATCAGATATACGTAAGAGATCGCACTGTGAGTAACGCGATTTCAAATCACGCCATATATCTTCTGCCTTGTCTATCCACAAAATGCTCTGCCGAATCGAAAGAGAAACAGAGTGTACGATCCATGATACGACCATGTTGTTGTAGCGTTTCCATGTTCCGTATTTTGGATCAGCTTTTGAAGGTTCAGGTGTAGTTCAATCAACAAATTCTAGTTTGTTTTTGGCACTTAATGTTGTGATCATGAATCTGTTCCATGAATAATAATTTCTAGAATCAAGAATAAGTGAAACAAGTGCTGATGTTGAGTTTTCATTTCGATGGAGATATATAAAATTATTTATGGTGATAAGTGTTTCACTCATGATTGACAAAGAAAAATGATTAATGAAAAAGAAGGACAATACACAGTAGAGCTCTTTAAATAAAGAGCTTTGATACCATCTCAAATACTTTAACATCCATGATGAAGGAAAAATGAAAACAAGTGAGAGAATACATGCAAATATATAAAATGATCATAACAACTTTTCCTCGTCTATATTATTGAATTAGAAATGTATATACCGAAACAAAAATAGAAAAACTAAAATATCCTAATGGAGTGAACCTCGTGTATAACAAAATAAGTAGACTACTTAAGAGTGGACCCATGTATAAGAAACTACGTACGTAACAAATTATGGATAAGAATGTCTCAGAGTGACGACACGAGTAGAAAAGCAGAAAGCTAGGTGTCATTACGCTGCAACCGTGTCGTTACAAGACTACAGTGTGATGCATAGAAAGTAGTCAACACTTCAAACCCAAGTCTGGGCATTACTTAACACCGATCAAAATATCCAACACTCGTATATGCTTATGCTGTTTTCGTTCAACTTTGGTTGAGAAGAAGCATTAAAACAGAGTCTTATATTGAAGAAACTAACATGTCTGCAGCGCAGGTTGATCCTCATGACAAGATGAGAGCGAGGGATGTGAACAAAGTTGCGCGAGGTGAACAAGCTCCAAGGCCCGCTCATGAATACGGCACCGTTTCTCCACCTCCCTCTTCAACCCACGATGATACCAAGAAGAAGAACAAGGTCAAACTTATGTGCACAATTTGTGATTCAATGAATGTAGAGCATGTTCTCATTCAAAACTCACTCTTTAGCATAAACAAAACATAGGTTTCTCTAATTCAGAGAGTTTTTTTTTTTTTTTTCATATTCGATTTTTTATAGCTGTAGTATATTGTGATTAGTTGGGTTCTTTACCTGTGCAAAAAAACAAAAACAGGAGGAAAAGCCAGGGATAGCTGAAAACGATGCGGAATTAGCAGAGAGTACTGATTATAAAACATGTTACATAAAATATGTGGAGTATCAGAGGTAAGTCAAAATGCTTTTGTATAGCTGGAGAATTATAATTCAGAAAGAACCAATTGTATGGCTATATTCAGATATCTAACTCAGTAGTTAGTGTGGTTTAAACAGATGTATTCAACAAAAAGGAGAAAACGCACCAGAGTGCCAGAAACTTGGCACATATTTTAGGTCCTTCTGCCCAACTGAATGGGTGAGTTCTGAGCAACAATAGGATATCCAAATTCCTTTTCTCAGACTTATTGATTAATAAAATAATTTTGGTTGGATCATCATTGTGGTGTGAAACAGTGAGAGTCTCTAGTTAATCATTTTTCCTTTTTGTTGTTGTTTTGCAGATTACAGAATGGGATAAAGAGAGAGAAGAGGGAAGGTTCCCTGCACAAAGATAGGCACAGATTGGCAAACAAGTTAAATAACACTGCCTCTTCTTTCTGTATCATTTTATTTTTCCCTTCTTTCAAAGCATAATATATCATAATATTAGTACAATGATTGCACAATGACTTATTAGGGGGATTAATAGTTTAATATCAGAACTACACGCATGTAAGTTATTAAATTTAAGATAAAATTATTCACAATAATTTAGTTAACTTACAATATATAAGCACACCGCAGAAATTTTTATGCCCCTGAACAAAACAAAAAAAGTTGTTGGTCCCCTTACCATAATTCTCTGGCTTCGCATGTTGGTATAATATCATCTAATAATTTTTTCAGTAATACTGAAATTGTTACACCTTCTTGCAGGGTATTTAAAAAAAAAAAAAAAAAAAAGACTAATACATAAACAATGATTAAAAACTAAAATAATCCAAAAACAAGAATGCAAAGTATGGTCAGGTTAATTATGAATTTAGTTTTAACCACTGATATGTAAACACCACTTAACAATCAATGATAAGAAGTAGTTAAGAATTTGCTTCTATATAAGAAGTATTTAGGGTCTCATGTGGATTAATGATTTAACTAGGTAAAATTCACAACATGCTTTTCTACAACAAGACATAATGATAAAATTGTGTAAATAAAAAATATAAAAAATAATTAAGAGATAAATTAAAATATACAAATAATTTGACTAATTTATATTGCTATATATTACAAAATTGAAATTTGGAAATTATTATGAAAATAATCATGATTATGTTATTATGTGAAGCGAATAAGAAAATTATGAGTATAAAATAATAATTTCAATTTTTTGTTTTAAGTGAAAGTACTAATCGTATTTTTTAATATTTATTAACATTTATATTTTAATATTTATATACCATAATATATTTTAATATATATAATTTTATTGAAAATTTTAGTTATACTTTATTTTATTCTATATAAATATATTTTTTTTATTTAATAAAATAAATATTTGTAAATTATTTCCATGTCTAATTCTAATAACTTGTTTTACAAGTTATTAATTGCTATAATATTATTCTTCCATTATTAGAACTAGTACTCCGTTCCTAATAAACAAAAAATGAGACCCTTCAAAATTCTTTATATAATAATTTTGAACTATTATAAATTTGAATTATTTATTTATATAAAAAATTGAATTATTTATTTATATAAAAATTTGAATTATTATCGTATAAAAATGTGGATTAATATGTTGTAAGTTTTCTTATTATGGCATACTAAATGGATTAATCTGATTAAATTGTTTATATTTAAAAGTTGTTTTGTATATAGTTTTTTCCATTCTCTGGTTAAAATAATACTTATGTTTAATTGAGATCCTTAAAAATTGTGTTATATAGAATTTGAGTAAAAAATTTAAAATATTTTATATTCGAAAGTTGTTATTTTATTATCATTTTTATAATAGGTCTAATTAGGACATATGATATTATAATATAAACATAATTTTGTAGATTTTTGAATTTTTTTATATATTTAATATAATTAATGATATAAATAAGTAATAAAATGAAATGGTAATATAATTAAGTAAATTAAAATATTTTATTTATTGAGAGTTTTTTAAGCGTTAATAATATCATTTTAATATAGGAAAAGTACTTATTATTTATTTGTATTTAAAAAATATGTTATATATATTATTTAATTTTTATTTAAAAAGGAAAAATATGATATATAAAAAAGGATTAGATAAATAATGGAGATTAAGAGTGATATATATATATATATATATATATATATATATATATAATATGTCAATATGCATTTTTTTAATTTAGAGAGTTATACGTTAATTAAATAAATAACCTACTAAAGTAAAAAATTTAAAAGTTATATGATGAAAATCAAAGTTACACGGTTATAAAAAAAATGTACTTTTAAAGTAAAGAAAGGTAAACCCTCATAGTGACAAATGTGAACTCCATTGTCTTTAAGATTTTGTTTCTAAAATAGGATAGTTTAAGATTAAAATATCAGTCTATTATTTCTAAACAACTAACTAAATTTTAATTAAATCGATAAAATCATAAAACTGATTTTATAAGATTTATTCGTAAATCCGGTTTGTATCAAACTGATTTTAATAATTAAAAATATTTAGTTTAATTTTTTTTATATAACTTTTTTATAAAAAAATATAATATATTTAAATTTTTTTGTTCATTTGGAATAATAATTATTTTTTAAATATTTTTTATTTTATTTTAATAATTATTTATTTTTTTACTTTTTTATATATTTTATATTTATAATTTTACTTATAATTTAAATAATAAATAATTTTTATTTTTTTATATAAAAATATTATTTTTAATAATTTATTATATTATAAAAATATTATTTTATTAATATTAATAAATTTATTATATTATAAAAATATTATTTTATTAAATTTAATTAAAACGACTAATTAAATCTTTAAAACCTTAATCCAATATTTTTAGGTTGAAATCTGGTTTTAAAAATAATGATTGAAATAGTGCAACTTGTTTTTTCATTAAATGATCCCATATATACACATTGGACCATGTGAAAGGCTATTGGCTATTACATAAATCCATGTGTGGTCTAAGTTTGTATTTCTATACCATTGAAATATGAGTAATTAAAATGATAATATAAAGTTCAAAGATCATTATTACTTATGTGTAAAAGATTCCAAATCATTCATTATTTATCTTTTGAAAAAAATAATTATGATATTTTTCAGTTTTTCTACACAATTTGGTTTAAGGTTGTTTTCAAATATTGTTTTTTTCAATAGTATGTATATCATGAATATTCCAAAACATGATATGTAGTCAAAGGGACTATTTGATGCCTATGTATTCGTCTTTATGTCATGTTGTACACATTCAAGATCTGTAACTTAATCTTTTGACCAAAAAAAAAAAACTTGCAATAATAGAGTTTAGAGCTTCTCTCGCTTGAAAAGCCCTTTCCAACAAATGTTGTTGCCTTAGTTGCAACAATCCTTGTATCCCCAACATCCAACATAGGCATTCCTCATAATATTTCTTCTTCTTTTGACAGCTATAAACTTAGATAAGGGCTTTAAAAAAAATGCCATTTTTTTCATATTTTGTAGTCTTCAATCAAATTTAACCATTGAAAAAATGTGATCAAATGATGTTTATCTACATTAAGATACTTTTAGTTGTTTAATTCACTCAATCATTTGTTAACCATAAGTATTAAGGTATTTGTCCCATCCCTTATTGATGACGGGAGTGTTAGATACCTAAACATTGAAATAAGTGATTTAAGTGAAAACTAAGATAAATAAGTACAAAATGTATGCTTATTTCAAAACAAAATGTTAAAATTATATGTAATTACTAGTTAATCTTTTGCTGTTATTAATTTTATTTTAATTTTTTCGTTTAAATATATTATTTCATATATTTAGTAATGTGTTTCATGATTCATAATCAGTAATTTGTTATTTATAAGTAGAATTACATAATTTACTGGAATAATCTATTATGCATTAAGCATAGTTGATTATATATTAATTGTATCAGGCTAAATTGTAACATTTTTTCCATATATATTGATTTATTGTAACTTTGATTGACTATATCTACATGTTGAGGGTGACTTTTTTTTTTTAGCAATATCCACGTTTCAAATCAGTGAGCCTTTAGTGTCATGGAAGCATTATAAATAATATTGTTGTTGGTATTCGTATAAAAATTAAGAACATCTTCCTTGAAAGTTACTTATAGCATTTTTTTTTTTTACGAATTAAAATATGTTATTTTAATGTGAGTCTGTAAGCTACTTAAATCAACTAAAATAATTTATATAAACAAGTGTCTCCTGATATCCTATCAATTAAATAATAAATGTATATCAATTAAATTAGAGAAATATTACTTAAAATGTATCAGCCTATCTTTTATATTTTTCACCTTCACATTCATTCTCTTAAATAAACTCAAATCCCCTAATTCAAATGTAAATTTCAATCCATTATCCTTATCATTAGATTAACCAATCCAATCAAAATGTCATGAATTAGGGGATTAAAAAAACTTTTGATTGATGATAATTTTATAACATATAATGATTTTTAAAGTTTTGGATTAAATAATTTAAAATATACAAAAAAACATACCTTTTTCAAGTTGCAAATGGATAAATATGATTTTTTTTAATTACTGAATCCAAAAGTTTTGTATTTTTTGTTATTATTTATTAGTATTTTATTATTAGTATTAATTGTCATAAATAACTCGAGTAAATTTCCATACTACTTACAATCATAATAAAATATTAAACTCTAATAAGAATAATAATATTAATAAAAAATATTGTATATTTTGAATATATCTATTTTTTTTCTCATTATGGGACTCTAGAATAGTTTTTCAAATTACACAATATTGTAAGTACGGATTAGAAGAAAAAACAACAACTCGATTCGTTACACCATTTGCTCTACAACTAAAATGACTCCCGTACAAGAGTCTATGTATTCTTTTATTTAATTAAAATTGAACAAGTTCAAAACTGAAAACATACTAAGATTTATTAGGTATAAATTATTTGCTTTTATGATAAAACATGTTAATATTATTTTAAATGTATATAATACTTTTTATCAGCATAAAAAAAGTTTATAAAAAAACTAATTAATTATAAATTAAAATTAAATTACATCAAATTATACTAAGGTTAAAAGTTATATTGAACGTGGCGTAAATATGAACATATTTATCAACAAACAGTTTACTAAATTATTTATTGTCAAATATCACCATACTAATTTTTTAATTCGTTTATCTTATACATAAAAATTATTATATTAAGAGTAATTTTTAAAATATCTAATCAAATTAGTAGAAATAAAGATAATACAACATATATTTAATTTAATTTTCCATTGCATATGTTTTTAAAAATATTAAATTAAAACAGCATAAAAAAATTATATGTTTTAAATTTTCTGACACGGTATTATTTTATTATATGAAATATATAGGCATGTTAGTTTAAAATCTATTTTTGTTCTTTATATGTAATTTTAATCTTATTCCAATTGCACATTTAATCCTTTAGTTTTTAAAAAGTAATCAATTTTAATGAATTGGTAGTATATTATTAATTTTAAACAGAAAAGATTAACATATCTTGTTAATTTTTTATAAAATAAAACTAAAATTCATGAGATTACAGGCTCTAAAAAATGTTGAAGCATTTATTTGATAATGGTTGTTAAGAAGATAAAAACCAGTTCCCCTCTAAATAAATAAAATAGCTAGTGAGAAATGCAGAGTATCCGTATATCCGTATGATCCTTGAATAATCTCTACGCACTCACGCGCATACGCTCATTCACCTCTTTGTCTATGTGTCTCCCACACTTTCATTATTCTCCGAGAGTGTGTCTTTCTCTTCTCTCTCTTCCTCTGACTTCTATTTTTCTCTTCTTCCATATTTGCACACCAACCCTAACCCTAATAACAAAAAATCACAATCCGTTCCCACCCCAGCCTACACAACGCGTACGCTTAAAACCCTAACTCCGTCACTCCAAGGATCAAACGCTCCTCTCATTGATTCCTCAAACCCTAATAATGGACTCGCAGCAGAGCAATCTATTCGACACCGCTTCTCAGCCCGACACCGGCAACGACGCCTACACCTTCCTCGAATTCAACACGCAGGGTGAGGATTTCGACTACCCTGAGTTCCGAGACCCGATTAGGTCGCCGGTGGCGTGGCCAACTCCGTCCGATTCGCTTGTGGACCAGTCGGAGCGCTCCGCCGCTGGGGGACCCGGCTCTGATCACCAGTCCGATGCCTCGCCTGTCTCCGCGGCTCCCGGCAGCGCTCCCAAGGGCGGCCGGTCTGGTAGCGGCGGTGGAAACAGCAGCCAAATGGTTGATGCGCTTGCGGCGGGGATGAGCGGGTTGAATTTCGAGGACACTGGGGATGATGATAACTATGAGTATGGCAAAGGAGATTTTACTGAACACGCTTGCCGCTATTGCGGGGTTTCCAATCCCGCGTGTGTTGTAAGGTGCAATGTGCCTTCGTGTCGGAAGTGGTTCTGTAATTCTCGGGGGAACACTTCGGGATCGCATATCGTCAACCACCTGGTTAGTTTCTTGTCACCGCATTTTCCATTTCTATTTGTTGTTTTTTAATCTGCAGTGTGATTTTGAATTACTTATTTTTGCCTTTTGCGTTTTATTTTGTGGTGGGTTTCGGTGTTTACGTATCTGAGTAGCGAGGTGCGTTTGGCGTGTGGCAGTGACATATTTTAACATTTAAAAGTCATATATTTGTGGTTCATTTTATTTGTTTCATTCAAATTAAGGGGAGGATTGTAGAAATTCATGCAGTACTCGTAATTAGATTGCTGAGAAGAAATTATTTGTATTCTTAGGTTGTTGTTTCTTGTTTCAATCCATGCTAATAGAAAGGTTGAAGTAGTTGAACTAGAAGAAATTGGGCTTGCGGCCTGTTGGTGATGTATTATACTTGAAGCTCGATAGTTCTTACCTATCGGTTTTACAACATAAGTAGAAAAACCATTCCCCAAATATATAGGAAGACAGGGCTTGCTTGTTCTTTGGCAATAATTGATGTATGGGATCTATCCTGTCCAGATATTAAATAAATATTTGAAAAACTAAGGTTAATGAAGATCACAAATCACATTTAAATTAAACTCTACTTATTATTTATTTACTCTTTTTGGGAGGGGATTATCTTATCAAACTTAGTGGTCAATTTATTTAATATAATCAATTTAGACGAATGAATGAACTTAATAATTATAATAATTTGATGGCAATTTGAAGTTTTTTTGCTTTCCCTTGGCTATCAAAAATTATGTTAAGTTACCAGCTTGGCTGTTTCTTGGAAGATAGTGTTCATAGTTTCATATATGCACTTTATTTGTTTTGGTTATTATTATGAGTATAATCACTTTATATTCACTTTTGTGCCTCTTTTATTCTGTTATACACAGTTTTTCGAGCATTGTTGTTATTTTGAGGCATATCTAGTATCCAGTATTTGAACGCCATTTTAATTAAATCATGGATTTCATGAGATTCAATCAATGATAAATTGGGTTTTTAATAATGCCATTAAATACATGTGCTCTTATAAAACAAGAGACTGGTACTATTTGACAATGTTGATGCGTGTAATTCATTTTTTTTGTTGAATTCAATATAAATAGTCAGTCATAAATAAAGCTCAGGTCACATGTTCAATCGGAGATGTAGTTAAACAATTGGTATTGTAGCATTTTCAGGGTTTTCACTCACAAAGGTCTTATTTGATATTCCATAGAAGATCTTCTATTCTATCACTTAGTTTTCTGTCATGACCTGTTGTACTTTCTTAACTGGCCAGATCCTAACTGGATCTGGTTCAACTCAACAGCAAACAACTCTTTTAATAGGTATTTCCTGAATTGCCCAAGTTATTTGAGTCATAATTCAGATACTCTTATCACTGTTTTAAGCTACGGTTCAGTGTCATTTTGCTATTCTCCCTGTAATTAGTATTGCCAGGCCGTTATGTTTTATGTATTAGGTTAACTGTGATTCTAATAGCCATGGTCTTGATTCTCTTGAATCTTTTTTTAATTTTGTTGTGTATATAGTTGTATGGGAGTTATACATGTGTAGAATACTGTTTTTGCATAAAAAAACAGCGAGGGAAATAGGAAATTAATCCATGCATCTACTTGTTTGCCACCTAACTACCCATCTTTCTTTAACATTTTTTTTTATGAATAAGAAAACTATCTCTCCTTTCTTTGCTGTATTGTCTTAACAGTTAAAATATGCTGTATCGTTGAAAGCTCTCAAAAAATATAAATGTAAAATAAAAAATCATAGTCTATGCTGTCTCCTTTTTATCTCCTATTCTGGTTTACCTCACATTATTGCAGCTAGCTTTTCGTACCTTTTGAGATTTCAGAACTTTAAATATTTTTAATGTACTTTTATTGATTGGCAATAAACTTATAAACCTGTTTTTTTGGTATGCTTATGAATTTTGGGATTCAAACATTATCCTTGTTTTTTAAGAAAATGTGTTTATATGACAGATATTCTTTTTTCTTGCTTTGTGTAATGACAATAATTTATATTGGTTTTTGGTGAGCAACTGTTGCTTATGATAATATTTTTAAATGTAGGTACGGGCTAAACACAAGGAAGTCTGTCTACACAAAGATAGTCCGTTGGGAGAAACAATTCTTGAATGCTACAATTGTGGATGTCGTAATGTTTTTCTCCTTGGATTTATATCTGCAAAGACAGAAAGTGTAGTTGTCCTACTTTGTCGTGAACCTTGCTTGAGTGTTAATGCCTTGAAGGACATGAATTGGGACCTTAGTCAATGGTGCCCATTGATTGATGATAGGTGTTTCTTGCAGTGGCTTGTCAAGGTTACTATGATACATTTTTGTTAATTATTTTAATGTTATATATGTTTTGCCGATCTGTCTTTGCTACATCCAGTTTTCTGCTGCAGATCCCATCTGAACAGGAGCAGTTAAGAGCTCGCCAAATAAGTGCACAGCAAATAAACAAGGTGGAAGAGTTGTGGAAAACAAATCCTGATGCTTCTTTTGAGGACCTTGAGAAGCCTGGTGTAGATGATGAACCTCAGTCTGTGGCTTTGAAATATGAAGATGCATATCAGGTGTGCATTCAGGATGTCTTGTTAATGTTTATTGTTACATCCCTATTTTTTGAAGGATTTCATTATTTTGTGGTATATTTATGACATTTATTGTTCTGTCTCAGTATCAAAATGTATTTGCGCCTCTTATTAAGCTTGAAGCGGATTATGATAAGGTAATATTTGTTCTTTACTCCAATCTAGGATTCTATATAGCTCCTTTTCCTTCTTTATTCTGCATGTACTTTTTTTGGGTATTCTCTTAGCAGAAAATTTTCTGATTGCTTTATGTTTTTCCTCCCATCTTGTGTAATGTGTTTTTTACTGTATCTATGTACTATGTTGTTATAGATGATGAAAGAATCACAAAGCAAGGACAATGTCACTATTCGATGGGATATTGGTCTTAATAAGAAGCGTGTTGCCTATTTTGTATTTCCAAAGGTACTACTTCTTTTGCTTAGTCTCCAATTTATTGCTATTGTTGTACGATATATCCATAATCTTGTCTTACATTTTTTTTAGTTTGTATTTTCTTTAGCACTTTTAATTGTCCTGTGTAATGATAAACAATGTTATCTTGTACTGTAGGAAGATAATGAGTTGCGGCTTGTACCTGGTGATGAGTTACGATTGCGTTATTCTGGTGATGCTGCTCATCCTGCGTGGCAGTCTGTGGGTCATGTGGTATGGATTGATCTTAATATTTTATCTAGTCTCTAGTATTTGTAAAATCGTCCCTGGTTGTTTTAGTCTTCACTTTTTGTCCTTATGCTATCAGTAACACTGTTAATCTAAGTTAGGTAAAAACACTAGAAGAAATTAGCTCATAAATATAATAAATAAGATTATTTTGAAATAATTAAACTTTTATTTAATATGGCTCTCCAATATACTTATTTTAGATCAATCATCTTTTGACCAATGCCCAAATACATATTACTCCTTTTCAAGACGTAAAGGAAGCACTGCTGATTTCTGTGTTATTTGTTTTACTGTTTACTTGTTTAGAAAATATTCTGTTAGTTATTTCTTTAACTTTTCCATTATATGATGTTTAAGATGCTTTATGTTCCATTTTCAGATTAAGCTAACAGCACAAGAAGAAGTTGCACTTGAACTTCGTGCTAGTCAGGTGAATTTAGCATTACTTTGTGATGCTTTTATCGCGCTTTTTTGCTCTTTATCTTTGCCTTGTGCTTATTGCTCTTGTTTTTAGCAGGGGGTTCCGGTTGATGTTAACCATGGTTTCAGTGTTGATTTTGTCTGGAAAAGTACAAGCTTTGATAGGATGCAGGGAGCTATGAAAACCTTTGCTGTGGATGAGACAAGTGTCAGTGGGTAAGTCTGCTCTAGATTAGACTTGATGCCTTGTATTTCCTTCTTTTTCCTTTTCATGTATTTTTTCCATTTTCCACTGAATTTAGAGATCTCCATGCTTAGATTGTATGATTTTTTGTAAAACACGACAATGTACTTGGTTGCTATTATTGGAGTGTGTTTAGGAATGGATGGTTAAAGGGACTGTAAGGAGCATATTTATCTTGTGTGACATTTGAGCAATTGTTGTGTGTTTTTCGATGATTTTTGAGCCAATGTGAGGTTGGAATTTTACTGGAGCATAAATATTGGAATTAGCATTGTACCAGGATTTTGTTTGTTTTATCCTTTAAGTAATTGAGAGATTTCAGAATAGTGGTTATGATTATTTTATTTAGTTTTTTTACAAATTCTGATTAATTTGTAGGTATATTTATCATCACTTACTGGGTCATGAAGTTGAGGTTCAGATGGTTCGCAATGCTTTGCCTCGTCGTTTTGGCGCACCTGGGCTCCCAGAGCTGAATGCATCTCAAGTATTTTGTTTCTTTACATATATGTTACCCATTTAATGGTTCTCCTTCTAATATGTTTGATATTGGTCTATTTTTTTCTGCTTTAGTCTGGCCATCATCGTTAGCAGATTATTTATTGCTTTATGGTGTATGCTTCAGGAGTTGGGAGGGAACATTTGTTTGATGGGTTGTTAGAAATGATATTATTTGTGCTCTTCATGTTCAATTTTTTTGGGGAAACATTGCTTTAAATGAAAGTAAAGTAAAATTATATAATGCACTTTTTAATAATACTTTAATAAACTATTATGTCAGCATTGAATTTTATCTATGTTATATATATATATATATATATATATATATGTGTGTGTGTGTGTGTGTGTGTGTGTGTGTGTGTGTGTGTGTGTGTGTGTAAAATTCTGATGCATAACTTAATTTGTTTGTTTTGTTTTTGGGAATAATATTGTTAATGCACCTCCTAATAATTTGAAGCATTAACAAACCTGAACAAAACTGTAGAAATTGCTTTTTGGCTTACTGTATTATTTTGCATGTGGTAACATCATAAAATAATGTTCAATGATCATCAATGTTTCTAGGTGTTTGCTGTCAAGAGTGTTCTTCAGCGGCCAATTAGTTTGATTCAAGGACCACCTGGAACTGGTAAGACCGTAACTTCTGCAGCACTTGTATATCACATGGCTAAGCAAGGTCAGGGACAGGTATGTTCTTGAATGTTTTCTAGATATCATTTGTTTTTCCGTTGTGTTTCTGTTTATTCATTGATTGCAATCCTCTCACAATTTATTTTTTAGGTTTTGGTTTGTGCACCTAGTAATGTAGCTGTGGACCAGCTAGCTGAAAAGATAAGTGCTACTGGATTAAAGGTATAGTCGCTTTTAGTTATGATCTTGAGTTGGTTATTTATGAAATAAGTGAAGCACTTGTGTAATTCAAATCTTTCATTCAAGGTTGTGAGGCTTTGTGCAAAGTCAAGGGAAGCTGTCAGTTCTCCTGTTGAGCATTTAACTCTCCACTATCAGGTTAGTGGCTTCAACTAATTATCTTTTATTATCATGCCCACATGCAGTATTCTTCCTTCTTTCATAATGCACTTGAAATTATGAATCACTTCATGATACATGTGAATGTAAATGGTGTCTCTTGTAGGTACGACATCTTGACACATCTGACAAGAGTGAACTTCATAAGTTGCAACAGCTGAAGGATGAGCAAGGTTGGGAGGAGCCTTTTTTTTTTTATCAAATTTCGTTAAGTTTTGTACATTCTGTTTATAATGAACCTGTTTAAGCTTGGAGTAATGAATTTGGTTTTGCCCCTTATCTAGCTTGTGTGAAGCTCTACCTGCTTGTACTTTTATTGCTTGCAATTTTAATATCTAGGACTGAGAAATATAATTGATTTATTTTCAATTGTTATATCTGTTGAGGATTAAATAGGAATAGTGCTTTTTCTGCCTTTCAACGTTCTATTGTTTGTTATTGACAATGCTATGTTTTAATGTCTTGTAATGGGTAAAAATGACAAATATTTTTCTTCCATCATATTTCAGGTGAACTTTCCAGCAGTGATGAGAAAAAATACAAAGCACTTAAGCGAGCAACAGAGAGGGAGATTTCTCAGAGTGCTGATGTGATATGCTGTACATGTGTTGGGGCTGGAGATCCTCGGCTTGCAAATTTTAGATTCCGCCAGGTTGACATGCAAACCCTTGTAATGTATAATTTTAATTCTTGATCACTTTTACTCTATTCGACATTATTATTAGTATGTTTTATGCAGGTGCTTATTGACGAGTCTACTCAAGCAACTGAACCTGAGTGCCTCATACCTTTGGTCCTTGGAGCAAAGCAGGTATTTTGTTGAATACGCACATGCTATTGTGTGCCCTTTGATTGTTGATGTTTTTAACAAGCTGTTTTTGTTTAGGTTGTTCTTGTTGGCGATCATTGTCAGCTTGGTCCTGTTATTATGTGCAAGAAAGCAGCCCGTGCTGGATTAGCCCAGTCACTTTTTGAACGGCTTGTTCTACTTGGTGTTAAACCAATTAGGTTGCAGGTAAAGAACCTCCTAGGTATTGTGTGAGAATTAATGACTGCAAGCTGTGATTGATAATCCTAATGTGGGCTTGTTCATTAGTTTTATCAATATGCCTTGCTGATTTTGTTTTGTTGGCTTATTTTTCTATTTTTTAACTATGCTAACTTAGAGGGTTTTTATTTTATTATCTCAAACATCAGGTTCAGTATCGAATGCATCCATGCCTTTCAGAATTTCCCTCAAACAGCTTCTATGAAGGCACCCTGCAAAATGGAGTCACTGTTAATGAAAGGCAATCTTCAGGAATTGATTTTCCCTGGCCAGTGCCAAACCGTCCCATGTTTTTCTATGTTCAGGTACTGTAAAGACATATATTATTGTTGGAATGTTATTTCATTTGTTATTGCTGAAATATTCCTATCATAATCCACTGGCATCTTTTCAATTTTTGAGCTTTGTTTTGCTCTTATCATTTTGTCCCTTGTTTTTAAAATTATTTGCCTACCTATTTTGTAGATGGGACAAGAGGAGATAAGTGCAAGTGGGACATCTTATTTAAATAGGACTGAGGCGGCAAATGTTGAAAAGATTGTAACTACTTTCTTAAAAAGTGGTGTTGTTCCAAGTCAGGTAGGTATCTTTTGAACTTGAGATTACACAGATGGATTTACTCTAACACTGTTAAAGTCCATATGAATATTCTTTTATAATGTTCAACAGATTGGCGTGATAACACCTTATGAGGGACAAAGAGCTTATATTGTGAACTACATGTCAAGAAATGGTGCTCTCAGGCAACAGCTGTACAAGGAGATAGAGGTTTCTGACATAGCTTTATTGCTATTTGCATCTTTGTTCTTGTTGCAGTTGCTACATGAGTTTTGTTCTTTTCAGGTTGCTAGTGTTGATTCTTTTCAAGGAAGGGAGAAAGACTACATCATTCTTTCTTGTGTCAGAAGTAATGAACATCAGGTTGGTGAACTTATCCTTTTTTTGTTGTTTTGTCACAGTTTTCATGCATCAAATATCTGCATTTTGAGCCACTATTAAGATTGATTGATTTGACTTCGATACCCCTTTTGTAGGGCATTGGTTTCCTGAATGATCCTAGGAGGCTCAATGTTGCTCTAACACGAGCAAGATACGGTATTGTTATCCTGGGAAACCCTAAAGTTTTGAGCAAGCAGCCTCTCTGGAATAGTTTATTGACTCACTACAAGGTAATTCTTTTGTTTTGAGATTTTATTGATTGCTTAAAAAAACTTGCTGGGGGTAGCAGAAGCTGGAACTTAGTTTGAAATGTCTGTGCTAATTGTAGAACTCTGATAAAAGAGTTTTCTCATATAATAAGAGTGATTTCACACTGATCTCTTTCTATAGTTTTTTCTTCTAGTTTTCTAAATAAGCTACACTTTTCTTCCACATTTTCTACACAGGAACATGAGTGTTTAGTTGAAGGGCCTTTAAATAACTTGAAGCAAAGTATGGTTCAGTTTCAGAAACCCAAGAAGGTAGGTGTTCAAGCATGGTATGGTGTTGATTTATTTGCTTGTGCATGTGGTAGGGTTCTATTGATACATTCAATGGGGTGCTTTTCTGGTGAGGCATTTTTTGAGACTGTTACGTGTCTATTTCATGGTTTATTTTGATGCAGATTTACAATGAACGAAGGCTATTTTATGGGGGTGGACCTGGAATTGCGGCTAATGATAATTTTGGTTCTGTTGGATCTGGAGCTGGAACAAGTTCAGATCGAAGGAGCAGCCGAGGAAGGGGTATGAAATTTATCGTAGTGTCTTTTTGTTGGATAAGGTCTTTGTTTTCCTGAATACACTTTTGAGGTCAATCTCGTGGTCTTAGAATATCTGTAAGTCCTGATCAAGTTCTTGTGATTTTGAAAGTTTTAAAGGTCTAGTTTGTTTTGAATTTTATCATTTTCTACTCCTGCCTCATGGAGATTTCGATATTTTAATCTTAGATTGTATGACAACAATTTTTTCTGTCAACTGTAGGATCTTATATACCTCCCGGTCCACCAAATGGAACTCATAAGCCTGGAGTGCATCCTGCTGGTTATCCTGTGCCAAGGGTTCCCTTGCCTCCCTTTCATGGTGGTCCCCAATCTCAACCATATGCAATTCCATCTCGTGGGGCTGTTCATGGACCTGTTGGAGCAGTTCCTCATGTTCCATCTCCGGGTAGTCGTGGATTTGGGGCTGGTAGAGGTAATTCTGGTGCTCCAATTGGCAATCATCTTCCACACCAACAAGGCACCCAACAGCCCATTGGGAATATTGGTTCTACCTTTAACTTCCCAGCTCTAGAGAATCCTAACAGCCAGCCATCTGTTGGTGGTCCATTATCTCAACCTGGTTTTGCCAACAATGTATGTACTTTCACCATATAAGCGGAAATGTACTATCTTCACGACCTTGTCATTTTCTTTGTCTGGATTATGACTTTTTTTTGGATATTAGATACCAGTTCAAGGGTCCGGCCAGTCATTTCGAGATCAATTTTCTATGCCTGGAATGTCCCAGGTATTTATTGTGACTTGGTAGAAGCTTAATTTAGTTTCAAAGTATAATTTGCTCATTTTGTATATTTTGGTTTAAAATTGCAATCAGGACTTTTTGGGTGATGACTTTAAAAGCCAGGGATCTCATGTTCCTTATAATGTTACTGATTTCTCTACTCAGGTTTGTGAACTAGTGTTAATATTTTTACACACTATATTTGTTTAGAATTAAATTTGCTTTATCTGTCAGCAAAACAGGGTGTAGGGGTTTATCCTTTCCATTCATTAAATTCTATCAGTTACGTGTTCGTGTTCATTTGTTGTTTTTCTACTGACGCTTTGACCGCCTTAAGGCTTCTCAAAGTGGATATGCTGTCGATTTTGCTACACAAGGGGCACAAGGTGGATTCCCCGGGAATTTCCTTAACCAGAATTCTCAAGCTGGTTATTCTCGTTTTGGTTCAGGAAACGACTTCATGTCTCAGGTTGTTGACATTTTTAGTAACGAGCTGCTTGTGTTGTCATGTCCTTCCTTTTCTGATTTTTCTTTCTTTTAATTCATAGGACTACATGGGCCATGGATCACAAGGCCTTTTCACTCAGGTGGGATTCAGTGATCCTTTACAAGATGATTCAACTCAAAGCCATTTCGGTGTGGCGAATGCCAACCCTCTTCAGTCCCAGGTTTTTTGTAGTTCCAACCTTTTTATTATTAGAGATGTAATTACAATAATTGAAAGGCTGTGATTGTTTTACTGTTTGTCATTCGTGTTTGATTTACTGAACTCTATAGTTATTTACCCGGTAAATTCTCCGGGTTCTTTGCAGCAGATGAATTCTCTCTACTCACAACCTTTTGCTCACTACAACACACAGCCGCTTAACATGCAAGCTTCACAGCAGCAGCAGCCTCAGGCTCAGAACTCCCAAAATCAGAAAATCCACTATAACGGTTGAGGACGTTAGGAGCTTAATGTGGATTTGATGGGTTATAGTCTTTGCAATCAACAACTGGGTTTGTGCCTGTCTTTTGTGCTGAAATACGTTTGCAAAAGACATTCGAAGGATTGCCTTGGGAATAGCTATACCGAGGGATTGGTATGTATGGTTTGAGTTGATGGAATTTTGGGGCATTACGAAGATACAAGCAGGCGAATCCCGGGCTGATAAATGAAAGATAACCCCTTTACCTTACTGAAGTTTTGTATTGTTTGGGATTAAGGTGAAATTGTTCGAGAAAACATTACATGGAACGGATTTGTCGAAAGGGTTTGGATCTTGAAGCAGAAGGGGCGGTTTTCCATGTCGGTGAAATACTGAGTATAGTAATCCATACGGCAGCAATCATCGCCAAGGAAGTTATTGTACAGAAGGCAGGGATGCGGTGAACCCTTTCAGCTCTTCCTGACATGTAATTTAAACTCGATATTATAAAACACAATGACATGTTGAAAGTTATATTATGCAACTGCTGCCACCCCGAATTTTGTGGCATATAAAGGTGTGATAGTTGTTTCCATGTAAATTAGTTATCTTATAATTGCAGCATCTGAGTGCTTCGGGTAGTAATTAAACCAAGTATATTTCAATCTTCTGGTTAACCGCTTACCAGAGTTGGAATTTACAAATCTGAAGATGTCTATTGCCTTCAAAGGGATGATATACTAATTTAATGTTGGAACAATATTTATAGTATGATTCTTTCAGAATATCAAGGTGCTGATTTTTGTGTTTCGGATTTATACTGGAAAGCGATAATAACATTGGCCTAGGAAATGGTACGTTGACAAGCATTTCCAGATATTCTTTAGTATGAAGAAGTTCAGTAACTAAGTGTTACCCACATAGAATTGAAGACAATGAACAAACGTAGAATCAGAACAAAGTAATTTTATCATTCTATTTCTAAATTATTGTTTTTTGGAACTTTTTAGCCTTTTTCAGTTGAAAGATCAGTCATTGTTAAGCTTCGTTATAAAAGATCGATGATACGTGACCAGCTTAGTTGAGTGGCACTAGAGAGAAAAGGGTAAATAAGTCCGCCCAAGCCTTGATGTGGTAGCAGCATACGGGATTTAGCGGTTGGGACAGCGCCCACATCTGTTTCGGATCGAAGAAGAAATCCCCAACGAGCTCCCGCATGTGCATCACGTCGCCTACGCCTTTTGCTTGCTTTTCCAGACAGAAGTGGAATCAAGGGTTGGATGTCTGTGAGGAGGACATGGGTTGTGCCCAACATTGCGGCTGTGAATCCTTTCAGACCAGCTCCGGCCCCTAGTTCAAGGACCCCATTTCCTCTCACATCCAACTCCACAGCCATGAACCCGTGAGCACTCGACCCCTTGCTCCTCGCACACATCTTCCATTTTCCTCAATCACTATCTCACCCACTATCACTTCTTTTGCACCCATCATCTTACATTCAGTTCTGTTGGTTCTCTTCCTTCTCATGCCCTATCCATCCCTTATATTAAAGCTCTTCATATCCCTTCTACATGCGTTTTTTTTATGCAAAATTTGTCGTTGACATTCATTGGGAAATGTTCACTACGTTCATTTGTATAAATTGATCACGTCAAAATCATCAGTTTTAATTTAACCCACCCTTTAAAATACTTTCATAGTACATTAGGTGGTTGATATCAATTGATACACGTCTACTTTAAAGTTTAAAGTCAATTATGTCAAAAACACCTTTATTCAACTTATCATATGTATTTTTAAGATCAGATAATTGAGTTGGATGAAAATGACCAAAAATGTGAGAAATTAAGTTAAAGTTATGTATATGACTGAATAAAAATAAAGGACACACAAAAAAAAGGGTTAGAGTACTTTATTGTGTTCAATGAAGATGATGGTCAATCTTCTCTTTTAGTTTGTGCTAAATTCAGAGTCATCATGACAATGACGACAGGTATGCTACAAGTTAGTGGTTTTCCATACGGATGTGAAAGATTTGTTCCATGGATTGATAATTTGAGGAGCATGTATGTAACTAGAAGGTATTTTTCCGGAATAAAAGTTTCAACTATCCGAAGGTTCCTTCTTTTTAGGAAGGGCAAGCATGTGAGCTGAGAAGGGACCTCTTCTTTGAATATCAAGAAATTGGATCAATAAAACTTAGTCATAGATGATAATCGATAGAGATCTAAAAAGAACCTGATTGAGGTCTACGAAGACTAACAAAGAAGTAACTTTCTAAACAAAGAAGCATGATAGAGACGATGTTAGCAACTAATATCTTATTGTTAATGAATATTAGAGATAAATTCTGTTTTATTTGACGAAATTTACACTGGTGTTAGTTTTACTCGAAATTTTAGGAATTGTTTTTTCTTCCGCCATCATTTTATATATAGAAATAATTAATGTCTGTCCAAAACTTAAGAAGACTAGTTCCTTTAGTTAGTTTATATAAAAGCTTCTCAGATTATTTAATAGTTTGGTACTATTTGTATCTTTTATCTATCTTATATTATATTGATGTGCCGCACTTGATTGGTGAGTATCATCTTTTATGAAAAAGGTTCTAATACATTTTTTTTCTTTTATAACAATATTGTAAGCGAAGTCTTTTAAAAAAAATTCGATGGATTTGATTTTTCGTAGCATTTGCTTAAAGTTGAGAATACTTATTAACATTGATTATGACATGTTTGAGTTTTCATGTTCAAAGTGAAAAGTTTTTAACATTGACAATGGCATGATTCCATTTCTTGGTTGTTTACTTTAGTTATTTTGTTATGACTAAATTTGCGATTGAACCGAAATACATTAATACAGTAAAAATAATAAAACCTTCAAGGAGGCATCAATTATCCATTCCATTGAAACAAATAAGTAGGGGGCATCTCTCAAACTGATGTGAAAGGAATGTTGCGGAGAGTGAAGCACTTGAAAACGAGAGAGAAAAGTTTATTGTATAAAATAGTAATTATAATCTAGGTAAAAAGTAAAAGAAGAAAAGAAAGGAAATTGGATTTTTTTTTAAATACTAATAGATGAAAATAAAGTAGATAAATAAGAAGTATATGAAAATGAAATGAAAATTCTAAATATTTGGTTAAAAGAAAATAAAAAAGAAGTGAGATGACGAAAATGATAAAATAAATACTAGAAATAAATATAAATTGTATTTTTTTTTCGTATTGTTTAAATATCATATTAAAAACAGTATTCAATAAATTTAACTTTAAAGCAATAAAAATAGTATTCAAGAAATTAAAAGTTTTCCAGGAGGAATCCACTCAAAAGGGGAAAAAGGCAAATGCAGAGAAACAGTGATATGTTGAGGCCACCCATGAAAAAAGCAGAGACAATAAAAAAAGAAAAAAAGTTTGTAATTGACTAATTGTACCCAAAAGAAAAAAAAAAAAAAGTCTGTTGGGATTTTCTTAAACATGATGTCAGAAGAAATATGAATGCTTAATTAAAATGGCATTAGTCTCATTCAATTAGCAAACACACGCAACGCGTGAGAGCTACACTCTCTGTCTTCCACCACATACCTTATGATTCGTTCTTTCAACAAAACAGACGAATAATATTAATATTTATGCATTTAGAAATCATTTTCGTTTCAGCCACTCATGCATACTTGTCCCACATGCACGTGGAGTGTAGTGTACCCATGCCATGTATCAAGCTTTTTCTAACCCTAGTTTAATAATACTCCATTCAATGTAATAATTAAATAATGCCATTATACGTTCTAATATTATATATTAAATATATGTGAATAAGCATAATGTAGTAGCTAAAACATGGTTACCTTGATGTCCAAAAAATTTGTAAAAAAAAAAAATTGAATTAAACCACTTTTTTTAAATATATATATATATATATATATAATTAAATAATTTCATTAACATGACTTAAAAATTTAAAATAAATATTTTGTTATCATTTTTTTTGAAGTGGTTATAAAGTTCCTTAATTTTATATAAAATCAGTTTGAATCTAAAAACTATAACTTCTTTCGAATATTATTCAAGTAGTGTCGATATAACTTTATTATATCACTTTTCAGGTTACATGGAATTTTTTTATTATTATTAAAAATCACCAACTCGATGACCACTACTCCCCTTATTAATATATATATATATATATATATATATAACATAATACTTATCATTTATAATATTAAAAATAAAATTTCTTCACATCATCATTTATGACGTAAAATTTAATATTTTTTAGAGATTTAGTTGAATTAATAGATATTTTTTGAAATAGAATAAAACTTGTTTATAGTGTCAACATTTTCGGTTATTTACTCTATTATAACTAATTCAGTTATTGTATATTATTAAGGTGAAAGGTTTTAACATTTTATCATTTTAAACTCACTTTTTTTCTTTCTTAGTTAATTATTACAAATTGTTAACATACCTGTTATATACGAGGTTTAAGGATTATAAATGGTCTAGATTCTCTTTTTCTACGTACATCTTTCTTGTAATTTTGTTTAAAGTATACTAATAAATTATAAATGGATATTATATATAATATTTATAAAATTAACTCTCAAATGATATAAAAATATTTCACACAGAAAACACACAAATGCTATTTTTTTGGGATAATCTATTATGTTGATGTAATCTAGAATAAATCACGTATTACACTTATTAAATTATATTTTTTGTAACTTATAGTTATTATTATCTCACATTAAGTTCACCTTGCTTTACGTCACTAATGTTGTTATAGGAGTGTTGGATGCAAAAACTTATAAAGAAAATACAAAAATGTAATTTACTTAACTTATATGTAGTATATTTATATTAATACCATATTAATAGTTTAATTAAATATTACGCTCTTATTACAATATAATTTTTTGTTTTACAAATGATAACTTTAAATAAAATTTAATTAATTCAAATAGAATTTATTAAATAAATTATTATATATTATATATATATATCTACATAATAAGAACTTTATATATATATATATATATATATATATTAATAATCATTTTTTAATATATTTAAATTAAAGTTATACATTTAATATAATACAATTAATAATGTAATAATTAATGTTACATTATAAAATATTTGTATAATGTATATATTAATAAGACTAATTGAGGGGTATCATATGTCATTTTCGAAAATACAAGAGTGCTAGTGTAGTAATAATTTCCTTTTCCCTGTAATGTTAAAACAAGAGGTCATGTTTACAGGGGAAAAAGGAGAGTGTTTATTTTACCAAAGAAAATTCGCCTTACAGCACATGACTTAAAATTATATAGCACCTACTTGTACCAATTAATTTACACTTTTTTTCAGAAAACATTTCAACACGTTAAGTTTTTATGGTTATTTCAATAAATTAAAAGCAATCTTATTAACATCTTTATTTTTTAAATAAGTTTTAAATATAGGAAAAAAATTCATTTTACCTGAACTATATTTTAAAAAGCCGCATATTTTAACAAATTCAAGAAAAAGTAATGAAGTGTAGATTTATTTTTAATAATTAACCATTTTTCGTGGTACATTATTCTCTGAAAACTCCTAAGCAACATATAAAAAAGAGTAAATATAAATTAATTATTATTTATCATTTTTTAATATAATTAAATTATAAAGAAGTAAATAATAAAATAATAAACTACTTTATATATATTTTTAAAATAATTATATTTCTCTTTATTTATATTTGGAGCAAGAATAATTTTTTTATAAATTAATAATCAAAATGAATTATTATTTAATATCATTAAAGTAAAAAAGTGAAAATAAAATATATTTTTAACTCTTATTTTTATGTTAGTAGATCCATTTTTTTTCACACAGATATATATAAATAAATAACAGTTAACATAATTGTGAAATACTAAAATAAATAAAGGATTAGAATGAATTGTTTAATAAATATTTTAAAAAAAGTTTTTAATAATTAAAAATTGATTTTTGTATAAATTAATTTATAGGTATTATTTTATATATTTTTTTCTAATTTATGTATAAATTAAGTTTATTATTTTATTATTTTAATTTTTCAAATTACTTATGAAAAGACTTATTCGAACAAATCCTAACTTGCAGAACAATTACTTACGAGTATAAGTACAATCTATAAAGAAGTTGATTCCATATTTATTTTATGGGAAGCTTCGGGATCAATAATTTATTTCCCCAAAGTGACAATTGGCTTCTATAGAAGGAACTTTTTCGGCCATAATCCAAAGTTGAGTTACGCATTAAAATAGGTTAACGTTGAGATAGACACATGGAGATGAGTTTTACCAATCAATTTTCAAATTCAAACATATATTGAATTCAACTCTTGATATTTTCTCTCGTGACTAGAATCTAATAAATTGTTTTTAGATAATTAATTTATAAATTTGTATTAGTACATTTGATTTAATTAAACTTGAGAATAATTTATTTTTTATTCCCGAGAGTGGATCTGAAGTTTGAAGCTCCTATCCGAAGAAGGACTTAAACAGAGGGAGAATTTATTTATTTAAAAATAAATTTTAACATTAGGTATTATTGAAATTAAGAAGAAAATCGAGGGTAGATGAAGAGTTAGGTGCAATCATTCATAATCCAGCTCTTACATTGGTTTGGACTCGTGCAGCCTCTTTCTCCCCTTCACACTACCTACCTTGGCAGCTTCTACTGTAAATCTTGCCTCCTATTATTTTATTATTTATCATTATTAACCAAACAAAAGCAACAAAGTAAAAGCAGAAGATGCCATAAACGCTCCATCTTCTGACTTAGGCCATCAACTGTTACCATAATTCAACCTTCAAAGATTCACTCTCCTACTCTTTTTCTTCCTCATTCTTCTAACATCACGGTTAGTTCACTCCAATTTCTACTATATCACTCTCACTTTTTCTCCTCTTCCGCGATTCTCCTCTTTCCATCTCCGATTCTTCCACCTCTGCATTTTATGCTTTTAGTTTCTGCATCGCTCTCGATTACTGATTAATTAAAGGTTTCAAAGTAGGTTTTATTGCGCATTTTTCCTTTTCAGTTAATTCGGATAGCATTGCATGATGAGTTGTGTTGTTAGAGAGCTTGTGTTTATGTCAACGGATTCGTGATCGAGTTTCGCTACTGGAGTTGAATTTCAGTGCGGTCGGTTTATTACACTGATTCAAAGCTCTTTAGGTGTCTGTGAATGAGTTGTGCGTAATTCTTTGGAATTCTGGGGATTCCAGAGTTAAGGAAAGTGTGCAAGTTAGGAAAGTATTATGGCGGTGAAGTATTGACGGATTGAAAAATGATACGGAAGGTTGTCAGAACATGCGTGCTTGTATTGTGTAACAAAAGGCCTGATGATTTTCACTTTTATATTCCTCTAGAAATTAAATGCCATATCAGATGTTAATAAACCTGTTGAGCGTTTTATTGAAAAATGTATTGTGTATTTTAAACTCAATTAATGTTGATGACTGGCGGTGTTAGTCACACATGGAAACATTTTTCTTACAGGAATAGTGCAATCTGAAGTAATTCATTGCACATATGAATGTTGTGATGAAGATAATATTATGCTAGCTTTTGTGGAATAAATAAGTTTGGTGATAGGTTTAAAGATACAACAGACTGACCTCATGATAAACAGTGCTTTCTTGTTTTTAAATTTTAGATTTGTTATAATATATGATAAACAGATTTAAGGAGGGTTTTTCTTAACGCAACACATTAGATCAACTCACTCATTTTTCACGGGTTATTTAATTTCGTGGTTTGCTTGCAAATTTCATAATTGGAAAAGTTCTCTGAAATTTCTGAAGTATGATTTAATTTCCATTGTTGTGAACATTAAGAACTTAACTTGAACTTTTACTAGTTTCACCGCCCAATTTAGCTGCTTTATGAAACATGGCTTCTTCATGTGGATAGAGCTTAATGAGTAATCCCTAGTCATTAATGAGTGAAAACATAAAAACTAAAGTACTCTAACCTTCCTGTGTTTCTTATTTTTGATATCTCCTTTGTATTTAGTTGCAGAATAAATGTATAAAAGTGGCTTCCTTGAGGACCAATCCCTATGGAGGTAGCTTTGAGAAATAAATTCCTTCGTACTATCCACTGAGCTGGTTGAAACTTTACATTTATTCTGATTTCTGCTGATGAATACTTGACATAGGTGGTGATGCACTTTGTGGTAATGCATTGGAACCTCTGGTGCTGCATTCTTTTGGGATATCTTCATATATATTGTATGTCTTTTAGTTCAGGACATCACTTGAATAGGAGTACTAGCATAGAAAACTGGTTGGGTTTTTCTGGGTCACTTGTGGGAGATTATTCTCAACTCCATGATTCTGCATTTGTTGAAACATCAACTTCGTCATTCCCATTGAATGTTTCAGTCTCTTGTGAGGACTTGAAAGGTGTAGGATCTTTTAACACCACGTGCTTGCTAAGCTCAACTCATTATTTGAAATCGGATATTAACATTTATGGAGTTGGGAACCTGGAGTTACTCTCAGATGTGTCACTTTTATGCCCGGTGGAAGGGTGTATGATAACAGCCAATGTGTCTGGCAACATTAAACTTGGTCAAAATGCATCTATTGTTGCTGGTTCTGTGGTTTTATCTGCAGCGAATCTGACTATGGAATACAATTCTTATATAGACTCATCATCTTTAGGTGGGTCACCACCTTCCCAAACTAGTGGCACTCCTGTTGGCAATGATGGAGCTGGTGGAGGGCATGGTGGGCGTGGTGCATCTTGTGTAAAAAATAACAAGACAAACTGGGGTGGTGATGTTTATGCTTGGTCTACATTGTCTGAACCATGGAGTTATGGGAGCAAGGGTGGTGGGAAATCTACTAAAAAGCAATATGGAGGGAATGGTGGGGGGCGAGTTAAACTTCTAGTGAAGGACACTTTATATGTAAATGGATCTATTATTGCAGAAGGAGGACATGGAGGGTCTGATGGGGGAGGTGGATCTGGTGGAAGTATATTGGTCCAGGCCATGAAGCTGTGAGTATGAAGTACTTGTTGGTTTATGAACTTATATCTGTTTTTCATATCATGACTTATAAATGACTGTTTAGGGTGCCTGTAGCTATTATTTGAAGAGAAAAATGCAGTTTTTTGGCATTTAAGTCACTTCTATGAACAATAAAGATATTATAATTAATAGTTTTATTACACATTAAATGGTTTTCAAACTTTATATGATGAGAAAATAGCAAATGTTGGTAATTTTACTTTTTAATGATATTAAATGCAGAGAATTGTAGCTTTTGTTGATGATGGCATACTGTCTAATATTCTGTTTAGATGGATCTGTTTTTGGCATTTGGTCCATGGTCAATTACAATTGCAGAGGTAGTATTCTTTTTTCTTTTGAATAACGTGGATGTTTTTGAAAATGTCTTGTTCTTGTTGAAGATTTGAGTTGTTTATAGTTTTTAAAAGTGCCATGTCTATATTCAAGGTTTTCTAGGGAACTAATTCGTGTTATCTAGTGAGTTGTGCTTGTAACTTTTCTTTTCAACTTTATTTTTTGGTGGTGCAGGAAGGGGTATGGTACCATCAGTGCTGCTGGTGGGACAGGATGGGGTGGAGGAGGTGGAGGAAGAATATCACTTGATTGTTATATCATACAAGAAGATTTAAACATTACTGTTCATGGTTAGTTCTAATTCACTCCTATACATGGTAATTAAACCAATGCTGACTCCTACTTGATCTTTTATTCTACTCTAAGTACATTATGCTCAAACCATGCGAATCAAAATACCAAAAATTAGAATTTTTTTTTTGAATAGAAAGATTTTCAGTTTCCAATGTGAAGATAAGCAAACCTTTCCTGTTTTTGTTATTACATTAAAATATGGTGTCCAGAACGTATTCAACTAGGAAACCTCTCAATTTCTCAGGTTTACCATGGAATTTTTGAGTTTTTCTGGAAGCTTGTTCTCCTGATTTATAGATTCTGGAATCTAATCATCGTAATTCCTGATTAGAGCTCAAATTTATTTGATTGCCTCTTAATTCTCTCATTAAATGGCCCAGTGTCCCCGATTTTTGAAATGTTCCAGAACTTTATGAAATGGTGAATAATCCAGTGTCCTCCATTCATCAATTTCTTGTGCATGCCACATGAAGAAGTGTGGATAATATGGATGAATAGCATAAATTAAAATGAGAGGGGAAAACTAATTTGAAACACTTCATTTCTTTGTGAAAAAGAGGATGATGCTAACTTCTTCCCAAAATGACTTTGGGGGTAACCTTTCTGACACACAATCTAAATTTTTTAGTGGTGCTGAGAATATGCATATCATAATTTATGTTCTTTTTGTAAACAAATTTTGGTTGATCTGGATAACAAGAAGGAGCTTATAGACAATAGGTGCAATTGTTGACAGGAGGATTGAGTATTGGCTGTCCTGGGAATTCTGGAGCAGCAGGCACATATTTCAATGCACATTTACTAAGTTTGAAAGTTAGTAATGACAATGTTACAACAGAAACTGAGACTCCTTTGCTTGACTTCTCAACCAGCCCTTTATGGTCAAATGTTTATGTGGAAAATAATGCAAAAGTTTTGGTTCCGCTTGTGTGGTCCAGAGTTCAGGTACTATACCAACAAACAATCATGATTATGGAGTCACAATTTCATAACCTTTTTTAATATTTTCTTGTGCTTTAGAAAATTATTTATATGATATAGAACATAATCTTATAACCGTTTTGATCTTCTGAAGCATTTTATAGCAATAGTTTCATTGCACAATGGATTAAAAAAGATATCGCCTGAACGTTTTTCATGTAATATTACGTTTTGTTTTGTCTTTGAAAACAATTTCATTAATATATTTTATATTCTTCTTTATTAATCATTGCAAGTTTAACCATTGGAACCAGATGTTTGATATTTGTTTGAATTCTCTAATTATGAAGGTAAGAGGCCAAATTAGTGTATACAGTGGAGGAAGCTTAATCTTTGGGTTGTCTGATTATCCAATTTCCGAGTTTGAGCTTGTTGCAGAAGAGCTTTTATTGAGTGATTCTACCATAAAGGTATGTTTTGTGATTCATTATGTTTTTCTGTTCTAATTTTAGTTCTATTCTCGATCAGTATATATGTGTCACTTATTTTGAGTTACTATTTCTCTGAGTTGTAATATCAACTTGTAATTTAACTATTTTTACCTTTAATATCTGAAGGTTTTTGGTGCATTTAGAGTTTCTGTTAAAATGTTACTCATGTGGGATTCCACAATGCAAATTGATGGTGGTGAAACTACTGTTGTGACTGCTTCAGTACTTGAAGTGAGAAATCTGGCTGTTTTAAGGGTATAATAGTCTTTATCCTTTATTGAAAGTTATGCAGTATTCTTGGTTATAGAACCATATTTTGTTCATGGTGGTTATGACCTTCCATTATAATAGCGGTTTCTCACCTTCACAGCAAAATTCTGTCATTACTTCAAATACGAACTTGGCATTATATGGTCAAGGACTACTACAATTGACTGGTGATGGTGATGCAATCAAAGGCGAGCGGTTATCCTTGTCTCTCTTCTATAATGTAACTGTAAGCAAATTATCTTTACAATTACTTTTGTAGTTTTTATAGTTTTTGAAGTGGTTACAAGAGATGTAAAGGATTTTTTATGGCTATCCCTCGTGCAAGGGATGATAATATAAAAAGGTTGATTGAAGCAATATATTCTCTTTATCATTCTTCCCGGTTGTGAGTGGAAAAAAAATATCTAAGATGGTTTTACTTTTCAATAGGTTCTGGTTTGCCATTTGGTTATACTAGAATTTGGACTTAGAATCTAACTTAATCCCACAAGACTTCTTATAGGGTGAGGATGCTCAAATCATATTAGGACTATATTCATATCTTTAGTTAATGTAAGATCTTAACAGCCTTTTGTGCATAGTACTGAATATCTAGAGTGTGGCAAACGTGAATGACCCACTTATGACTAGGAGTAAATATCTAGTAGAATGTAGGCAAATGTGTTTGGCCTAATAACATATATAGGATATGTCATGATACAATCTTATAATTTGAGCTTTATAACTTAACTCAATCCTACAAATTAGCTTGAAAGTTGTTGATTATCCAATTCTTATATTAGGTCAATAGGTCATTTTGGCCTGATTTAAAAGAAAATAAATGAATACAAAATCAATTCTAAATCTAAAATTGATAAAACAAAATATGTATTTTTTTAAATTTAAGTCACATGAATGAAATTGATTTGAGTTTTTAGGTATAGTAATTGGATATATAAATTTTAGCGCACAAGTTTTAATAAAATAATATTACTTTCAAGTTTTTTAAAATTATAATTATTTTTTTCAATAATGGGCAGAGCCAAAAGCCTAGAGCCAGTCCGACTTAAACTCATTTCATGTATATTCAAGCCACAAATTTTGTAACTCTGACTTGTGGGTTATTTGGTATGACTCATCGGATTAGTTTCATTTTGATGATTCTACTTATGAGGACTATAATGATCATATGTTTAGTTGATGTGAGATTTCAAATCACCGTCATGAGTCACACCACACCCTAAATTGGTAGGTGGTCCAATTATAACACCCTCTCATGCTTATGATTAGGCACGTAGAGCATAGACAAATATTAGTGACTCAATAATGGATTTAAGATAAACTGTGATACCATCATATAGTTTCTGCTTAAGGTTTAGCTTAATTCTTCAAAATCGGTTTGTAAGGAAGGTGAGAAATGTCCAAGGGTTATAAGAACTACATTGGTTCTATTGTATCTCTAATTGATGTTATCATCAAGTTATGTAACAACTTTAGACTAGATGAAATGATTAAAGTATATGTTTAGTTTTGATCAATCCTTTAAACTTTACTAATGATACAACTTTTAGATAGTTAAAGCCAAAATAGTGAAAGAATGAAACTATATCTAAAGTATGATCCTAATTACATAATGTAAAGCAGATCTCTTAAAAAATAGGTTATCTACATAAATTCAAATAAAATTTGATATAAATATGAAAAAAGTCAAGTAAACCAAATCTGTATGATATCTCCTGGGATATCTTTGCATTCTATGTAATATCTCAACTTATCTAAACTGTTAGACTCTTTCTGAAATTCATGATTTTCCCCCTTTGAAGTTGCATTTGGGGTGCCGCATTTCAGTTGACAGTGTTGCTCTTTCGACAGGTTGGTCCAGGTTCTTTAATTCAAGCTCCTTTGGATGATGACGCTAGTAGAGGCATGTAAGTATGATTGCTTTCTAGTTGCATTGCTTGACATAAACAATTTCCATCTGGCCTGTTTGGAAACTTAATCCAATTTATTTGTTTTTATAATTGTGTTTGTAGGGTGACAAAACATCTATGCGACACACAGAGATGCCCAATGGATTTGATAACTCCACCTGATGATTGTCATGTCAATTATACACTCTCCTTTTCACTGCATGTAAGATTTGTTTAGTAGTAGTAAAAGTGATATTTTTAGATGTATTTCATTTAAAAAAAATGAATATCTTACGTTTTTGCTCTCTTGGGATTAAGTTGGAACCCATTTTTGTTGCATTTAATGCAATTATCTAATTTCTAAAAAATGAATTATTTCTGGTATTCATAACTATTTGACAAAATATTTACATTTGCATTTGTTTTGGTACATATATTTGTGTATCATGATTGTAGTTGAATCTTATGACATGAAATACCATTTTTCTATCGTTGCCACCATCATTCCCAGTTCAATCTACTTATTTTATTGGACATTGTTTCGTGATTGGGGTCTACATCAAAGACAAAAAAAATTGCACTTACAGTTGAACATTGTGGTGAATTCTACTGAGTTTTGGCAGATTTGTCGTGTTGAGGATCTTCTTGTAAATGGCATCATGAAGGGTAGCATAATTCACATTCACAGGGCAAGAACTGTGATTGTTGATACCGATGGCATGATTACTGCATCTGAATTAGGTAATTAAATGTTTAAGACGCCCCTTTGTTTTATACATTTTTTGTTCTTCTAGGTAATTACGTTTAATACAGTAAAAATGCTAATTACCACAAAAGGATAGTAGTAAGATTTTGATTAGATAGGAACCTTTTTCAGGTTGCACTGAAGGTATTGGAAAGGGTAACTTTTTGAATGGAGCTGGTGGTGGTGCTGGACATGGTGGAAAAGGCGGATCTGGATATTTCAATGGGAGAGAGAGTATTGGTGGTAATGACTATGGAAATGCTATTCTTCCATGTGAATTGGGTAGTGGAACTGAGGGCCCAAATGAGTCATATGGGCATGTTGTTGGAGGCGGGATGATTGGTAATTAGTTAGTACTTACCTTGACTTCATATGATTCATGTAAAGCATTCTCCAAATTTGTTTCTGGCTATTAACATGGATGCAGATGACTGCAAATGCTATATCTGTTTGTGCCTCTATTCATTTTTCCAAGCCAAATATCTATTTTTTAGTGATATTCTCTGATCTTGTTAGTTTTTGTTTGATCTTGGCTAGTGATGGGATCCATTCAGTGGCCACTTTTGAAACTTGAACTTTATGGATCCTTGAGGGCTGATGGCGAAAGCTTTAGCAAATCAATAACAAGCAGTGATGGTTCTTTGGTGGGGGGTCTAGGTGGAGGTTCTGGTGGAACAGTCCTTCTTTTCCTTCAAGAACTTAGGCTCTTGGAGAATTCATCCTTATCTGTTGTTGGGGGCAATGGTGGCCCTGTTGGTGGTGGTGGTGGAGGTGGAGGTCGAATCCATTTCCATTGGTCAAAGATTGGTACAAAGGAAGAATATGTTCCCGTTGCAAGTGTTAGTGGCACCATAAATAACAGGTATACATAATTATGTCTCTGTTAGCGACTTTAGAGTTGGAACATAATAGACTATTACTGATTTTTCTTGGGCCAAATTCTATTTCCATGTAGTTAGAGGACTAATGTGGTGATTTGTTTATTTTTGGTGGCTAAATTGGGAGCTCACTCTTTTAAGAACCTGAAAGTAGGAACTTGGTCATTGTAAATAATTTAACCAGCATCATGGTAAAATGGTGATGTACACTTTCTTTAAATAAACTTTGCTGAGAAACATCATCTCTTTCTTCATGATTTTAAACAGTGGAGGTGCTGGGGACAATGATGGCCAACATGGACAGGAGGGCACTATAACAGGGAAGGCATGCCCTAAAGGTCTTTATGGAATTTTTTGTGAGGTTTGCTCCATTAGTTTTTCCTTTTTCCTTTTTTATCTTCTCATTCTTGGATTTGCTTTTATTTTTGTGATAAGTTAAATGCTAGGTACCAAAATATATAGAACAGATATAAAAATTCATCGCAGCAGATTTCTGGCTTGTATCAAGGTTATAACAATGCCTTGAATCTGCTCCATGAAAGAAATATAGAACTGGTAGAAAAATAGACTAGGTTATAGGTGTCTAGTCTCTCCTTGACGTCCGAGCCTATTCTAGTCCACCCATTGCTACCTTCCCTATTGCCAATTCAGCAGTCAGTTACTCAGTGGATAATCTTCCATTGTCTCTCTTGGTCATGATCCTCTACATTGTGACTTTTTTTCTCATGTACACACTAGCTATTTTAGGGATCCTATTGTTAAACTAGCAATATGCAAAGAGACTGGTCATTTAACAGGTTATGCTCTTTGTCTCTTTAAGGAAGGCATATCTTATCCTCCACTCTTGTAATCCTCTCTATATTTTCTACTAAATTACCCTTTTGACTTAGGTCCAACAAATCTGCTTAGGATGGACTTTGATACCATCGTAGAAATTGGACTACAAGCCTAACTTTATAAAATTGACTTGAGAGGTGAGGCTTGCACCTTCTTTTATACTATAATTTGACAATATCTCTAATTAATTTGAGATCTCCAACACATCTCATCATTTTGAGGATTGAATATCTCGAGCAGAGGATTGTATATTTATGGGTGGTCCAATAACAACCTAATAACAGGTGACACAATAGGCTCAACAAACCTTGCTAGGACAGAATCTGATACCATCTTCAAAAGTAGATTTTAAGTCTAATTCAACCTTACAAAATGGAGTTGTAAAGTAAGGTTTATATATATATATATATATATATATATATATATATATACACACACACACACACACAACTGCTACCATTGACAAACGAGTGTGTTGAACTATTCAGTCATTGAGGATTCTCCCTATCAAAGGTCATGAAGTTTGCTTTTGATCTCAAAAATTACGGAGGTGTTGTCTATATTGGAATAGGTCTCTCTCTCTCTGCATGCCCCATCTTGGTAGTGTCATAATACATTAAGTTTTCCCTAATTTCATTGGTCAAGGTATTGAGTAGCCATGACATGACTAAATTGTTTTCCACCTGTCATTTTGGAGGTTGGGTCCCCCTTTTCATGCCACTTGGAGCTCCTGTAATATAACCTTCTTTCCCTTTTCCTTGAAGAAATATCTTGATTGATCACACCCATTGATTATAATTCTGACCATTAATTTGTGGCCAATGATGGGAACGATTGACCCAGTCTCCACTACCTTCTGGTTTCTTCTCTTCCATGGCTGGGTGGTACTAGGCTAGGGATGGTTCAGATTGAGCTTTGATATTATGTGGAAATATGGATTAGATCTTCCTGAATCATACTTGATACAATAAGAGGTTAATATGAAAGAGGAAATAAATTTATACACTAATCTAGAACTGAAAATAGGAAAATATTTTTCCTATAAATGCTATAATTAGATGAGGAAAAATACAGATTCTAATTACAAATAATTCTGTAATGATTTGGGCAATCTCCAACATAACATGAGAATTATGAAACCCAACTAAACGGCCCGCAAACATGGGTTATGTGATTCATTGTCATGGTTTTTGTGAGGGCAATTACATATAATTTAGCATAAAAATATACCTTTTGTTCATATATCTTTTACCAAAATTCATTTTGGTCCTTTATCTCTTTAATTTGGGTCATTGCTGTCTTGTTTAAATAGTGGTAGTTTTTTATTTTGTGGCATAATTTTGAATCATTTTTTGATTGATTCAAGACAAGAAACTTGTCCCATTATATTCAAACATGAGAATTATGACACCCAACTAAAAGATCCTCAAACATGATAAAATTGCAATGAAAAATGTGTCTTGATTACAAAAAAACTGAAATCATTAATCAGATTCTTTTACACCCATGAAACTACCTTTTCATGCTATTTGCACCATGTTTCTTGCTTGTTTTGGTTTGAGCATAAGTTGACATCATAATTCTCATGTAGGTGAATCTAATGAGACAAATTTTACATTTTGAACATGTTGACAAAGGGTTCTAAATTGTCACAAAATAAGACAATGATTGCTGTTTCAGAAGGACAACAAAGACCCAATTTGAGAGATAAATTATAAAAAATTATTCTTTTAAAAATCAATGTGAATTTTAGTAAAAAGGGACCAAAAATATATTTTAGCTTGTAATTTAGTTGTATGATTTTGTATCTTGCCCAAGGCTGCTATGATATTAGGACAGGAATTGCAGTTTAGGGTTCACCAAGAAAAAGTCATTTTTTCCTTTTGATTCTGAACCAGTTCTTGACAAATCTAATAATTCTTGCACCTGCTCTGCATGCTTACTTTCTGAAAATTTATTAAACTGTGCAAGTGATTTTACAGGAATGTCCTATTGGTACTTATAAAGATATTGATGGTTCTGAGGAACATCTTTGCATTCCTTGTCCTCTTGATCTTCTTCCAAATCGTGCAAATTTCATATATAAACGAGGTATTTTTGATGATAAAACTTGTTATATATGCCTATCATTAAGTTCTATCCCAAATTTTTAGGATGGTTCTTTTCATTTCAGGGGGTGTTACAGAACGGTCTTGTCCATATAAATGTATATCAGACAAATATCGAATGCCCAATTGCTATACACCTCTAGAGGAGCTCATTTATACATTTGGGGGTCCCTGGCCATTTTCGGTATTGTTATCATTCGTTTTATTGATCTTGGCTCTTCTCCTAAGTACTTTGAGAATCAAGTTGATCGGTTCTGGTTCATATCATAGTTCAAGTTCAATTGAACACCATAATCATCACCGTTTTCCATATCTTCTTTCCCTCTCTGAGGTATTATTCTGATAAGGATATGGCTACTGTTAATTAGTTTTTTGTTGGTATTAATTGGGCCTTAACACATCACTCTGAAACTATTGGGTGTATTGTATATTTATTGTTTGAAAACCAGGTCCGTGGAGCTAGAGCTGAAGAGACTCAAAGTCATGTACACAGAATGTATTTTATGGGTCCTAATACTTTTAGAGAACCCTGGCATCTTCCTTACTCACCTCCCCATGCTATAATTGAGATTGTGTAAGAGCAATTTCATATGAATTATGCATGTTGTGGATCCTGATGTCATATCGCTTCATATGTGTGGCTGTGGACTGATAAATACTGGAAACCTATTATTTTAGCATAAATCATTAATCTACGGTGGTCCTGAATATCAAGTAGAAATCAATAGTATGAATTAGTGATTCAATGTACAAAAAGACATCTAAGTTTCTGTAAAGAACACTATATATACACAGACTCAATGGTAAAACAGTTGTAATCAACTTGCCATGACAGCTGTACCAACTGACCATCACAGTTCTAACAACTGACAACAACAGTTGTAACAACTGACAACAGTTGTAACAGACAACTAACTAACTAGATCAGTTACAACAAACTGATAAACAATTAATATACAAACGGTAGCAGTTTTGTTTGATTTAATGGAGTTTACCCCCCCGCAAAGTCAAGGTGACTTGGAAACTATAGAATGCTCTGTTGCATTGAGTTACTCCTTAAGTAAACAGATCAGCCCACTAATCTTCACCAGGAATGTGCTGTACCACCAGTTGCTTGGCAACAACCTTCTCTTGAACACATCCAGTTCCATGCGTTTTGTTCTAGCACACTGAGATTATCACACAACACTAGGGGAACGTGATGAGGATTAGAACGTTCTTTATGCAGTGTCTGAATCCACAAGAAGTCCTTTATAGCTGCAACAAGGGTTGTCATTCAGCTTCAGTTCTAGATCTTGAAACCATATTTTGTTTCCTAGACCACCAGGATTAGGCCCCAACTATAATGGAGGACCTGAGGTAGATCTTCTGTCATTAATATTAGCAGCCCAATATGCATCACTAATGGCTCTGATTGCACTATGGATGCATAAGAAGACCACCATATAAGGCATCCTTAGGATACATTAGATTGCTTTTGACTGCTGTCCAATATGAGACTCCAAAGGGGAGGCCATACTTTATTAACAACAAAACTGAGCTTAAGGTGAGATATGGTTACATGATGTAGTACACAAACCACTATTGTAGAATGAAGGATCTGGTACGTTGGAAGTCCCACATCGCTGGTCTCATGTCATGTGGTATGGTTTAAATACCTATTAGACTACTCCACATATTGTCGATTGGTTTTATGTTGAAACCTTAACATGATATTAGAGCTAAAACCTAACTTCTTTGTGGTTCTTGTCTTTGGGCAAGAGTTGCCCTTCCGTTGTGGGTTAAAAGTATCTTTTATATGGTCTGACAGGCTTCCTCCAACGGCATGTTGGAAATCCCACATCGCTTGTCTCATGTCATGTGATATGGTTTAAATACTTGTTAGGCTACTTTACATATTGTCAATTGATTTTATGTTGGAATCTTAACATGGTAAAAAATTTGAACCATGCTTTACTACTTGAAGACCATAGGAGAAGATATAGGATTAGATTCAAGCATATTAGTTTTAATTAATAAATCTTTGTTGTGCATTGTCCAAGTCATGTATGGAATCTATCTAAATTGTGAATCTCAATACCAATAAATATAGTCAAGAGTACCCAACTGTTAGAGAGAAAGAGTTTAAGGTATTGATAATTTGTTGAGTAGCTGCGAAGGAGCTTCCTGTGTTGATTATGTCTCTACTTAAACCGGTTAGTATAAAGTAGTCGATTGTTTGTTGAGTACAAATAAAGAAGGATCACATTTAGTATCTGTAAATTCAAACTACAGAAAGAGTACTCATGAGCTTTAAAACAAAGCTCTAGGGACTTGTTTTAAACCATAAATTGCTTTATTTAATTTGCATAACGGAGATTTATTAGAATTTTCAAAACCTAGTAGTTGTGACATATAAACTCCTTGAAGCACCTCCATTAAGAAAAACATTGTTCATTGCAATAGTGGCAATTGAATTGCTGTGAGGACTGGCACTGCATAGTACCAGGAAAATTCCACCAGGAAGCTGGATGATACCACTATTGAGACGAATTCAAGACACCATTGGTCACTGAAGGTGGCAGAGTTTGACATTGAGGATTGAATCTATTTCAACAACTTAGCTCCGTATGACCATAGCAAAAACAGACTTGACATTGCATTGAGCTTTGACCACCGCAAGCATCATGACGCATCATGATGCATCATGACTGTTAGAGCCGCTGAAATCGGAGTATAATTTGGGATTCATATTATTAGGGTTTACTTCAAATGCAAAATTGGTACCAATGTCATTTTCACCATCAGAAATGAGGGAGAGATTTGTAGTATTAGCTTGAGTGAAATTGACAGAAGGCATTAGAAGTCGAACTGAATTTATTGTATTTTTAAGACGCAATTCCTATGCAAGTATAAGATCTTTGCTTGAATTTTAATATCTATTAATCGACTTTTAACTAAGGAAATAACATAATCAATTTTTTGTGCAAGTCCTTTAAGAATGGAGTCCATGTGCTCACAAAGCGAGGCTGGATCTCCAATAGAGGATAGTGCATTGATTAATGCCTTGACGCGAAGAAGATATTCCTCAACTCTACAATTATAAAGTGAGGAATGATGAAGTTTAGGGCTGTGATGCCTGGCCTTTGTTATTGTTTGATGATGGAAATAAACATAAACTTTATTGCATACTTCAAAGATATGAGTGGATCCAAAGAACATGAACGAGATGGAATTTGACAGAGAGGATTGCTACCAAGCAAGAAGTAACTAATCTTGTTTTTCCCAAACTCTATATTCAGTACTCAATTTATTATCATGATCATCTTCATACAGAAAACCCATAGAATGCTAGTATTAACCACAAAACGAGGGAAGGCATGAGCCTTGATAATTGGTTTGACTTGCCATCCACAACAAAAAATTTTCTCGTCCTCTTTCTCAATTATAAAAAAATTGTAGCCGGAGCAGTCATCGGAGGCTGAGAAGATGAACCACTATGAAGTGGTTGCTCTTGACTACCATTGTTGGCAGAAGCCATAGAAAAGAATCAGATAGCTTTGATTACCATATTGAATCAAAGTACAGAAAGACATGATTTTCTGATGTAAACCCGATTATATACATCGAGACTCAACAGTAGAACAGTTGCAACGAATTGACCACAACAATTGTAACAGACACCTAACTAACTAAATCAATTACAACAGGCTGATAACCAACTACTCTACTAACAATAGCAGTTTTATTTGATAAAATGTAGTTATGCATTCACATTAAACAATCGTAGCTACTTGTTAGCTATTCATTTATATTTATGTAAATCATCAATCTTTGATGTAATTGAAAATTACACCTACTTGCTATCTGTATATCCATTTAGATTGATGAAATCATGAATATTTGGTTTACCTGAATATCACATCATCTTCTTAACTATTGAACATATCAAATTGTGCTTTTGATAATTACCATCAAACAATGATAGTCTTAATACTTCTTTGACTATGATTTGATTTTGAATTAAATTTAATCCTAATTGCAATGCAGGTATGAGGATGCTTTTAATAGATTTATTGATGAAATCAACTCAGTCGCAGCATATGATTGGTGGGAGGGATCAGTGCATAGTATTCTTTCAGTTGTTGCATATCCTTGTGCTTGGTCCTGGAAGCATTGGCGGCAGAGAGTCAAAATTAGTCGCCTTCAAGAATATGTCAAGTCTGAATATGACCATTCTTGTCTACGCTCGTGTCGATCTCGTGCTTTATACAAAGGGATGAAGGTTTGACTTGTAAAGCTTTTTGTTCAGAATATATGTTTAATTATTTGTTATTTGAATTAGTTTAGTAGGTTTTTTTATTATGTTTCAATTTTTAAATTACAAGAGAATGATATATTAGATTATTTTTTAAATTTAGGAAATTAAGATTGAATTATTGTTAGTATTTGATTTTTGTTACATTTTTGTCTATATGTATAGAGTTCAAGAATAAAATATTGTAGAAACTCCTCCACATAATATATCTTTTATCCTTCTAAAATATATTTTCTAAACATAAAAAACCAACAAAGTGATATCAAAGGTATCCTCAAAGGGATTTGTGAGATTGAATGAGTCTATCAATAATTCATAAACACGACCCTAGTAATGGATTCTGAAAGTTCATCTATTCCAATTTCACTTCCATTGATTATCTGTAAACACTGTCAACTCCAAACTGTTAGAATGGAAGCCTTACTTGATGCATAGAATATATGGGAACCTTTGAAGGTGAGTACGGAGTTTGAATCCTATCAGATAATCCAATGGTTGTACAAATCAAAAGCCACAAAGAGATGAGGTAGAAAAAGTAAAAACAACGGCAACCTTGGTTGTAGTATCTATCATCTTCTATGTTGATTAGAGTAATGACACTCAAAGCACCCAATGAGACTTTAGAGATTTGGAAGCAAGAGTACGTTGGAAATGTAAAGGTAAAAGGAATGCAAGTGTTAAAATTGATCCAAGAATTTGATATGTGAAGAATGAAGGAATAAAAAACTATTAAGTAATACTTTGACTAGTTTCTTGAAATAGTCAACATTTTAAGGCTACTTGGTATTGAATTTTTAGAGAATAGAATTGTTCAGAAAATGTTAGTCATAATTCCTATAAATTTGAAGCTACTATTGTGTCTGTGGAGAACTCAAGGGATTTTATCAAGCATTACACTTGCATAATTGTTGAATGCACTATAGGCACAAGAACAAAGGAGGCTAATCAAGCAAGATAACTCTATAGAGGGAGCTTTCCAAGTGAAGAATTATAAAGGTAGAAAATACAACTAAAATGATAATACCCATGTCTTTTTGCCTTGTCTCAATTGCAAGAAAAATAATCATTCACATAATTGTTGGTGGAGGCCAGATGTGAAACATTGCAAATATGGTGAATTGGGACATGTAGAAAATATGTGCAAGTATTAACATTAATAAGAAATTGTCAAGGTTGTAGATGACAAACTAGAAGAGGAACATCTCTTTGCAATATCATACTTTACAACAAACAAATTCACATGACTTATGATAGTGTGCTTTTCAAAGAACGCAATGAACATATCGTTTCTAAAGTAAGAAGTGAGAATAGAGAAAAAATTGCTATGGAAGGTATAAGCATAGTTGCAATTAAAATTCATTTAGATTGCAAATTAATTTTTTATGTCTTGTATGCTATTGAGATTAATCAAAATTTCTTAAGTTTTGCTTAATTGTTATAGAAAATTTACAAGGTGTGTTTTGAACACAATTAAATATGCAAATAACTTAGAAATATTCATAAAAGTTTTGTTTTACATTTGATGAAAGAGGAGTTGAGTACAAATGAAGAAGATATAAAAGAAGGATCAAATCAAAAGAAGAGCATCAAGATTCATCTATCTTAAAAAAGCTTGATGTCTAGTAGGAGAATGAAAATATAGATGAAGAACCATCTTCTGACATCCATAAAACATTCAATGTTACTATCATGAAATCCACACAAGAAACAAAACAAATGAAGTTGATAAAAAGAAAGATTACAGTAAAGAAGAAGGTCAAGTTGAATGAAGATGTGAATACAAAAAAGAGAATGATAAGAATTATAAGTAAAAAGGGAGGAAGAAAACAAGTATAAAGAAAAGAATAATCAATTTGTAACTTTGAAATTCAAATTGAGTGTTAACTTGGAGATTGAAAAATAGATGCATGAATTGTATGGAGGTTTTAAAAGATATGTATTTTTGTATATCACCTATTTTTAGTGAAGTGAATGGATTTGCCGATTGTATAGCTTTGTGTTCCTTCATTTATTTCATATGAATTTAAAGAGATAAATGTGGGCTTCTAAAGTTTAGATTTTGTCAGTGGCTTTTGTTTGATCCCTCTACTTTTGTATATCTTTTCTTTCATATATATAATTTCTAGCAATATTGCAAATGATTGATTCTGACTAGGGTGCTAACCTAGTTAGTATAGTGATGCAATAATATTGTTATTTTTTATTAAAAAAGTAGTAATAATTAGGAGACTGAAGGTTTCATTGGGAGTATGTGAGAGTAAGAATGGTGATTTGTTGACATTTAGTGCTTTCTACTTATTAAGAGACACATCTAAAGAACAATGCAAGGCAAATAATATAGCAAAAGACCTGATCTTCCCAAAAAGAGTATTAAAAATACTATAGAAAAATGATAAAATGCTCCTAAATTGATATAAAGACATCTGACTTATTGTGTTTTGGGCACAAGAACCATATCTGTGATAGTAGAAATTTGAGCCAATGTATTGTACTTGTTTAATTCTAATTCTAATCATTAAATGTTTCAGCTTCTAAATTAAGATTCCATTCTCCTCACACATAAGCAGTGTTTTGACTGGAACTATAAATATATGGAAGTTTTTATTTGGTTATTTCTCAGGGACTATTTGGAGTTCCTAGAAGGAATAAAAGCAATGCGATATAAACATCATTATTTTTAGTTATGCATGTTACGCTGAAGTATACATGTTTACTTTGCAACTTCTCTATTTTCACTTGATTGTCAAAGTCCATTCAATGAAGGTTTACTTTGTTTTAAATTATGCCAGTTATTTTAGCCTCCTTAATTAGGAAACAAATGATGCAGGCAGTCTTTTTCTTAGCTTCTTGAATTTAAGAGATACATGATGCAGGTTGGGGCAACTCCAGATTTAATGGTAGCATACATTGATTTTTTTCTTGGTGGTGATGAGAAGCGATTAGACATTGTATCAATTATACAGAAGAGATTCCCTATGTGCATAATTTTTGGTGGGGATGGGAGCTACATGGCGCCATATAATCTTTACAATGATACAATGTTGACCAACCTCCTTGGTCAGGTATCTTGATTATCAAGGTTGTTAGAATTTAGTCAGTTATGTTTTCTCTATACATAGCTGTCTTACTAATCTCAAACTTGGTATCCACAGCATGTCCCACCAACTGTTTGGAATCGCTTGGTAGCTGGACTGAATGCTCAGTTACGGACAGTAAAGCATGGATCCATTCGTACTTCTCTAGGCCCTGTTGTTGATTGGATAAATAGTCATGGAAACCCCCAACTTGAGTTCCATGGAGTTAAAATGGAGCTTGGATGGTTCCAAGCAACAGCTTCTGGCTACTATCAGCTTGGTATCGTGGTTGCAGTTGGGGATTACTCCCTTCTTGATTTGCACCAGTCTGATACTTGGGTTGCCACGGATGAAGTTATGAGGTAATTTACTAATTAATCCTGTTAAAAACACGTCAGGGAATGAAGATAATAGTTGTATTTTGCCCTGTGATAATTAATAGTGCCAATTGAAATAATATAAAAAGGAGCGTTAGTAAATGTGTTTAGCTTGGGAAATAAGAACACAAGGCCTATTCAAATATTCGGATTTCCGATTAAGAAATGTGTTGTTTTCATTTTCTGTTTCCAATAATGATAAATATTCTTTAATTATACTTTTGCCCTGATAAATTGAATAGCTCCACTGTAGTCTAAATACATAGAAATCATCGTATGCTTTCTTGATTTCTCTCTTCTCAACAGTAACATTCCTAGATTATCGGACAAGGTTATTTGGGTGTTCCTTATGAAAAAAAAGTCAGAAGTGGGGAAGATTTTTGGAAATTTCCATAAAATGATCCAAACCTTGTTTCCTTAATGTAGAAGCTGAGTTCAGATCTATGGTCCCTGGAATTTGTGAAGGAATATGGATACAAAGAATACTTCAGGAGCTTAAGGTCCCTATGAATTATACCATGAGTTATTTATACGATGATAAAGTTGTTATTAGCATTGCAAAAAGTCTTGTGCATCATGATAGAATTGGAAATTGATTGTCATTTATAAAGGAGAAGATTGATGATATGATAATTAAACTTGGCACACTCCTTCAAGTCATCAAATTGCTGACATTGATTAAAGCTTTACCTAGAGCAAATTATGAGAACTTGAGATCCAAGTTAGGAATGATTGACATCTATGACCCAACTTATGATGAAGTGTTGAATTCAGATCTGGAAGATTTGGAATTAATGCTGATATGGCACTGTTGAAAATTTAGGAAAGAAATCAGAATCAAGAGATCTGATATATGGAGGTCAATCAGAATTAATGTGGACTGGTTTATGTTGTTAATTATTAAATTTGATGTAATTAGAATCTGTCTTCCCTTATTTTAAGTTACAACAATTATAAGAATAATTATTTTCCTGATTTTTAGGACAGTAGTTTACAGAATTATTCTCCTATTCATAGTTATACCTCCTAATAGGAAACAAATTAGAAAAGGTGGAACTTTAGTAATTATTATTAGTAAACAGAAAGTACATTCTTAAACCAAACAGGTGATCGTTCAAATCTGTTAAACACAATGTTGTTCATGACTGTTGCTATTCCTTATGATAGTAACGATGAGTTATAATACTTGCCTTTAGAAACATGATGTATTAGATGGGTTAGGAAAAAAATGCAAAATGCTTGCTCAGGTCTCAGCTTAGTAGCTTAGAAGCTTAGATTGTATTCTTCTTTTATATTATATGAATGGTTATTTAGAGATGATTCTTTTTTCCCTTGCTCAAGTTGATATTTGAGATCCAGCACAATGTATGATGTGCTTATGCTTATGCTTTGTCACGTTCAAAGCTAGCAGATTCTCACATCAAGTTGAATAACTTCTTAATATTGTATAATACCTCCTAGATTAATATTTGCACTTTGTTTTAAAACCCATTTTTATTAGGCTGAAAAGTTTTTTTTCTTTGTTACTTATGACAGGAAAAATGTACAACATGGAAAAAAGAATCTTAAGCAGCTACAGCATAGTTGGCCATACATGAGTAATTCATTATCTCTTAAAAGGATAACTGGAGGAATTAATGGCGGCCTAATAAATGATGCTACCTTAAAATCATTGGACTTTAAAAGGGACTTTCTATTTCCACTTTCTCTCCTGTTGTGCAATACAAGACCCGTTGGTCGTCAGGTAGTTAACCTATTTTAGGTGCGTCGCCTCTCCCCAATTATAAATCCAACATTGTCTAATACATGACGTCTGTGTTTCAGGACACTGTACAGTTGCTGATTACTTTGATGCTTTTAGCAGATTTTTCTGTCACTCTCCTCATGTTGCTTCAGTTCTACTGGATTTCTCTTGCAGCTTTTCTCTCTGTTCTACTAATTCTTCCCCTTTCTCTACTTTCTCCATTTCCTGCTGGTCTGAATGCATTATTCAGTAAAGAACCTAGAAGAGCTTCACTTTTTCGAGTATATGCACTGTGGAACGCTACTTCTTTATCTAATATTGTAAGTTCTGTCTATACCGTGATACCATTTAGTATATATCATCTTGTATGTGTTAAGTGGAAAAAAATGCCTTGGTTGCAATTATTATGTATTCAGGGCTTATGGAACCTTAAAAAACTGGAAGTTTTATAATGAGCATTTCATCATGAGTTGCTTGCAGCAAATTGGCCCATCATGCTTACGATGCATAGCTTTAATATTTTTATTCTAATTCAAGAAGAATGGGCTAAAAGTAGTTCAGAATTGTGAAATTTCTTATTAAATCTTGACTGTAAACTATCTCAAATTTCGTTGTAGTGAACAACCTGCAGTATAAATGCAGCGACATATATTGTGAAGTGGTGGTGATTACTGATAGATACCAAAGTTGCTAATGAGGCTTGTATTAACAGTAACATTTTTATATGAAAAAAAAATACTACATTCAGTCGAAAATTCTTCTCATTTTTACTAATTAAATCTGTATTTAAAAATTTATTGCGGAGGATTGAGATAAACTAAGGATATTGCATAAAATTTTTTAAGCATTAAAATAGGATAACATATCCTCCCACTGCATGATTAAAGAGGAGGGGCGGGGACTGAATCAGAATTATGATGCATTATAGATCTAAAACATCATAGCCTCTTATCTATCTTAATATTTGCAGTTCACAGAAACCAACTAGTAGAGCCCTATAATATCAAGATATTATATTGAGTTGCAGATTTGGTAATGCCTTGTAACATTTTGTTGAAGTTTTAGGAAAGACAGTTATAGAATTATGGACATTTTGAGTTCTCAACTTTTAAAGATACATATAGTTATGATGCAACCATTTGGAATATATTTCAGGCTTTTATTATCTAATATTTGTCTTTGTGTGCAGGGAGTGGCTTTTATTTGTTGTCTCCTTCATTATGCATTATCCCATTTTCACCACCCTGAAGAAACAAGTGCACGTCATGTTAAGAGGTAAGACTGTCAAATTTTAAATGACACCATTTTATCTCAAAAAACTGCATATATTACAAACTGTTAGGATCGAGCGCTTACCACTAGGCCAAAAGCTATAGCCATTAGTCAGAGCGCAACTCTTTTTACTTTAACAGCCCAAGCGCCACGATTCAATTGTGACTCGGCCCACCTGACCTTCGTCACAGGACAATTGATGCTACCTGCAACAATCTCCCCCTCAGCAATTGTCCTACAAGGTATCCCACTCTTGGATTGTGACTTGGCCCACCCGGCCTCTGCCACGGGACAATTGTGCAACCTGCAACAATCTTCCCCTCAACAATTGCCCACCAGGAATCGAACTCGTGACCTTGGCTCTGATACCAATTGTTAGGATCGAACGCTTACCACTAGGCCAAAAGCTATAACCATTAGTCAGAGCGCAACTCTTTTTACTTTAACAGCCCAAGCGCCACGATTCAATTGTGACTCGGCCCACCTGACCTTCGTCACAGGACAATTGATGCTACCTGCAAATTGTTAGGATCGAGCGCTTACCACTAGGCCAAAAGCTATAGCTATTAGTCAGAGCGCAACTCTTTTTACTTAAGAGTAACAGCCCAAGCGCCACGATTTGATTGTGACTCGGCCCACCCGGCCTCTGCCACAGGACAATTGATGCTACCTGCAACAATCTCCCCCTCAGCAATTGTCCTTACAAGGTATCCCACTCTTGGATTGTGACTTGGCCCACCCGGCCTCTGCCACGGGACAATTGTGCAACCTGCAACAATCTCCCCCTCAACAATTGCCCACCAGGAATCGAACTCGTGACCTTGGCTCTGATACCAATTGTTAGGATCGAGCGCTTACCACTAGGCCAAAAGCTATAGCTATTAGTCAGAGCGCAACTCTTTTTACTTAAGAGTAACAGCCCAAGCGCCACGATTTGATTGTGACTCGGCCCACCCGGCCTCTGCCACAGGACAATTGATGCTACCTGCAACACAAACAACCTACATTTTTTTTTTTAATTTACTTCTGTAGCAGTACGGTAAAATATCAACTATAAAATTATAACATCATCATCTTATCAATTGAATTTTGCTTCATCATTGAACTGCCTCTCCTTGGAGATTTTGTTGTCCGAGGAGAAAGTTATCCTGTCAAATTTGATAGATACAAGTGCCAACCCCTGGCTAATTGTAACAAGAAGTCTGAAAGAAACACCGCGATAGATAAACTTACAACAGGCAATAGCATGAATTACAAGCAGCAATCACGCGGATATTATGTTTCTTTTTATAGTGTTATTATGGAGTCCTTTGCTGCTAAACTAGTTTAGCTGGGTTTGATAAATTTTTGTTTTATAATGGCTTTGTTTTGAAGTGTTGGTACTTAACATTGTCTTGCAGGGAAGATGATAAATGTTGGCTCTTGCCTATCATCCTTTTTCTATTAAAGTCGGTACAGGCTCGTTTTGTCAATTGGCACATAGCGAATCTAGAAATTGAAGATTTTTCTCTATTTTGTCCGGATCCGGATGCTTTTTGGGCACATGAATCTGGTTTATGATAGAAAAAGAAACAAAAGCATTAGAATGTGAACTGGATGCTAAGTTTTTGATAAATCTAACAGTTCAAAAGGATGCTTCATTTTGGCATGGTCGGCAGGCGGTGTCAGCAGCAGCAGCCTTGCCGTGTGAATATATTCAGTGATGTACAGGAGAGTGAAGTACATACAGTACAGTACAGTTCTGCACTTTTTAGCTTCTTTGTGAAAAATCTCTAGAAGTTGGAGGGATATTACACAAGAAAGATGCCTCTTTCTATTTTTTTTTTTAATTTAATTTTTTGGGATGCTTTCGCGTCATTAATACCACTGACTGAAGCTTCACTACTTCTCTGAGTATTTTATCCAAAATTTGATTTTCTTCAACTGCAACAAATTTTACCCATACAAAAAGCCTTTATCATTTTTTTTTATTCCTATGAATACACGTTCAATTCCTATGAATAAAAACCAAAAATCTAAAGATAATATATATATATATATATATATATATATATATATATATATGCTACCTGTTGATTTTTGGTTTTTATTCAAAGGAATTGAACGTGTATTAAGACGTTTACAATAATTTACTTGGTCTCTCGTGTGCTATTATTTGATTCTTTTCTTCTTAAATATCCATATTTTTTGTGTCTTAATTTTTTGTTCAAAGGGAGACTTGTGTTAAACTTTACGAGAGAAAAGGAGATAAGAATGAGAATGGGATGAAGGGATAAACTTTACAAGAGAAAAGGAGATAAAGAACGAGAATGAGATGAAGCTCGATTTAGGAGATCAAATTAATGCACTCACAATTTATACAGTCTAACATGTTAGAGTTATTATTATTATTATTTTCATCATACAATTTAGTAAAATAACTTAGCATTTTTATTTTTCTATTCTTAACTTTGGTGTATGTGGAGTTTTAATTAATCTTATTTTCACCTCTTTATGTTTAATATTTCATTATGTTTTTAGGTTGTCTTTTCTGTAATGATTATTTTCTAGTTTCAGTTGCAATGATTCTTTTCCATAGTTGAAGCCTAAATGGACTTGGAGCTTCAATTCCTTCATGCAACATTACTGAGTTTCTGAGTGAGGTCAACTACTGGTATCATCAAAATGTGTAACGAGGTCAACTACTAGTATCATCAAAATGTGCAACGAGAAAGATGCCCCCAATGACACAGCAAAACACAAACACAGGAGGATGCTTGGAACCTAAAAGATGCTTAGCCAATCGACGACTAGATGAACCCCTTGTTTAAGTTATGGTTGTCATAAAAAGTAGTAATAACCCTTCTACTAAAGTTAACAAATGTTATAAAAACTAAGATGTATTGATTAGAGGTAAGAGTTGAAATAATAAAATAAAATATGTATTTTTTATATGATAATAATTATAAATATTTTTGTTTAATATAATTAAAATATTTTATTTTATTAATTTTTTAATCATAATTATTTACAAAATTTGACTTCATGAAAAATTATTATTAATTATGTGTACTATCGCATTAGTTAGGTTGACGATTTTTTTTCAATAAATATAGATATCAGCTTGTGACATTTAATAAAATAATACTCAGAAAATAGATTTTAGTTATATTACATATTTATTATAAATAATATTTAAAACATATTTTATCCATTAAAATTTGACTAATCAATATTGTATTCTTACTTTTTTATACAAAAGTTTAATTTTTATTAATGCGTGATAGAAGTATCACTTATTTTTAATAATAATTTATTTATTTACTTATTTAATTTTTCCTGTAACTTTACTCAACATTATTTTATTTGCATAAAAATATAATTAAAAATTTTAAGAATTTTAATATCTAAACTTTATTTGGTTAATTTTAATTCCTTATTTTTGAAACACATAACTTTGGTCGTCAGATTAATTTGACATCTTATATTAAATGAGTGTAAACTTCTTGATATACATTGTTCATTTTTTTAAACTAACTTTTAAGGATTGTTAATTCAATACTGTTAAGATAATTAAAGGTGTCATGTAGGTCTCAAATAGATATGCAAGTACTGGGGGGTTTGCGTGGTGGCGGCCGACAGGGCGGAGCTAGGATAGTCTAGGATCATGGTCCCTAAAATTTTATATATATATATATATATATTTAATATTTAATATTTATATATAATTTATAATTTTTATTTTAGCATTTAGAAGAAAAAAATTATTATTTTTACCTTGCCCCTCAACTTCCAGCTCTTCCTGTGTTCGAAAGAGAAAGAAATATAAAAGCGAACAAAATCTCATGCATTTATTTTAAAATCATCCCATCTAACTGTTAAAATATACTATCCTGGTGGGAGACATGATAAGATATCCCACCCTTCCCAAGCCTTGAATTAATTGTAATGTGTCAGTTCTCACGTTTCAATGAACACAAACAGAAAAGCTTCTCCATTCATAGATTGATATAAGCATATGTTTAGTGTTGAAACTTAAACCTAAGCACAATATTGGACCTCATTTAGATGATTCACCTTAAGCCGAACTAAATAATATAATGAAAAATAAACCGTACTGAAAACATGTTTGATCACAATCTAATCGAATTGATTAGTCCAATCCATTTTTTTTACAATGGTCAGGCTAAGATTAGAACCTATTACTTCATGCATACAATCTAAAATATTTAGTATGCAAGGTTTGGCTTTTTAATCATTTCTTATTTATTTTATCAATGAGAAGTCGTCCAATTGTAAATCCCTCATCTAGCAGGCCAAGTAGCAGGCGGTACGTCGACAAAAGAGAGAGACAGCTGAAGTGCTTGGTTGCTCAGAGAAAATAATGTCTATGCACAATATTAAATTATAGTGACATGAGGATTAACAAAATACAGGGGTCAGGAAATAAGTGCTGAAGGGGAGAATGAAAAACATCATTTTTGAACAAATACAGCTGCTCGGAAAGCAAAAAATTACTTACAGAAGACTGTGGAGAGTGGAGTCTCAAGAATACACGCAGGTTTCAACTCCCTTCAATAACTGTCGGTTTCTTGAGTTGTGCTCAATAACGAGCAGTTGAAGAGATGACTCTCCAATGTTGCAACAATATATATTAAGGTGTGGCTAGACGTTACATGAATACACAAGCCACCAAGGGTTGCCAAATAACGTGCAAGTCAAGGATGCTGTTATAACTTTGAGTGTTGTCTCCAAGGGCACCCACCGTCAAAAGCATGCTCTAGCACGTCTTCCATACGTTTTGCAGGCAATATCTGTTTAGGAAAATAGAGAAGGAAACTTGACCTCGTGTTTCATTCGGTGATAAGTTACTACAGACCTGATTTTAAGCACAAAAAGAACTTGGAACACAAAAAAAAAAGTAAACCATGGTGTCTTTAAAAATGTACTTACCGTAAGACCGGAAAGGTAAAATAATGATAAAATTTTCAGGTTGAATACACATCTACCTTTGAACAAACTGGGTGTATACTATTGACCAAACATGCAGGAATTAGGAAACAAAATTACCTCCAAATTAGCCAGTACTGATGATGGTACTTCAACTAAGTCCTTCAGATTCCTTTCAGGCAAGATGATTCTCTTAATACCATATCGATGTGCAGCTAATATCTGTGAAAGATAGATAACAATCAGATTATCCCCATGTTTCAAGCCTTGAAACTTTTTCTTCCCTGTTTAGGTGAATTGGTTGACCAATGTTTAAGCCAGTAAATAACTGCTCACTAGCATAACATTTTGCAGTGTAATATGGTTCAAAATGAAAATCAAAGTTCATACATTTCTAGTTCTTTTTTCATTTGTATAAAAAGTATAAAACCTCCCCTCAATGTTCATCTTATGTGCATCATTCATCTTCACAATTGCTGAAATTTCTTAATTACGAAAGCCATTCATTCTATCCCAAACATGCCTAGACGTACACAATTATTAACTCTTTCCTCCAAAGAAATGTCCGCTGATCTCAAACAAGTAAAGAAAGCATACATATTTAAGTTAAAATTAATTAGCAGCTGCTTTCAACAGTTCACAAAATTTTAAATAGAGTCCTTATACTTTGGAATTTTTTATCGGACTCCTGACCTAATAAACCAATGTTTGGCTTCATGTTTCCTAGCCCAAGATATGTGTATTTGGCATGAAATTCAGAAGGAATAAATACTAACTCCTGCATTGGACATGCGTTTGACGTGATTTTGGTTCTAGACAAACATGGAACCAAACAGACTATACATCATTTGTATTTTAATCCAGGAGACAGAATATTTTTAATACTAGTTATCAATTTTAAAAGCATAGGGCCAATTTGGGAATTCTTAATTAGTGTATATACTATAAAAATACATTACTCTACTTTCAACCTAAAATCTTAAAGAACCGGTCACCAGATGAACCATTGACTTTGATACTACCATTGGGTTTTTGAGGGGGGCAACATTTGGCCGATATTCACCAATGAGAATCAAGGCAACTGTATAAAAAAAATAAGACTCTACCTTCAATCCAAAGCCTTAAGACAAAAAGTTTGTGAGTCTTTCTTACTTATATATTGCTCAACTTCAACATTTCTAATCAATGTAGGACTCTAAGTCACACTTGAATTTCAACATAGTATATATACACTTACTTAATTTTTTGGTAACGACTGTAGTTAGAGAGATTTTGACTCCTTGGTGGGATCCTGAGATATTTCCACAAGCTTCAGTTATTTTGAACAATTATGGAACTAATGCTTAGTCAGTCGGAGGCTTAGCTATACTTAAAATTCTTGATGCCTGTCTAAGGTGGGTTTTGCGGGAACCAAACTCGGGGTCCACTCCACAAGCTTATCTTACTAAATAGGTATAAATACCTATTTAATATATCCTAAATAACTCAGGGACTTGCTAATTAATTTAATCTATTTAATAACTATTGGATATATTTATGCTAGCTTAATCCAATTCCTAAGGAAAAGCTCTACTAATGATTTTGCAGTTGTGCTGATAAAAGTAGAATATATTACACAGTCACAATTATCCTTGTGTCATTATCATTGATAATGTATCATTGACTTCTCCTACAACGTTTACACTGTTCACAAAACATAAGAACTTTACCTTATCCTTGATACCGCCAACAGGTAACACAAGACCCCTCAACGTCAACTCCCCAGTCATAGCTGTATCTGCTCTCACTTTTTTCTGACTGAAAAGTGATACCAATGCTGTAACCAAAGTCACTCCAGCTGAAGGCCCATCTTTTGGTACAGCACCTGCAGGAAAATGTATGTGTATATCTCGGCCCTCCAACAGATTAATGCCCTCTGCAGCAGCTAGCCTAAGTTCAGCTGCCCTGGCCCTTACCTATAAACCAATCAGTCATAGTCAATGATGAACTGAGTCTTGAATTGATACTGGAAGCAACGCCATGATTATGTAATAATGAGATTTGGTTTTAGATTGTGAAGCAGATTCTCTATGATTTGCTATTCATTCTACTATTAGGTTATGGTAACAAAAAGATTGGTTTTTGCGGGGACATTTCCGTACTAAGACATATTTATGTCTCAAATTAAGAAGGAAGAATATTTTATTTCTCATACAAAATTATTAGGTCATTGGATCTATATGTACACAAGCCTGTTGGCTATTTTGGGAAATATAAACAGCTAATTCTAGGTAGACCAATCCCTATAATTATGCGATTTATTCTAAATATATAATCCCAGCATTAACAACAAATAAACTGCTGTGATAGAGAATAAGAATAAAATCTAAACTTTTCTAAAATACTCATTGAATGAAGATTTTGACACTCCCCCTCAAGGTAGTGAATAAATATTCTCCATTCCCAGCTTGGATATAATTCTTTCAAAGTTGATACAGTTCAACTGCAAGTTGATTTTGAGTGGACACATATGGAATGCAAATCAAGCCACGGGCTTGCTTTTCTTTGATGAAATGTCTATCCACTTCAATGTGGTTGTTCTATCATGCTGAACCGGATTACGGACTATACTAATTGTAGATTTATTGTCACAATATAACTTCATAGGTTCATCCCATCCCCTCTTATCTTCAAGTCTTCCAATATAATCTTCAACCATAGAAGTTCACATATTCCTTGGGCCATTGCCTAAAATTCTGCTTCAGCATTTGATCTAGTCACTACATTTTGTTTTTTGTTCTTCCAAGTTACCAAGTTTCCACCAAGGAAGGTGCAGTATCCAGTAGTTGATTTCCTATCCACCACTGACCCAGCATAATCTGCATCCGTATATGCTTCAATACTTACACTCTTGTTTCGTCTGAATAGAATCCCTCTTCCTGGGTCCCTTTTAGATATTGAATAATTCTAAGGGCATTTTGTAAATGTACTTCTTTTGGTTGGTGTATAAACTGATTGACTAGGCTAATAGCAAATGCAATGTTTGGCCTAATGTGGGATAAGTAAATAAGTCTACCCACAAGTCTCTGATACATTTCCTTATCCACGGTAATATCCTCCTCTGTACTTCCTAACTTAGTATTTGGATGAACTGAAGTACTTGTTGGCTTGCAAGCTGTTTTACCTGTTTCTTTGAGTAAGTCAATAATGTATTTTTGTTGAGATATGAAGATTCTTTTCTTAGAATGAGTCACTTCAATTCCCAAAAAATATTTAAGTCTCCCTAGTACCTTAATCTCAAATTCTTTGGCAAGACATTGACTTAACTCTTGTTGCTCCCTTTTGTCATTCCTAGTTACTATAATATCATCTACATATACCAGTAATATTGTTACTCCCCCTGTAATTGAATGTTTGATAAATAGAGTGTGATCATCTTGACTCTGTTTATAGCCCAAACTTGTTATAATTCTGGTGAATCTTCCAAATCATGCTCTCGGAGATTGCTTTAGCCTGTATAGAGCCTTTTTTAGCTTGCAAACAGTTCCACTAGCAACCTGTTCACCATAAGGTAACTCCATGTATATTTCTTCTTCAAGATCTCCATGTAGGAATGCATTCTTCACATCAAACTGTTGCAGGTCCCAATCATGATTTGTTGCTAACGACAATATTACTCTAATCGTGCTCATCTTAGCAATCGGGGCAAAAGTCTCCAAGTAATCTACTCGGTCTGAGTGAATCCTTTGGCTACTAACCTTGCCTTGTAACGTTCAATGGTCCCAACTGTTCTATACTTTACGGTGTATACCCATTTGCACCCTACTAGTTTTTTTCCTATTGGTAAAGTGGTAAATTCCCAGGTATTGTTCCTGTTTAACGCCTCCATGTCTACATCCATGGCTTGTTTCCATTTCCTATCAGACAATGCTTTAGATACAGAGGAAGGTATGGGTGTAGTGTTTAGGTTTGTGAGAAGTGTTTTATGGGTAGGAGAGACTTTTTTAAAGGATAGGAAATTTGGTAGAGGGTAAATTGGCCGTTGAGTGCATGTTTTGGCTCCCTTTCTAATTGCAATTGGTAGGTCAAGGTCATGGTTTTGGTCCTCCTGTATTTCAGCAACACACTCATTAGAATTATTTATAGGATTAAAAGATGTTACCTCATGTAGTGGTGGTGATAGTGGAATGGATTATTGGACATGGACAAAATCTGGAATGACCATCTTTTCTCTCCTTAAATATACCAATTTTTTTCCAAATTTCCCACTATTAGAATTTGGTCTCCTTTCAGGTTCAGGTCCAGCAGTAGTTTCAGGTCCAGTAGTGCTCCCAATCTTAGGTTCCGCAGGTCCAACAACGCTAGTTTCAGGTATAGCAGATCCAGTACCATTAATTGTCCCAATTTCAGGTCCAAATGTCATATTTGGAGGCATTAGAGTCTCATCTTCATCTCTTGCATTCTCCCTCTGAAGATGAGGTTCGTTGAAATAGGATCTTATTCATTAAAGGTGACATCCCTTGACACATACAGTCTTCTTGATGGAGGATGAAAGCATTTGTATCCCTTTTGTGTAGTTGAGTACCCCAAGAATATACACTTGACAGTCCTAGGATCATGTTTTCCCCTTTCATTACTATGAACATGTACAAAGGATACACACCCAAATATTCTAGGTTGGAGTTTATTTGTAGGGTCCAAGTGTGGGTAGAATGAGGATAAGACTTGCATGGGACTTTTTGATTCTAGGATTTTTTTAAGGTAACCTATTGATTAGGTAGGTGACAATAAGGAGGGCTTCCCCCCAAAATTTCTTAGGGACATGATTTTGAAAAAGCATGGCTCTAGTTTGGTTTAATAAGTGCCCATTTTTCCTTTCCACAATCTCATTCTATTGGGGTGTGTTGACACAGGAAGACTCATGGATAATTCCTTCCTTTTGGCAAAAAGAGTTAAGCACAAAATTAAAGTAATCTCTAGCACTGTCAGACCTAATCCTCTTAATATTTACTCCAAATTGGTTTTTAATCATTGAGACAAACCTAATAAAAATAGAGCTAATTTCAGATTTTTGTTTCAATAAAAAAATCCAAGTCACCCTAGTACAATCATCTATGAAGGTTAAAAACCATTTAGCACCCGAGATATTAGGGACATCAACAGGGCCCCATACGTCAGTATGAACAAGAGAGAAAGGAAAATGACTCCTTTTATTGCTAACAAACAGGAAAAGGTACACGTTTGTGTTTAGCAAACTCACACATCTCACAATGTAGACTCTCAACATCTATGTTCTTAAAGAAGGAAGGAAATATTGTTTTCACAACTTGGAACGAAGGATGTCCCACTCGACAATGGTATAGTTGAATTTTCTCTTTGTTGGTCATGGTGAATTCAAATATAAGAGAGTGACTTCTGGTAGGCATATTAGGATCCTCTAGGTAGTACAGGCTATTCTATTCTCTAGCATGTCCAATCATCCTCCCCGAGTTCTTGTCCAGTAATATACAAACATTGTTATAAAAAACATTACATAATAGATCTTTTGTAAGTTTTTGTATAGAAATCAGGTTGGTGGACAACTTAGGGACATGAAGGACATTTTTTAATGTTATGGATGGGTTTATTTGGACATCTCCTTGTCTTGCTGCTGTAATAAGGGTTCCATTTGTTGTGGAAATTTTTTTGTTGCTAGGATATGGAGAATATGTGGAAATGTCTTTGGGTAGGGGTGTCATATGGTCTATGGCTCCAGAATCTAATATCCAGGAGTGAGTAAACATTGTATCTAAAACATTAAGTCCAAAAGAAAGTGGAAACTTACCAGGATATGTTAAAGAGCACATACTTGTGGGCTTTTCCAATTTACTCAGAAAGGACATTACCCTTTCTATCTCTTCATGATTTAGCTGACCCGTCTCTTCACTATTTCCATTACCAGTGTTTACTTGACCCTGTCCTCCCTTTTTCTGAGGACCTCCTTTTTGCCCCCATTCTCGACTTGAAGGTTTTCCATGTAATTTCCAACACTTCTCCCGTGCATAACGTGGCTTGTTGCAGTAGGTACACCATACTTCCTCATGTTTTTTCTCCATATTGAGAAATCCATTTTTCTTCTGGTTAGCAACCATGGTTATTCCTTTTTCAACTACCATGGTTGTGCTTTTAACAGTTGGGGTTTCCAGCATCAAATTTCGCTTGCTTTCTTCACTTCGAATGATAGCTATCACTTTATTAAGTCCTGGGACCTTCTCCTATCCCAGACCTGATCATATTCAGAATTTAGGCCTACCAAAAAATCATAAACCCTATCTTGTTCAATGTAATCCTTAAGGATTGTTGAATCTTCTGAACACCTTCCTTTTATAACGCAATAGTGATCCAATTCCATCCATAAGTACTAACCTTTAGATATACTAATACTTGATCACTGTCCTAATTAAATAGGAAAACAAATCTTCGTAATATAATAAGGAAATACAAAAGCCATTGCCAGGAGATAGATGATCAGGACATAAGAAACTTGTTGATAGTAAGATATTAAAAGTACTGTTAGAAAGGGTTAGAAGTTGTTAGGAGATTAAATGTATTATTAGAAGTGGTTAGAAGTTGTTAAGAAAATTCTAGAGATCTCTTTGTAATTATTCCTCTAGGGTTAAGGTTCTCTATACATAGATGGTGATGTACTGTTTCAGATTAACTCAATAGAGAAAAATCTTCTTTCATTTAAATTAATTCCTTTTCAAGTAAACCTAATAATCATAATCTATGTAACCAAGATATATATTATGTTATTCACTCTAACTGCATATTTTTGTTTTCTAGGGAATTTATTTGGCAGACATAAGATATGTTGGAGATTGATTATGAATAAGTAAGTTTTTGCCGTGTTCCACACAAGGAAGATGTGTTATCTTCTCTTGGTATTCCTTCCTTTCCTTTTAAAAAATCTTGTTAGTATCATAACATTACTGAGCTTTAACAATGTAAGGAACAAGAATAACATACCAAAAATGAACAATAAGGAAAGCAGGATAATGGCAAAAATGCACTTTGGCACATGCATACATGCATGTGCTATTAGCCTGTTACAAGTTTAACATACCAAAAATGAACAATAAGGAAAGCAGGATAATGGCAAAAATGCACTTTGGCACATGCATACATGCATGTGGCTATTAGCCTGTTACAAGTCACATGAAACATATTTGAAGGAAACTCAAAGGAAAAAATGCAACCAATGAATCTAGATAAAAGTGGGTTAAAACTAAATTAGATCTGGTCAGTTACCCATGTTAGGGCTATCTGAGCTGATTCTTTGATCACATCACCCAGTTGTCCAGTAAGATGCAATTCACCCTTGCCGACCATTTCCGTAGCCTCCACAAACTGAACTTCTCCACCAAAAGTAGTCCAAACCAGCCCAACAGATGCCCCAGGGGTAGCAACCCGATCTGCTGCTTCTCTTCCATCAAACTTTGGAGGCTGCAGTTGACAGCAGCAAATTAGGCACTCCTATCCTTTAACCATATCGCCAAATTAAATTTCCATTTAAAATTTGTTTATATAGGATTATTTTCAAGATGAATTCATACACGAGGTTCTCATTCATGTTTTATATCTGAGCTATAACTTGAGTGAACTTTAACATATCCCTCATCGCTTTCGGAAGGTGCCAAGGGATTATATTATATACCCAAACATACACACTTGTTTGCACAGAAAACACAATTTCCTGAGATACAATACAGAATTATATGGCAAGCTATGACATCATTAGATTCCAGTTGAGGGACAGACAAATATTTTTGTATAATGTAATCCCACCATTTTTTTTTTTTTTTTCCTTTTGACGGGAGGGGTAGTATTTAAAACTTCAACTGCAAACACACAAATTTGCACAAAAATTACCCCTAGAATTTTTTCAAGCATAGCTTCATCAACAACCAATGGGGAGGTGATCCTGAATGTGTTTGAAATGTCTCGATTGTTGACACCCATAGGTATGACTTCCATTTCAACATCAGCAGCATCAGCAAGTTTGTTTTCCAGAAGTGGAGTAGAAATACCCTCTACCCCTTTGCTTAATGGAACGACGTGTTCTTGTTCTGCTACTCTTACTGCAGCAGCACGAGCCAAGGCAGCAAGATTCCTTTCCAAATTGCGTACACCTGCTTCCCTTGTATATCTCTGAATAACAATTTCCACCATCCCCTGCGTCAGAAAAGGTTCTAATCAGGAGTTAATACCACAAATATTCTTTCTAAAATAACAATCAGTACAGCTTATTTCTGTCGGACTATACAGTGTGCTTTGCATCTTTTCTATAGTTTTATTATGAGTAGAAGAAGCGCAACACTAGGGATTACCAAGGAAGGACTTCTAATGGTCAACTAACAGTTTTTATGAAAGTGGTAAAAATAGAAAACATCAATTTTAATATCACGCAGACTGGGAAAAGAAAGATGCTAGAATGGATAGCTATAACCTAGAATTTTATGGACCCACCTTCCCAGTAAAATTGATAATATGTCATGTGTTTCCTATTTCCTTTCCTAGAAGATTGGAGAAAGAATCTTATTTGTTTGATTTTTGAAAATTGTATCTTTGGTTTAATATAAACAAGATGTATTAGAGTCTAGTTTTACTTTGTATTATTGTTCTTCTTCTTTTCGGTATACTCTCTGTAGAGCTGTAGTTGGGGTAGGCTGTTTTCATTCTGTATCACTCTCTAACTAACTTTGAGTTAGTTAGATAATGTTAGAGCTTAGGAATCACTGATTTCACTGGAATTTCTCTAGAGAATAACAGATCGGAAAAATTCATCTGTATCTCTCTATATCCAATGAAAACAAACTTTTTACTGCTCAAGAAAAAATTCAGTACCTCCGGAATCTGAAGAAACTCCGAACTCAACCCATGTTGATCCAGAACTCTTGGAATCAAATGGTGCATGGCTATTTTGAGCTTTTCCTCGGGTGTATATCCAGGAAGCTCAATGACCTCCATCCTGTCAAGGAGAGGTGGAGGAATAGGTTGTGCTCTATTTGCTGTAGCCACAAAAATTACCTTGGATAGATCAAATGGAACATTCAAATAGCTAGCCAACTTAAGGAACAACTTACGATTATTTATCAATGGAAGAAAACAAAGCCGTAACAACAAAAATGAATTAGTTCTGGTGAAATGATGGATATATCAGGTATACAGAACATTAACATGATTTCCTTCCAAAAAATGTTTACTGATATTAGCATTAATTCATCATTGAAAATAATATAATGAAACTGAAAGAGAATATCTATTCACTAATCACAGAATTACAAGAGTCTCTTTATATAAAAAGAGAGTTACAACTGTTATAAAAGCAGTAACAGAATAACAAAAAAGTCTTTAACAACTCATAGGAAGATACACTATTCACAATGTCCCATCCAAATGGGCAATGACCTGCAAAACTACAAAGATATATGGCTAGCAAGATATAGATCAGCATTGTTTTGCACTGTAAGAGACTGAGTGACTGACCTTTAGACTGACAGCCTTCTAGTAACACAGCAAAATAACTGGAGTTACTTTAGAAAATAGATACTGATTCTTTGTTATTTCGTTCTCATATGTGAAGAAGAAGAAAACACTAAAATGATTCTACATCTTAAAAAGATATCAACATAAAATATCAAACTTATAATAAGGAGAGGTCATTATGAAGTATAGGATACTGATCATTGAATGTTTTGTTTTGTTCAGGATCAAGAACCTCTAGCAATGCAGAAGCTGGATCTCCACGAACATCAGACCCCGTCTTGTCAATTTCATCAAGCAACATGACAGGATTGCAGACAGATACTCTCTATAAGTCAAATACAAAAGCAAGGACACTATCAAATGGAAAATAACATATAAGAGAAAAGATTGGCAGTCCATGTATAATAAAACCAACAATTATTTGCAAACATTGTAAGAATCAGATAATGTTAGCAGGTAGTTTTCAATATATTAGTTGGATTTTGAACCTTCAGTCCATCTATAAGTCTTCCTGGCATGCTTCCAATGTATGTTCTCCTATGTCCTCTAATATCAGCCTCATCCTTGACTCCACCAAGGGATATGCGCACAAATTTTCTTCCCAGGGCAGCAGCAATAGAAGATGCAATTGACGTCTTCCCAACACCCGGTGGTCCAACAAAGCACAATACTGGACCCCTTGCATCTGGCTTAAGCTGCAATGCACACACTTAATATCAGATACACATTAAGATGCAGACTACCATATATTCACTGGGTGACATGGTAACAGGGTTTTGAAAACCTTGCGAACAGCTAAGTATTCAATTATCCGTTGCTTGACCTTCACTAAACCATAGTGATCACTATCCAGGCGCTCCTGTGCAGCTCTTAAGTCCAGTTCAAGCTCTTTGCTGGTCTTCTGCCATGGCAAATCAGCAAGAAGATCCAGATAAGCCCGTGAACTATTATACCCAGGTTGCTGAGGCTGCATTTTTTTAAGTCTCCTGGGAGAATTATGCTAAAATCAGTTGATTGTCTCCACTAAGTAGTAAAATGACTTGTATTTTGATAATATACCGATTTCATTTTTATTGAAATTTATGGCAAGAAATTCGCTCTGAAAGATCAGTCATTGCCATGTAGGCTATGTTTCCTACAAAAAAGTACCTTAACTCTCTCTGAGCATGCTTCCAGATATTCTGTGGCATTCCTGCACTTTGCATTTTTCTTTCCAGAGCAGCAAGGTCATCCTCATCATCATCATTATCACCAAGTTCCTCTTTTATAGCCCTCATCTAATATATATTATACAGGAAACAGTCATACTAGAGAAAAAGCCTGTACAATACATAAAAACAGAAATAAAATGCTCCTCTGCTGTTGAACTGACCAAGAGTAAAAAACTAACCAAATTCTTGGCAAAATATTAATATTTCACCATTTACATGCTGCTTCAACAATCAATATTAACGACACTCATTAGGATGTATTTTTCATCTCTTAAAGGTCAACAAAGTTTTGATGCTGTTCTTGTAAATCCTTAAAACATTAAACATCAGAAGGTAGAGAAATAGCCATTTGCATGCAACAGAGGCACACTGATTATGCCAAACAAACTTACAGCCAAAGTTCCAAACAATAAGATAAGTATAGGCATTATGATTTTGGTCTACACACTCGTTCTCACAGCTAGCTGACAGCCTGTATTACCTAATTTTTTACATAAAACCCTATGTATGAATACAATTCCTGAAATATTTAAGGAGTCAAAGCTTAAGCTATGCTAAAGGAATTATTCAGAGGAATTTTTCATCTGAAATCACTATGATAAAAAAACTTTTGAATTGGAAATAGTAATTTAATTTTATTAATGTATTTATCTTAATCGATATATCCCCTAAACCCTGGCAGTCATATTTCTAGTATATTTCAAATGATGGTGCAAGAAAGCTAACCTGCTGTCGAAGAAGAAATTCTTTTTGAGATTTTGACAATTGTCCTTCAACCTTTTGTGTAATTTTCTCTGCTACACGAATTGACTGCGTTTGTGGACAATAGTGAAATCAGAGATAAATAATAGGAAACAAACCCATAGGAAGCAGCAGTAACACTATCATTTACCTGTAAGTGCCTATCAACCAATTCTGTCGCTTTCGAAAGCCTCACTTTAGGGTCAACTGAATCCAACATTGATAGCTGTTCTTCAAAACTTATCTCAAAGCTAGCAACAAATATATCAGCCAACTTGTGCACTGGAACAGTCTCTAAAAGCACCTTTGTCCTTCCACCAGTTTTTTGTTTCTATATACAATGATAAAAAATAAGCTATTAATGCTCATACAACATAGACTATGAGCAAGCACGTAATTAGAATATATATAGCTATAACATGATAGTTCATACCAACTAACCAATTAGACTATGACCAAGCTATGAAGACAAAGGTCCATGGGCAACATTTCATATACTGAAGAAATACTTTAAGCAAATATGGGATCAAATGAAATTCTTCAACCATCTGTATCAGCATGCTAGGGGATTTAATTGATCTATGCTCAAACAACTTTTCCATCTATCTTATTATGTTAGTTGAAGAGGTTTTGATATTGTCACAAGCTTTTACCTGCTCCAAAACAGAAATAAGCTCCATGGCAGTTGCTTTAAATTGGCGTGATAACATTATAAAATCTGGGTCTTGCTCCACCTGTTCCGTATCTAGATTAGGTAAATGGAAGTAACTCAGCATCTTCCAAGATAAGAACTAAGTATCTAAAAGGATAAAAAATGTTGAAATGAAAACAAGGAGAACAGGAAGAATAAAACTACTTCAAGACCTTGTAAAATCACATGCCCCTACCTCCCATTGTTTGTAAAATAGTAGTGAGAAGATGATTCTTGAAAGTTATGCAATAGAAACATTGGATATTACTGTCATCAAATCTGATCTTTAACATAAATACATCTTTAAACTTTTCTCAGATTTTGATCAACACTTGTTAGTTTCTCACATAGAATAATGGATTTGAGCTAGTATGCTAATAATTAACAGTGTTTATGCATCAACAATCTATGCATTCATAGCAAGCAGATAAAAAAAAGTTGCCCAGAATATTTACATCTAGTAAGAGGAAGGAATAGATCCCTATGCGATAGCATAATTTTTCATAACTTAATAATAGTGGAACATATTACTAAATGTATTCATTGTTTAATTATAATTGGTTTCTGAAAAAACCAGAATGAAGTGTAAAAATAACGTCCATAAAATAAAGACCATTTCCTAAAAAATAATTCATGTTAAGGAAAACATGAATGGGTTACCATTCTTAGTCATCTCTAGGGATGAGATCCTTGCAGTATGGTATGTTCCTCTCGTGCTTAGTTCCTGGACACTAAATCTGCATAGACCTTCCAGAACAACAATATATGTAACTCTTCCACTCGGTTTCTCCACTCCCCTAGATAAGTGTAGAGCTCGAGCAGCTACCCCCCTGGAATTGAATGTCTATTAAGATCCACCTCCATTTGATTTTTTTTTTTCCGATAGATAACTTATTCACTTCACAGCATTAAAAATTGAAGATGGTGCCATACGGAAAGATTACTGTAGAAACGTCAATTTAGCAGAAAAGAAACACAAACTAAATCGAAGTCCATTAGACGAAATTCATTTGGAAATACAACTTCCTGCAGATGGCCTGATGAATAGTTAGAATGTTTAGAATATATGTATCAACTAATTTACTTATTGATTCTTAACGTGACACAAAAGTTGTTCCCCTGTGCTATACCTGTTATGCCAATGAACAACATCATGATGATTTTTTGCATCAGGCTTATGAGAATCTGCTGAAACGCCTTGCATTTTTGAGCTTTTGTCTTCCCCTACAAGGGATAAAACATAAGTTAATATTAAAATCCATTTCTTATCCTTTTCTTTTTTCTTAAAAAAGCCAAACCCAGTGAAGAGTTGATCACCTTGAGGTAAAACCGGACCCGCTGGCCTAATTTCAGCAGCATCACGTACCGGTAAGATGCCAATCAACCCCTTCTCTTCTCGCTGCCAAAGTTCTTGTTCCACCAACTTCACGCTGTATTCATTCAGTCAGTCAGTCAGTCATTCATTAACCAAACAGCCACGTGCATCTGTTTTCGAACTTGAAAGACAATCCCATAAATCAAAAGTTTAACTAAGGAACTATTAATAAGTAAAGGCAGACGCAAGGGACACTATTCCACAATCAAATCCACTTCAAGTTTCATATCATTTGTGCCGTAAATTTAATACTGCTACTAAAGAAAACAAAGTCTATCAGAAAATCTGGCATACAGGATTTGAAAGGAAGGAAGGAATTGTGATTGACGAACCTGGTGGGAGAAGTGCAACGAATTCGGATGATGGCGCCAGGCAAAAGGACTTTGTTCCTGAAAGGAAGGATTGCTAACCGACTCGGAAGTTCAATCGATTCCGCCATGAGAGAAAGAAAGAGAAGTGAATATGTGGTTGGGTCTACTCTCAACTCAACTCAACTCAACTCAACTCAACTCTGGCAGTGGCATCGCAATTGTCGATTGATGTGTTGAATTGTGAATTGGCATTTTGTGTTGTGTGTATGTTCTGTGTTTGACGTGGAAACTAACGTGTTTATCCAATCCAAGCCAAACCCCCCAACGCATAACACCCAATTCCTATTCCTATGGCTATAATTGTAAACGGATCGACCTATTCTCGATAGAAGTTGGCTTCGGTGTTACCTAACACATGCACTCCCAGTTTCACTGCTAGATGGGGCAACCTGCTTATTCACAACTCCACTCTCTCTTCACAACTCTCAATTATTATTCTCTCTATTCTGCTCCATCGCAATCCCCACCCATAACAACCAGCCATGTGTTCACTTTTACTTAATTGAACGAAATATGAGACATTCATTATTAGTTTGAGTACGATATTTTTATCTACAAAAGTTTACTTGAATAAATGCAATAATTCATTGTCTCACGTCTATATTAGTTGTTTTAAATCAAAGTTTAATGTGTCTAATCTTATATTTGAGCTTAAATTCATTGTTTAGGAACAAAATTGTTATAATAAACTTCGGTAAAAGAGGATGTATTTATAATATTTAATTTAAAATAGATTAATATTGTCTTTTAAAGATATTAGACTTCGAGATAGAACGTATTTCAAATTCTTATAATCTAGAGTGTAATGTACTTATTTGTTAAACATTGTTTTCCTAATATAATTCCTAAGAACCTAAGTGTTGTAATATCTGTCGCTAATAACTCAATATTAAATATTGTCATATTTCCACCACATTAAAATAGAGTGTTCCCCTTTAACAAATTAGCCAATCAAAAGTTAAGGTTGTCCTTAAATTTGAACAAGTCAACTTCTTATGGTTGAAATACGATAATGACCTTGTGTTGAAAAATAATTGTAAAATTAATTCTTATATTCAACTTTATTGATCTTTAATATTAAATAACTCAAAATTAAAGACATCCTAGATTATAGTATGAAGAAAGTAAATTTATATTCACTATCTTTTTTATTTAACTTCAGCTCATCCTTTCTTGGTATTATAATCCTAAACCAACTTATAAAGATATTATGTAAAGATAATCTACTCATTGAGTATGAATCTTTCTAAATTATTTATTCCCTCACCCAATCATAATATATAGGACACATATAAAATAAAAAAAATCATAGGAATAGTTATTAATACGAACTTTTTTGCATGTTATATAACATTAAATAACTTTACCTTTTAGTATTTCTTTAGATCAGCATATTTCAACCTTCATTATAATTTTTTTAACATAAATTTCAAACAATTATAATTATATACATTTTTCATTGTCTTAAAGCATTTCAAAAAAATAATATATTTCCTTGTACTTAAAATTTGAAATACACTTGTTAAAATATGAAGTGTACACCCTTATCCAAAGAGTGCTGTCAAACGTAATTTAATATCAGTAAATAAAAATAATATCACTAAAATCCTTAAGTTACTTTTACATGATTAATGATTCAACAATAATTTTTATATAAAAAACTTTAAAATATAAATATAAAATATTTTACTCAAAGAAAAATATTAATATATTATAATAATATTGTTAGAGTAATATATTTAAGAAATTATTAATTTAAAAATATTAATAAACTAATTAGTTTAGTCTTATTTCATTCACGAGAAATAAAAAAAATAATTCATCTCTAAATTTTATTTCTATATAACTCGTTTTATTTTGGATTTGAAGCCGTTTCAAATTACTCAATAAACATTAACTTTTTCTGAGAATGAGATGATCCCATTACATTTCCTATAATTGTTGAATAATAAAATGCTATAAAAAATAACAAAACCATCATAATATTTTAACATAAATTTAAAAAGAACAAATAAAATTAATTATTGTATTTATTTATTTTTTAAGGATCTATCCAAATGATAGTATAAAATTTATACTTCTTTATAGATAAAGAATTGTACTTATTTTGTGTTTGATAGAAAAAAATGAATTTGTAAACGTAAAAAGGAAAATTTACCTAATAAATAACTATATGTTGAGTAAAAAATAAATTACATAAATACAATATGCATCATTATGCAAAATGCTTCTAAGGTTATTATTTATAATATAAAGGCAATTTGATAGATTAAAGAAAGAGATTATAATATCTCCATATTTTTTTAATTTTTTTCCATAGTCCAACCGAGCGGTTTTTTTAAGAGTGATTTTGAGACTAAAAAATAAAATAAAATTGAGATTGCTTAAATTAAAAAGAAAAAATGAAAATGAATGTAAATTTAAATTGATTTAATTGTTATTAATAATTTTATTATTTTAATATAAATTTTAATTATTTATTATTATAATAAATAATAATAATAATTATTATTATTTTGTAACATGTAAAAAATTTTTAACTGTCTATGTCTTTCTTCGCTCCTTTACAACGAAAATATTGTTGTCTTGATTTTATAATTTTTTATTGTAGATTTCGTATTTTGTCACTTCTTATATTTTCGTAATTGGAAACAAACGTATTTTTAATGAGTGTCTTCCTTATTAATTTTCATATATTTTAACTAATAATAGTTTATAAATATCACATTTTCTTCATCAATAAAGATACTTTTTAAAATAAAATTTGTTAAAATTTTAAAGTAGATTATACGTTAAATATGATAATTAATTTAAATAAGATTAACGCTAAAATATATTAAATTAATTTTTTATTTAAAATTAAACATATAATTTAGTTATTGAATATACAGTTTATATATATGTTAATGTTGATAGTTTAGTGCTCATGTATTTCCAATTTGATCTCTACGCGTATTACTTAAATTGGTTGCTAACTATGAGAATCACAAGAAAGATAACCTATAAAGACTAAAAAAAATGTAGTATTATGAATCAACTTTAAGATTTACTATAATTGTGTTTGAATGTGAAGTTTTAGAAAATTTAAAATGTTTCAAATTAAAATTTTATTTTTTTAAAATACTTTTTCTTAGATAAATCAATTTCATATTTCTCAGATTAAAATTTTTTAGTTTGGATATAATTATTTGGAAATAAGAAAATATATATTCAAAACATTGAAACATTAAAAAAGTAAAATTTTACTAATTTAACAATTTAAAACTAATATAAAATAATATTTTATAATTAAAATATAAAATATTACTATTTTTTTACATTAATATTGATAAAAAGAAGATGGACTGAACGGAAAATAGAATACAACCGAAAGAAGAAAGAACATAAATAATTTTAACATAATTATTTTTTGTTGAGATTTAAAATTTGATAGTTTGCATAATAACTTCAATAAAATTATTAATTATTATTTTAATTCATCCTAAATGTGCTTATATACTACCTATGTTTATACATTTTTAACACAGATAAAAAAGTACAAATCTTATACCTGTTTTCATATGACGATTACGATGTTAACCAGTAAATAAGTTCAATTGTGATTACATTAAAAAATTAATTACCTATGAAGTCAAAAAATTAACCGGCTGAAATAAAGGAAAAAAATGATGTTTTAAACGTTAAATTCGAATACAAAAGCATGATTGGTAATAATAATTATAAGCCTTGAAAATAAAAATCTTTTCATAAAATGCACATTGTCATGATCAAATAATTTTTTTTTATCTTATATATTTTTGTTTTTTACAAATTTAACAATACCTGAATAATGACTAGTGTATTTGGAAAAGATACGTACAGAATTAACTTTGTAATCTTCGATCACCCAACTATAATAGTGTATGAAGATCCGTTTCTGGTTTGCTCATTAAAAAACTTGATTATTTTAATATGCAACATGATTTATCCAATAGAAAAGGATCCTAATTTACAAATATAAGAATGAAAATGAGAGGCTATACACATTTAGTTATGCAGAGTTTTGATTCAAGGGTATATAGTTCCATTAATTCAGCCACGAAAATATAACCGAATGGCATTACAAAATCGTCGAATCTTTAAATTAGACCTGTGTGTCCGGTCTCTGTTCAGATTGTCAAGCATGTCCAGAGATGGATGATAAACTACACGTGCGTGTTGGCAGTTTCCCACGTGGTGCTTTTATTGACTATATGCTACCACAGAGTGAAAAAGAATATCATTACCCCGATCTGAGTGACGTGACGCATCCGACGCATCCAACGCAGCCTCCCCCATAATATTCCAACTTACATTACATATCCTCTGGACCTTCAAGAAATCAAAACGGAAGTTAAACTTTTCAGATTATGATAATTGCAACTCACAGTGAGGGTCATCACGGATTCTCTTGGGCTTCCAGTCGGATTCTTCCTTGCTTTGTCGCAGCGCAACAAAATGCAAAGCATCACTCTGTACTTGATAGATATGACAGGTCCATGGATATGAGTCAGATGCAGACCAAACCTTCAAATCTTCAAATTCTGTTTCCTCAACTAGTGACTCCGCCACACAGAACACAAGATCAGGCTCTGGTTCCGAATAACCAGCAAGGGCAACACATCCAGGAGCCACAAATCCATCTGGAGCCCGTGGGTGCCAAATTGATACTGGAGCAACATAATCTTCCGAGCAATTTCGCCACACCTGCAGAGGGCGTCACACATTCTTAGGTGATAAGGCATAAAACCTCTGATTCACTCAAACAATCATGAACTGTGCTAGTGCAATGCAAGCATTTTGGAAAAATCCAACAAAGAAGGCGAACCGATTTTTTTTTTTCTTTTTTCAAATGGTAGTCAAAACACTATCTACATGCCATTCAAAACTGAAATAAATTAGAAATAAGCAGAACATCGAGGACGGTGTATTACTGAAATCAATGTCATCATGCTATTTATTAAATGATAGTATATCCCACGGTCTAAGGAGTACAAAGTACGAACTGATAATGAATATAATTTAAAGATTAATTATAAAACTTTCAACT